GGTTGCGGGGGCGTTATCAACCACATTTCTATCAAGCTAGAACACGGTCTGGCTTGCGAAGTTGCGATTGTGAACTTTATTTACAAGCTAGGCAAGTCCGACTCGAATTAATCTCGAGCTCCGAAATGCCTCAACGCGGATTTTACGGAGTAATTATGATAATGCCTAAATCACCTGCTCGAGTGGACTAACAAAATCTACTTCGTAATATGTAGTAAGCCCTTCGCAGCTTCTCTGTCCCAAAACATAGAAAGAGTTTGAAATGCCGGTACAAAAACTATACTCTCATTATAATTAAAATGATAAGATGGAATTCTGTTTATCTCGATTTCCTACTATAATACTCGAGTAGTATGTATGCAATAAAGCTAGAGCAATCACCTTCCTCTTACGTCGCAAATCTCTTATGATCCCCATCAATAAGACACACTTGCAAATTTTATGAGCAGGTCGAAATTTCGAAAAGAATAACGATCCACTTGAGGACCTCGAGGGATGATCATCTACCTCCATATGCTAAGAGATGACGCTGCGGTGTGCAGCTATTGAATCTGCTTTCAGGTATGAGTGCCATCGCTGGAAGGCTATCTGCCATCCAATATACGAGTATCGCGAGCAAGGGATCCAATGCGAAGTGTGCCGTGAACTTGAATAGCTTTCCGCTACATAATGGAAGAGGCTGGAGGGGTCGAGGACAATCGAGGGGTAAGGTTTTATACTGTGCTCGCTGGCGCTGGTATATTATATTAGAGATGCCAAGACAACATAGAAATTTAAGTTGCTGGTGGTGTCACAACTGACTGATAAACGTGAGAGCCTCAAAAGATCCAAGAACATTTCCCATGATCACCATTCACAAAAGGGTCGGCACCGCAATCTGTTTAGCGTCGATCCGCCTTGAACGTAGCGCGAGATCTTCCATGTACTGGTGCGAGTAATTTCCCGAGATTTATCATTCCTTCCTCTTCCTTCCCTTCCCTCCTTGCATCCATCGGTCTTGATTCCTCCCTTGACTATATGTGCTTAGTTCTTTGCCGTGTTGCATCCCTTAAGTGGTGGTTTGCAAGTTTCTGTCCGCGTGGTATATCATTCTCAATTTCTCGCTATTGTTTTTCTACTCTACTATATCACCCGAGCCGTTGAATTTACCCCGCTACCAGCCGAATCACTTAGAGCAGGGCTTAAAAGAGAAGCTAAAGCAAAAAGAGCCCCGCACTGTCAGCATTGTAATGAAGTATACCGTATTAGAGAGATGGTTATGCGAGAACAATCTCGAAAGTTTACGAAGTACCGTGTCCCAGTGGCGACTCCTTGAGTGCGGGGTCGAGCCTCCCACCTCCACCACCCGCTCATGCGCAAATCAAATCAATTTTTAACCAGCTTGCATTGGAACCTCTCTATTATGCTGTGACTTTTAGTCAGGCAGCAGAGAATACCTCATTGGTGTGAACAGGCCTCTGGCCAGCGCAGAGATGGTGCAGCTCCGCAGCTCCGAACCAGCTATATGTCTTGACCATCACCAAGTGGCGTAACGCCCTGCTTCACTTAGTAGGTCTTTAATGCCTAAGAAAATGCATATGTTTGTGCTTAGCTTGTGTTCAACTCTTGTGTAACGCCGGTTAATGTCTTCTCGTGCTGGTGGAGCCACGTAGTGAAGCAGGCCGTGAAGCAGAGCCTCAGCCTCGCGACCCAACTTTTAATGAGGCTGCACACGGTCAGGCTTTCATGCATTATCACATATTTTCCCAAGCATTTAAGTGATTATGTCCTGCTTTTTCAATTCAAGTAGAGTATCTACAAAATGTCAAAGATGGCAGAGCAAGTCAATGGAAACCACTTGTGAGACGTGAAAAGCAATGGGGATCAGCCCATACGGAAGATATACAGAGATTCGCATATATCAGGCTAGTAAACATTGTACCGATTCTGATTCAACGGTTCTGACAAATTATTCAGTGCTTTGCAAAGTAGCCGCGTCACAATTCTGGTTGGGTCGACTAGCACCCCTTTCCAAGTTCCGCAAGACTTGTTAAGCCAACACTCGCCAATCCTAGGGGAGAAATGTCGTTCCAGAATTGCCAACGGAGCGATCGAACTGCCAAATGTCAAAGCCTCTACTTTCGAAGATTTCTTCATCTGGCTTCATGTGTTTGAACCCAGACTAGGGACCAAATCATTCGAAGCCGTCCTCGATTTAGCCATATTAGCAGAGACATACAATATTTACCAGCTCAGGAATCAAACTGCAGACCATCTTTGGCGGGAGTTTGATGCTAAGCAGTGGGAAATTACTCCCGACTTACTCTCAATGGTGTACAATTCTGTCCCATCTGGCTCGGTTCTACGTCAACTTTGGGCTTCTGTTTTTGCAATCACAAATAATTGCGCAACTTCCTCCGAACAGGACAACGACTACTTGAGATGGAAGCCGGCATTCACATTGTTTCCTGGACTTGGATGGGACTACTTCTTGCAAATGCAAAATGTGCAACCGCGACCCGAATCTCTCACTCCGGGTGGCGCTTGTCGTTTTCACGACCACTCTGATATACCTTCTTGGGAACGAAAATTTACGGTTGAATGCCCATATCCTCACGGGGCACCGGTTAAGCTGCCAGAACATGATCTGCCTATCAAGAACACTACCCAGACGCCAGAGGTCAAGGAGACTAATGGAGGTGTGGTTTCGGAGGAGGTACTGCCCACGCCAGCGGAAGCCGTACCGGATTTCGCGCCTGTGCCAAAACAGCCGGCCGCAGTGTCTAAGAAAGGAAAGAAGAAGAAGAACAAGAAAAATGGAAACCATGAGGTGGAAAACGGGACCCTGGCGGATGGGAGTTCTGTGACTTCTGGCTGAGGATCACGGATGTGATATCCGTGCGAGCTACTTAGTTTTCCTTCAAAAATGAATTACTGTGTTTTGATCTCCTTACCTTTAGTTCTTCACCACACAAATCAAAGGTTTGATGGCTGGGAAAAAGCAATGTTATAAAAGTTCAAATCTAAATTGACTGTTTCATACACGATTGAAAATCGTCGACTGCCTATCTGTATCGTCTCAATGCCGGGCAAGTAATAATAATACCTAAAACGTTCAAAGCTCATTCACACAAGCCGGATACCCATTCATCTACTTATGTCGACTTAATGCCCCTATCGATTCGAAATCGCAAGTCACAGAGTAGCTGGCCTAATTCCAAGCAATTTCATCCCGTTTTCCATAACTTGCCGCACACTCTCAAAAAGGGCTCCTTCGGCCGGGCTGAGATTCGAACCACTCTGGCCTATTTCTTCTTCGGTCTCAAAACAGACGGAAAGTTGATCTGTGATGTTGGTAAGATAAAGTATAATGGTGGATGGTTCCAATGTTTTATACGCTGAACTGGTGATGTTTGGATATTCGGCTAGAATGCGAAGAAGTTCCGTATAGCTCTCTTCCTCAACTGGACCATAATCCTCGTTAGTAAAGGCGTCCAGATCGAATGTCGAACTTTTGACAATATCACAGAGCTTTAGATACCAGTATTGTAGCTCAGGGCCAGTGCCGCGTCCAAAGGTGGTCATCTTGTCAAGATCGAGGGAATAGTCAGCAGCTCTTTTGACCTGTAGCTCGCCTGCTAAAAGCGCAGAGATTCCAATCGCGGCGGCAGAATCGTCCGAATTGCCCAGCAGAACAGCCTTCTCCGAGGTTGTCGACAAGGATTCATGCATGGCGCTCTGGCAATGATCGAGGATCTCACCTAATTTGTGTCCGTGATCTAACTTGTCTGCGCCTTTGTTAAAGTGAATATGTTGCAATTTGTCTGCTAGATCGTCCATATCCATGAGCTTCAGAATCTTGGAAATACGCACGAAATGCATGTCGTGATCATTGGCGACCACGTATATCATCTTGTCGAAAGCATGTTTCCTTGAACGATCAATTGCCGTAGCCAGCTCCCTTAGGTGATAAGTTCTTCTGCACCATGGCTGAGTTTCGGTAACGGCACCGTCAAGTCCGCGGTGAAGATGTCGTTCGGCCAATGAATAGATTTGTAAGCGGTGAGAGCATCGCATTCAGCAAGGCTACTCAGTATTTCAGCAAGATATGAGCGGCCAATATCAAGAGGTTTGCTAAGCACGTGGGCTTCTGGGAACACTGGGATACTATCCAGTCCTAACCCCTCAAGCCTAGTTGTAAGGCCACTGAGTTCGAGGGTCGCCATAATACGTAGCTTCTGTTGATTTCGATTATTTGGACTTTACTTCAGATCCGGCTGAGGTGTATCGAAATAAACGGAAGTGTTCGTTAGGTGTTACACCTAGTCTCGTATATGACTACTTCCGCTAGACTCGTAACAATAGATCTCAGCCGTAGACGAGACATGGAGACGACAGATTGACAACTCTCTTACAGTGTCGTCGTCGCCAATGAAGAAAATGTGAGGCGGATAGATTGCGGGGTGACGTATCAGTTGGGCAGCAAGCCACTTAGAGGAGTACACATATCGAACATGTGCACATCTGCAGGAGTCTGAACAAATAACTTAAATCTAGTGGAAGACACGCGAAAACGCCCTCACCACCACAATTGAAACCCAATAAGTCAGTCATTGGTTTACAGATCAGATCGATGAAGGATTTGCCTGATACTCACGTGGATTATTCGGTGAGGTGCAGATAAACATGAATGAGACAACGAACAGACCCGTCTCCTCAAGGCCGTGTGCTTAATCAAATAACAGGTCGCCTGCGTACTGCGCTTGTCCCCAGGACGTTTCGCTCTTCATCGAAAATCAGGTGACGTTGGTGGTCATCCTCGCCACCATTTTCAGCTATTTCCTTCCTGTGAAACCACAAGACAACACGTCTCCGCAAAAACGACCAACGAGACATGGCAAGCCGAACAACTGAGCGAGTCGCATAAACCATAATAATCAAAATTAAAGAAGTGAAAACAAAGGATCTAGGGTTTAATGCGAATGGTATAGCTGGTTGTTGCATGCTGAAAATAGCAGCGGCCAGCGCAATAGGGTAGAGGACCTACAAATTCTCGGGAAATTAACCGCTTGACAAATGAAAAGGGCTAGTGGAAACTTACTGAGACTGTAAACTCTGAATTTGTACCCTTGCCATCAGCCGTTTCTTTGCTTTCAACAAACAAGCGAAGTTGTAACTATCTCACGTGCGGTATCAGTGCAACTATACGTTGAATCAAAAGAAAATAAAGGCATTCAGATGAAACGTAACTCACAATCTCTTTAAACTCAGAACAGCGCTTGTTCAGAAGCCGAATTTTAGTCTGGATCTCTTCAAGTTCTCGGAAGATCGACTTGGTAGAGCGGAGCGATCGGCGAGCAACCGGTGATATTCTTGCCACTTTCGTAGCATGAAAGTACCCAATATTACCGTCAGGGCCCGAAAACAACCTCCAAGCATTGATTGTATTCGAGAGAACACCATCAAGACGGCACAAGAGGCGCATGCTTTGGACGGTCCAGTCAAAAGCTGCCGTGATCTCTGCTCTTTCCTCCTGAGCAATCCCAGACCGCCGGGAAAGAATGAAGTGGTGCTTATTTGCCTATTTCAGGTGTCAGTAATTTCATAACCATAATAAGTGTTTCAGGGCAATTGCTTCCGTGAAAACATACATATCGGTAAACACCAAGCTCCACTTTATGGATCAGATATTCTCATGTCTTCCTCGCTTGTTCAATTCGGATTTCAAGCACTATCAGCCACCAGTCCCGCGGCCTCCAAATAGGGTACCTATGGGCATCAAGTTGTCCGGACGCGATTTGGTCAAATGCCAAATCATCCTCAGACGACTCATGTAGGAGCCCATCAATTTCCGCATCAACGAACGCATATCCCACCCATCGCCACTCGTCTGATCCAGTGGCGACACAAGAGAAATGGGCCTCGTATATGCCCCAAACTTTTTTCGGTTCCTGCTCTGGTGATTCGGATGTATCTAGCTCTAAGAATGAAATATCCGTCCAATGTCTCTGCGGTTTAGTATTAACTTTCCCCACGGGTTTCTCAGGGTGCGTATCACGTAATACGAAGAAAGGTATGTGTAAGTGCAGTGCAAAAGTAAGAAATCCGGCAGTTGGAATGTTGACCTCGATAGAGGATTGAAAGTGTAGGTGCTTGTATATAGTGGGCCAAGATCGGCTTACGCGAAGAGGACAACGCAGACACTAGCGCTGGCAATAATAACATAAGAAAAGAGTACATATTTGTTCTAAGCTAGTAAGGTCATATACAGATATATATATTAGAGTCTACACCTTAAAATTAAGATTCAAAAGACTATGACCAGCAATCTCACGTGTCTATATCACGGGATGTTTCCTCTATTTATATATAGCATGTCACTAAGCCCCTTTCATAGATATATACTAGACTAAAGGGGTTAGTTAGCATAGATGTTCAAATTATTCATAGTTAGTATAATTAAGCCCTCTTCTTCTTGCTTTCTTTCTCTTTTTACTTTCTCCTACTTAATTCAACTTCTCTTTTAGTCTTTAGCATAGCATAAAAAGCGCAATTAATTAGGACTTTCTAGTACTACCTATACATATACCATTTCCTATCTTCTACACAAAGCCTAGATACGGGGTTGACCCAAATCTCTACTAGCTACATATCTCTTTACGAGCAACTAGGCCATATCATCGCCGAGACTTTATTACAAGGCTAATTGTTAGTGATTCCTAGCTAAAGGATTGCCTCAATAGTTTGGTATGCCAATTGACTTCAAGAATCTTCTATGTATACTTCTGCAACTCCTAGATGATAGAACCTGGCCTAAAGTAGCAGAACGTAGCTTAAAAGATATTCAAGAAAGCTTCCTAACTACTGATTACAAGTCTTACGATCTCCGGTACATCCTTGTTCAAGATGTTCACAAAGATGTTTGATATTCATGCATGAGACAGCCAGTTGTGGAACTATATCTTTGATTTCTCCAAGTGCTGGCCATTAGTGCGGTCTGCTGATAAAGCTTAAGCCTATACCCTTTTGTGCGAACGTATACAAATGGTACAAAGTAATAGAGATATAGTTCCCGTGACCTTAGTGGCCATCAGAACGATACTGATACTTAACCTAACGAAATAGATAATATGATAATGGAGATCACTGTCCAAAGGGTAACGTAGATCCCAGGTTATTGCGTCTATTAGACTGAAGAATAAGTCAGTGGCAATTAAGTCCTCCTACTACTTAAAGATTCTGATGTCAGTCAATCAAATAGAATCCTAAAAATGAATAATTTGAAGGAATACAGGGAGGAGGTGGGGGTGTGGAAAAAGGGGCATATAGGGGACATTTACTTACTGTTTATCATTTGTCGTAGCTATAGAACGGGAAAAGGCTGGAGTTCTTGGTCTTTCTGCCATATATTCCACTATAGCTTAGAGCTATCATTGCTCACTTGAGCTGTTACACTACAGGTGATACCTCTCCTTAATACACCAGCTCCTCACTAGGTTGCCTCGAGCTGTATACGAATGCGGGTAACTGCGCCTGCGGATACTAAGGATCGATTAACAGGCCCTCCTCAACAGAGACATCGCGTTCTGCAAGTCCCCCTAAAAGATGTCGCATACCGTATGTATGTCTCGGGAAAGATTGATTGAAACATATGCAATAACAAAACACAGCCTCTGGGTTTTGAAGCCTCACTAGCAAATTTGAATCCCTATTGATCATAGGTTACAGGTACCAGGACTCTGCCAGCGTCGTCGTTCCCATCCATACTAAGCAATAGCAATTTAATGGCACCAAAAGATTTCACAAATCACGAGGTATGATTAATTATATAACGAACTGAAATGTGGAATCCGTGGAACCTGAAACTTCAATATAATATCATTGCTACTAACAGTTATCATATATACCTAGTACAGTAGTACTAATACGTATATATGACCACATCAACTCTGCAGTATGCACTTATCCGAGCATGTTCGTTAGGTCAAGGATTAATATACTACCTAATATTCCGTTAGTCTTATTTCTAACCATGGCACCAACACATCTCAGACCAAGGACTGCGCACCTGAGAGTGCATGTATCCAGCCAAAGGCCCAAAACAGTCAAACTAGCTTTAAGCACAACCAGCCTCCAAACAACCCATCACCTTGAATACAGTTTGAATAATCAAGCTGCCATGGCTCACAAATTACAACCGTACGCTTTCTGTTACCCTAGCTCGTCGAGTCCGGAATGTCCGTCATCCATTGAATTCGTAAGATGCAAAAGTCATTCGTGAAGCACTGAAAGATCAGGATGATGATATTGGATGGTACGGCTGTGCTTGTGTGTTTGTAAGTAGTATCACCGGGGTGGACGAGTCTTGGAAGTGAGGGCACGCTCGTATGAGGGAGAGAAGATCTGCTCTCCGGATCCTCCTTCTCTATCGTTCCCGATCAAGAAGCAGTCACTTAATACTACAGTACAGCTGCCGGTCCGAGAGAAGATTTGTCTCATGTGCATATGTAGATAAACTAATCGCTCATACAGTACTGCAGTGCACATCGTCACCATTCCCCTCCCTGCCACTTCCCTCCCACTCCCCTTCGCCAGCCCCCACGCACAAATCTGCGCCTTCAACGCGCCCAATCCAAGTCGAATGCGATCGCTGCCCGCCTCATGAATGTTGCTTCCCGTCTCATAAATGTTACTTCCCGCCTCCAAAACGTGGTTACACGCACTCACTTGCGCCATGACTTGTAGCGCCAGTGCGCAGGTCACGAGCGGTGAGAGCTTGATGCGAGGGGATGGGAGAGCAAAGAGCATGATGGATGTTTCGATCGCTTCGAGACATTTAGCGGTATGCGTCGCGATGCTCTTTTGCACGGCGCGTGTTTGGCGGAGGGAGGAAGGTGGCGTACAGACGGACTGCGTTTCGATGTCGCTATACTATAGTTGGGGGTGTGGGCGGTGGAAGAGCATTTTGACACTTGAGGATTGTTGGTTACACAGTAAGTCCCAGAGTAGTGGACACAAGATGGGACGGGACTTATCATTTCATAACGGTGTGCGCCATTTCATAACGGTGTGCGCGAGAAACATTGAAAAATTAACAGGCTGCTGAACACAGCTTTGCCATCATGCCTAAAATGATGTTACTAAATCAATTGCGCATTGTCGACAGGTAAATACCCCTCCTAGTCAGACACAAACAGCCCACACTTCTGGGCATAAATTGAACCAAGAGGAAAGTTAGATAAGACGACACTGGTACACCGTTTGAAAACACAACTCAGAGTCAAAAGTAGTAAGCAAAGCCATTTGAAATCGCAAACTCATCAAGACACCCCGCTACTTAGCACTTTGGGCCTTGCTTTTAACGCCGCAAGTATTGCTTGCAAACTCGATGGGCCGTCCTCTCCAGGCGTGAAGCTTTCATCTCAGATCGCTAGCCAACGACTTTTCCCAGTCCATGTCCCCGGATTTTAAGCACTGGACGCGACATAGAGATTACTACAGCGCTCAGATGGGACGGGGTGTTGTTTGATAATAGAGCTTCCCCCTTCCCGAGCTCCGTTCGTCAGAATTTGACTGTTGGGATTCAAGAAATGGCAATGATCTGTGGTGATCTTGAATGGAAGAAGAGATGTGAAATGGTCAATCTCCCGCCCAGTGTACCTCAAGGTTGGGATGGAGTGGAGTTGAGATTCTGACAGTATGCGTTTCCATTCGTCAAGTTCGCACTGACGGCACTTTATTACCTTTGCTCCATTAAACCTCAACGAAGGTCTGGTGGTGCATCGGGATTGAATCTATAAGCAATCATATTTATTAAGACATGTTCGAGATCCAAGAACTACACAATCGGGAAGTTCGGGTCCAGTGTGGAATGACTACGCACTTGTTATTAGAGACCGTATGTATATTGCATCTAGATGTGCCATCTTCATGTGAAAGGAGAGGGGTATCTTCTATTTAAACGCCAATTGTAATATTTAGTATGCCTGGAGCGGTGAAGCCCATTTGGCTCGACCCCGATGGGTCTATGCTTCAATCGCGTTTTCCTTTGCAAGTTTTGCATTCTGTCGCTCTTGTATTTCGTTGCGGACAGCAAAACTTATCTCTATTGCGATCAATATGATGATAATCCACTCGAGAAAGCTGCTGTGTTTTTCGGCTAATGTCTGCCGTAAGATGCTTGCGATCTCTTGGGCATAATCCATCTTCTCGTTTAAAGTCTTGATTCGTACGCCAACATCAAGAGCTCTGCCAACTTGGTCGTAGTATCCTTCGAGACCCAGCTCATATTTGCTGTCCCAGAACAGATCTGGTAGGGAGTCGGTAAGCTCGGAGTAGTGGTTCAACTGTGCCCTCAACTCTAGCAACTGCCCAGTCTTCTGTAACATGAAATTTCGACGAAATGGTAGTCGTGAGCCTTTGGATAGAAGGGTCGGAATTGCTCTTGTGGATTCAAAGTATTTTCCTAACATCGTCTCGAGGACTGCAAGCTTTGTTGACCGGGCAAGACCGGATGAGAAAGCAATCTTTGCAAGTGTCGTGTCAAGTCGTGGACTAAACATTCGATTAGTGAGCATTCTGTGAAGGGGGGCAAGACAACATACTTCGAGCTGTCTGCATGCTGCGAGCTGTGTTTTGTGCCTAGAGCAATAATATCACCCTTGATAGCGCTGCTGTCTCTTTTTTCATCCTCTGTGTATTCTAGGTCTTCCGTTTCTATCTGTTCTATATGAGGTTCGATTGCTGCTGGAAGCAGAATTTTGGTGGCCAAATCCCGGACCACATCTTCTGGTAGAGACCATGCAACTAGAGTACCAGACGGAAATACGAAAATATCCCCATTGTTCACCCCGCGAGTATGTATGACTTGATCTGAATCGAATTCTGTTCCGTCTGGATCAATCGAGAAGCCGTGAGCCCGGAGAATCTTAACCACCTCTTCCATGTCGAATTGGCTTGCCACAGATATCGCCATGACTCTATTGCTTCCTTCATGGTCCTGGGCTGTGTCTTTCTTCCGAAGGGCAGTATCTCTAGATCTTTGAGCCTCCGCTGCGACCCTCCTCAGAGATGTCTTTCCTGCCGGGGACCGCATCGGCTTTCGTTTCTGGGGAGTCGGGGCATCTTTAGCTACTTCTGCATTGGCAGTAGCAACCTCTTGCTGCAGGGGAGCCTTTGACGAGAAGAAGTGCTCTCGTTTTCGAGGGAATTGGCACGTAGTTGAAGCATGGAGGTGACGGAAAGGGTGTTGACGCGTTGAGCCTTCATTGAGAATTTGCCTGATGGTAGGCGCAAATACTTGACGACTGAAGGTCTGCATTGTGAAGATTGGATGATTCTAGAGATCCAGCTATCATTTGTATATAAACCCAAATTTCCATTGCGGTTGGTGAAATCGGCACAAAATCTGGTCCTTCGAGACGACGCGGACGCGAACGCGATTATATTTCTCGCCTAACAGCTTCCAAGCTCCAGCTCCAGCTCTACGTGGATAACGTGGCTGTCCAACGTTCCCTAACACCACCAGATGTAATCAACAAAGTGCGCCACCATGGCTGAAGAGTCGGAGGATCAAGGCGACAAGAATGTCCCAATAGACGAAGAATCCAGTCGCGATGATACGGATATTGTGGACGACGAAGATGAGACTGTTGACAGCGATGATGCCGAGGCAGACGAGGACGACGACGAGGAGGACGACGAGGGCGAAGAAGAGGAGCCGAAGCTCAAATATGCGCGCTTAACAAGCAATCTGGTACCTGTGTATAGAAATGGAGATGCTACAAGCTCTTTTCTGGTCGCGGGCGACAAGATGGTGAGTGTTGACGGGTCTGCGTCATGGAACCGTTACTGACCGACGTATAAATACCCAGTTCATTGGAACGCATAATGGAAATATTGTAAGTCTCCTGCAATCTTTGTATATATAGTGTATCCAAAACTAATACCTCTGGCAGCATGTAATTTCTCTACCCTCCTTCAAGTCCCTTCGAGTTTACCACGCCCATTCCGCCTCTGTAACCAGCATTTCGATATCCCCATTTCCCCCGCCTTTGCCCAGTGCAGCTCCGGAAGCTGTTAATAGAGTTGTATCGCAAGCCCAAACTCCCCAGAAATCGCCTTCTATAGCTTCCCAAGCTTCTACATCCAGTCCACGGGCACCGAAAGGGCCTCTCGTTCCAAACGTCCCCTCGAACGCCATATATATAGCTACTTCTTCAATCGACGGGAAGGTTTGTGTAGCTTCGTTGGTGGATAGTAGGGACAATCAATTACGAGATTTTGCTCGACCAATGCAAGCTGTTGGGCTTTCGCCAGATTACAAGAATGACCGAACATACATATCAGGAGGGCTGGCTGGGAATCTGGTTCTCACAGTGGGCGGCCGAGCTGGGAGCTCCACATCAACAACTACTGGTTCTGCATCGGCCACGGCGTCTGGCTGGCTAGGTACCATTGGTCTTGGTTCCAATGGGGGCAAAGATACTGTGCTACACTCGGGGGAAGGGACCATCAGTACAATAAAATGGTCATTGACAGGCAAATATGTAGTCTGGGTTAACGAGCATGGTGTCAAGATTATGCGGTCGAACCTTCATCTGGACAGTGCAGACGCCGATTCAGCATGGAAACGAATCGGTCACGTGGATAGACCCCAAGATGATGGATGGGAAGAGATGGCAGGCGTCTGGAAGGGGAGAGTCGAGTGGATTGATGAGAAGAGCATTGAATCGGACGAAGACGATAAAGTACGCGAAGCCGCCACGTCCTCTGCAGCGACAGCAAAATTGAAACAGCAAGCTTCCAAGGACAGCAATCGAATCGAGAAACTTCTTGTTGGATGGGGAGGTACAATCTGGATCATCAATGTTCACCCTGGTGGCGTTGGCGTTGGTAAAAATGCCGGAGAACGGACTGTGGGAAGAGCCGAGATCATTAAAATGTAAGACCTCCATCATTGACTTGTTCCTGACTAATGGTTTCAGTTTACGGATGGATTGCATTATTTCTGGATTGTCGTTATATACCCCAACTTTGCTTCTTGTACTTGCTTATATCAGTCCCACGGAAGAGGACAAGGATGGAGAAAGAACCCCGAGCAAAGGGCACAAATCCAAAGGCTCTACAACCTCGACGGGAAGTGATCCACGAGGTGGTATTCGACACCGCCAAAATGCATTATCACCTGAGCTTCGGCTTATCGACCTTGGGTCCTCACAAGAGGTCGACACGGATACACTTACAGTCAGTCGATTTGAAAGGCTGTCGGCGACGGATTATCATCTGGGTATCCTGCCTGCTCCACGGAACCTTCCCGTAGCCCAAACATATCGTGGAACATTGGAGGCCCTGAGCGGTATGGGAAGTGGAATGTGGAACGCTACCGTTAATGCGACTGCTCTACTAAGCTCAGCGGCGAGTGTGAGGAGTAACGGCTCGGATCCCAAGGCTTCAAGTGTCGGAAGCAGTGCGACAAAAGTCCTACCAGCGAACCGTATGAGCAGCGTCCACCCCCAACTCTCAGTGCCGGGAATGAAGATATTCATCCACAGTCCATACGACTGTATATTAGCTTCCAAAAGAGATCTCTCAGATCACCTCTCTTGGCTCCTGGAGCACGAAAAGAACCAAGAAGCTTGGGAGCTAATCGATGAACACCCGGAAGTCATCACTACATCCGCAGAAAGACTCATGGAAATTGGTCCAGGCACTCCAGAACCAAGTCAAGCAAGCGGCGACGACTGGAACGATGATGCATCCTCAACAGTAGATTCTGCGAGTCGTTTGATTTATTCTGCTGTAGAGAAAGAGAAGCGTCGAATTGGTGAACTTTGGATACGTCAACTCATCGATGCGGGTGACTGGGCCACCGCAGGCAAGATCTGCGGAAAGGTGTTGGGAACTGCTGCCCAATGGGAAGAATGGGTCTATGCTTTTGTGGGAGCTAAGAAGTTCGACGAGATCACGGACTACATACCAACGACACAGCTGAAACCTCCTCTGCCTTCACAAATTTACGAAGTCCTTCTTGGTCATTATGTTGCCAACAACAGACCTAGGGTGCGAGAGCTACTTGAACAATGGCCACCGGAGCTCTTCGACATCAAGAGTGTTACCACGGTCTTAGAGAACCAGCTCAAATATCGAGATGTCCGCGAAGATAGTGTGGAAGATGGAGTAGTGGGCCGCGATTGGCGAATCGTGATGGAAAGCTTGGGCAAGCTTCATCTTGCTAATGGGCATACACGAGAAGCACTAAAATGTTATATTCAACTTCAAGATGCAGATGCCGCTATGGCCCTCATCAAAGACCAGCATCTGGTCGACGCTGTTGCGGATGACATTCCTGGTCTAATTTTGCTCCGGGTCTCGAAAGAGCAAAAACGGACAGCTTCTATTGCGGAGCTTCGAGCTCTTACTTCCGAGCCGATCAATTTGCTTGTTGACGAAGCACAACACGGGCTCGTTGGTCCTGAGGTCGTAGTTAAGCAATTACAGGAGAAGAATATGATACTTTACCTTTTCTTCTATGTCAGCGCTCTGTGGAGGGGAGATGGAATCGAAGAAAGCCAGGGAGAGAATAGGGACAGGTTACTATCCGAAAGCAGAGCCCTCGTTAACGAACTAGCGGATCTAGCTGTGCATCTGTTCGCTCTGTATGATCGTGAACTTCTCATGGATTTCCTCAAGTCCTCTACCTACTATACCTTTGAAAAGGTCAGTCCCCTGATCAATTCCCCATCTGAGAAATACTAACAAAACGTAGGCAACCCAAGAATGCGAAGAGCGGGATTACATCCCCGAACTCGTCTACCTATACTCTAAAACCGGCCAAACCAAACGCGCTCTCTACCTAATCATCGACCGCCTCGCGGACGTTTCGCAAGCCATCTCCTTTGCCAAATCTCAAGATGATACTGATCTCTGGGAAGATCTCTTGAACTACTCCATGGACAAACCCCGCTTCATCCGCGGTCTCCTCGAGGAGGTCGGCACAGCCATCAACCCGATTACTCTTGTCCGGCGCATTCCCGAAGGATTGGAGATTGAGGGTTTGAGGGAGGGGCTGAGTAGGATGATCAAGGAGTATGAGTTACAGCATAGTATTAGTGAAGGTGTAGCGCGGGTATTGAAGGGCGAAGTGGGCATGGCGCAGAACACCCTGCGTTCCGGACAACGCAAAGGGGTGAAATTCGACGTCGTTCACAAGTCGGTGGATCACGTCGACGTAACAGCCTCGGACGCTCCACCCGCTCCTTCGGCGCAGAAACACCAGCCTGGTCACTGCGTCGGCTGCCATGAATCGTTTTCCGAACACGAGACTGAGACCCTGGTCGGCTTTGCTTGCGGACATGTGTTTCATCTGAACCATTTGCTGAATTACAATAAAGATGACGAGAGGCCACAAACACCGCCGGATGTAGAGTTGGATGAGAATGGGCAATGGGCGGCGACGCATAGTGTTGCGGCAAAGGTGATGCATGCCAGGCTGCTGAGGGATAAGATTCGGGACGGGTGTCCGGTTTGTGGGGGTATCACTACAAGCTAGAAGCAAGGCTACCTCGGAGGCAGGATGGATGGATGGATGTATATATGACTGAGAATTTGCACATAAAGTAAACGTAAACACCCCGATCAGAACACAGAGAGCAAAGCAATGGAGCTAAATCCAAAGATACAAAAATATGCTGGAAATGGGTATTTATTCAGATAGTAGTCATCCTCGCAATCCCTGCATCAACCGCGTCCCTCCTCGGACTCCCCCCATTTCTATACAAGCTCAACCGACTCAACTCCCGCACCTTATACCTCTCTTTCTTCGTAAAACCCCTCCCGTTCTCGAATTCGCCACGCAGCGCATTTATGGTGCTGGATGCACTGACGGGACTCATCTCATTTACCCCTACTTCTGCAGCCGGCTCCCCATCTTCCTCTTCCTCTCCTTCTCTGTCCCCATCATTTTTGGTATAAAAGTTAAAACTGCCAGAAGCGCTGAGGGAACTGGATTCCAAGCCCTCTCTACTAGCGCCGCGGCCCCACCACTGGACTTCCTCGTCCATAAACCCTGCTTCGTCTCCATCCCCTTTCCCTTCTCCATCCCGCGCAACCCCAACCCCATCCACAACCCCATCCACATCCACACACCCCTCAAACCCACTTCCCCCGACCCCGAGACCGTCTTTGCATTTTTTCAGAGGAAACATGTTATCCAGATAATGCATACAAAACTGATGGCCGCCATTCGCACCAGCGTACTCGAATACGCGACCCATGAACCGGGGCGCGGTGGCGGAGATGGGCGGGGAGGTTATGAAATACAACACGCCCCAGCGGGAGACAGGGTCGTGGTGTGGGCGTAGTGCTCGATGTGGTGGATTGTTTTGCCTTGGGGGGTTGTGGATGTTTGGTGGGTTTTCGTAGTATGCTTTGCGTCCATATTAACATCATCCCCATCCACATAGCCGTGGGGATGATGAGGATGATTAGGGTGAGGATGTTCTTCAATATGTGTTTTTGTCCTGGTGAGCGTAGCTCGACGCGGGTTCTTGAGCGCGGCGTGCTGGGATAGCAGGTGTAAGTGCGGGTTGTTGAAGTGGTTGGCTGCGTTGCCGAAGGTGTAGATTTCTAGTTTTGAGAGTAGGTCTTGGGGGAGTTCTTGTAGGAGCCAGTCTAGGATCATGCCGCCTTCTATTGCGCCTTGGCTGTGTAGGATGAAGATTACCTGGTGGGGTTAGGGTGGGATGTCAGAGATGGGATTCAATCAGGAGGGTTTTCTGTATGTATATAGAATAGGTATGTATGTTGTGGGGCTATAATGAAATGGTTGAGAGAAGGTGGGCTTGATTGTTTGATTACCTTGGTGAGATTTGGATTGTAGAGCGTGGATTTCACAATTTTATACCCGTCGCGGATATCCATGGTTGCGTAGTTGAAGTTGCGCTGGATTAGACATTGGAGCACGTCGAAGATTACACCACTGGTTTTGTTGTGGACGCCTAGGACGGGACGGCCAAAGGTGAGGGCCAGGCGGTTGATGTTGGATTGCATCCAATGTTTCCTATCTCTAATTAAAATAATTAAAGCATGAGTTGGAACTGCACTTACCCCACAGCTACACCATTCAAAAATATCCACTGCTCGTGCTCATGTTCCGCCTTCATCTCCGTATACTTCGGCTCACTCACAAACCTCCCCCTCGAGCCATTTAGCAAGAAGCATATCGCATTATTGACCAACGCGAACACCACTACCCCGATAACCACCATCCATACCGGGAACACAAGCCAGAAGGGTATGGAAAGAATGAAGGGCAGTTGCATGCAGAAGAGGATCAGGTGCAAGAACATGGCCCAGAGATTTGCAGCCGAGGGGTACAGTTCGCAAAACTCGCCGGATCGACATGGGTTTAGGGGCAAGATGATGTTGGGGAGTAGCTTGTAGAAGCTGAAGGCTGAGAGGATGTCATGGCGGAGAAGTTCAAGAGGTGAGCCTGTGTAGGAGTGAGGTGTCACGCGTTTGCCGCCGACTTGCGAACCATAGAACTTTGTTCCTGCCATCTTGGCGGCGCGTTGAGGTCGCGATGTGAGAGAAAGGCGTTAGAGAGAAGCAAAAAAACAAACAAACAACGTCCTAAATCAAAGGTATCTAGACATAGCATAAGAAAACGACATATAATGAGGCTGCACGAGACAATATAAATTATGAAAGGTTGTTGTCACACGAACCTGGAAATATAAGCAATCCCTGGCTGAATCTTTAGTGGTGATGTCTCACCGCCGCCACCCCACTGGCCAACCCCCAACGGTGAGCTGTTCCAGTGACACCCTGTCTCTGTTGCCTTGGTGGATGATCGCCACACGCTTGGAACGTTGCAGTGATGAATATTTATAGATGACTCTTGCAAGCTGAATCGAAGAGGAAGACGAGTTGTGAAATGAAGGTGAGACCACGTGATAGTATCTTATGTCACGTTTCAGCGTTAGGCAGTAGCGACCTCTTCCTTCCTTCTTCAACATCACCGTCACCATCCTAGCAGAACGCACTCAGTTCAAGTGGTGGAATGTCAAGTGACTCGAGATGTGAGATTTGGCTAAAGGAGTTGCGGCCATGTCGTAAGATACTATACTCGAGTAGCCGAGAAGTAAGAAATCTGAGCACAGCAACAGCTGAAATTTCCTTGCTTTACTCGAGTAGTACAATATTCAAACGAGCGAGCATCCCAGATTTCTATCATCTATACTCAACAACTCAAAGCTTTACAATCTCCCCATCCTCAATATTAACCTCCTCCCACCCCGCCGTGATAAAAGCCGGCAAACTCATATCGAACAAATAATCTTCATCCGTCTTGATATCTCCCAACCACTCTGGGTCCGTATAAGCCTTCTCAACCAAGAACTCGGCGGAACCATCCTATTGCAGTGCGGGGTTCTTGGGGCCGCCCATAGTGGCAATCAGAGCTTTGCTAGTTGATGGGGTGTGGAACTATTTTGGGCGGGTGATCAGTTATGGTTCGGGGTTTGAAAGGGAAGTAATTTGTACTTGTGTGTATTTGAGGCATCCTAGGCGCTTTAGAAAGGGGGACGCTAGCGTGGAGTGGTGGGTGCTCCAGTGGGAGTGGAACTCTTCCTCCGTGATGGCAGGGTTGCGCACGACGAAGACCGAGACCTTGATGAGACGCTCCTTGATGGCCATTGCTTATGCTAGTGCCAATGATAATCTGCTTTAGGAGCGGTGACTGGTAAATTGAAGGTGGATTTGGGTGAAATTAAATAAGGGTGAATGTTTCAATCTATTGCAATAAATGAGTTCAATTTTTTTCCTTCAAATAATCGCGTTCCTTTAATACCTGGAACCTTTTTCCAAAACCATCATGGTCAGATTATCAATACTGCGAAACATTTGTCATTCCTTCTCTTGAATTGCTTCAAATCGATTTTATTCCCGAGATTTCCTTTGCTTACTCATGCAACTAGGAACTCCGATGTACCTCTTTACCCGGCATGAAGCATACCAAGTCAATCGTTTTCCTTTGTCGTATGATAAAGCCATCAGATCTAGGCTTTTGTCCCTCTATGTCAGCGGTGGAATGGTATTGGCATTTGTAATTGTAAACATGTCAACCGACAAGCTGATATAAAAGGGTTTACTTTTACCCAAGTTGTTAAAGAACCAGATCCCAGAACCATTCAAGGCCTTGTCTAGAAATCTTTACTCAACTATAATCTTACATTTCAAACAAACAGCTCGAAAATCCTTCCAAAATGTCTCAAAGTCAAATAGCTGTCATCACAAGTAGATCTCGAGGCATCAGAGCCGCCGTTGCCCTCACATTAGCCAGCAAAGGCATAGAGATAGCAATTGTCTACACCTCACAATCCAGCACACCCCAAGCAGAAGAACTTTCAAAGAAGATAGCCGCGCTTGGGCGAAGAGCGCTTCTCGTCCGCACCGACCTCTCAGCAGCAGACTGCGGGGTTGTTGTACGAGACGCGGTGCTGAAAGGTTTCCAGACGGAAAGGATTGATGTCCTCGTCAATAATGCTGGGATTACCGGAATTCAGGATAGTCTATCTATCGAGCTAGATCATTATGTCAAGTACGTACTGCGCACTCCTGCTATTCTCCCTAGAGTCTTATCTAACCTGCCCATTAACAGCCTCATGAACATTAACCTCCGCGCCCCAATGCTCCTCGTTCAAGCCTTAGCACCGCACATGAATCGCAGAGGACGCATCATATCTATGTCCTCTGTCCTCGCTCACGATCCCGTTCCTGACTCGGCGCTATAAGCTATATGCCATGTATTAATATCGCTAAAGAGCCACGGCGAGGAATGCATTGAAAGTCATTCTAGTTCGTCCTTGGTCATAATTACCAATTGGAGAAGGTACATTATAGTTCCGTATATGCCAATTAACGCAGTCCATTCAAAACTTAGAAGTCTGCCAAGGTGCACAAGGCGGATACCTTTGAGACCAAGCCAGCGTTCGCTATCAGGTAGTCAATTTTACCCCTTGAACTAGTATCTAATTTCCTGGCGACAGCCTAACAAGTCGTGTTAGAAATAGAGTAAAATCTTTGCGTATTTGGTAATCATCGAACCTTAAGAGCGTCAAGATTAGTTATATCTGCTTCAAGCAAAATGAAATCGTTGATTCCGTCATCTCGAAGCTGCTTTTCAGTGGTAGTATTGTCCCTCACAATTCCAATGACAATGTTTGCGGAATCATACGAGAATTGTCTAATGAGTTTTTACTACTTTATGTGTCAATCTTCCAAATTAATTCATTATTTTATAGATTATGCTTACTCCAAGGCCTCGAGAGGCTCAAGTAACAAGGTAAGACGGCATTGTATGAGTATATTTTCTATCTTAAAAGAGCTTTATTGAACCAAGTTAGATGATGAAGTTTCAGTAGAGACATATTCGTTGCTAGAGATGTCTCGTCTTATTATAATTCTTGATGTTGCATTGAAGCATACCTAGGTTGTGTAACAGCAACTGAACCTATAACTCCGTCTCATATTCCTCGCGCCGGCCTCTCCCGACTTGGCAACCCGGACTTCCATGTTCTCAGATCCCGCTTGATACAGTACAGTAAGCATGACCCCACTATAGAACATCGACTTCCGCTTCATCTTCAGGACTTTTCGTAACTACCCTTTCAACTCAAAAAGCCGTCGATATGACGGAAAGTACCGAAACAGTTATCCCGCAAACGTCCGGCTCATTCGCGTGTCCTCTTTGCCAAAAGTCGTATGCTGCCCGTAAGTGACAAAATCTTCGGGGAAATGTGTTTGCCATAAATCCCCCAGGCTTCAGATTACTAAACTTGCAAAGGGAAAGTTCCATAAGAATAGAGTTTTTTGTTCTTTTTGTTTTCAATACATCTAAGGTCTCCTTTGACCTAGTAGTGAGATTCTCAAAAATATATTTGTTTATTTGTTCTTTAGCTGACATTTGAATCTTTGATCATAAAGGTTCATCCTATGTCCGTCACTCCAGGCATTGTGGCAAAGAACAAAATACTGGGCCTCCTCGAAAAAAGTCTTGTCAACAATGCTCAACATCAAAGACAAGATGTGACCAGCGGCACCCCACGTGCTCTCGGTGCAGCTCTCGAGGCGATCGTTGTAAATATGCTTCTAGAGTCTACTGGGAAAATAGCCAAGGAACAAATCAGGCTTCTGAGTTGCAATTCGAATTCAAGAACCAAGGGGAGCCAATACTCGTAGATGAGATTTCTTCCAGGACAAATGTCTCAACTCCTACACTTGATCATCGCTTGGAAAATCCTTCTATGGTTATTGAAACAGCGTCTGCTCGCATGCGAAGTCCTACTGACAGTGAACCAACAATAGAAATGGTACAAAGGGGAAGCTTCCAGCCAGTTGAGCCCGTTAGTTTTACTGCCACAGTTCCCATATCCAACAGTGTTGAGGCGATTCGCGACCGTTGGCTCTACCCTTTTGTAGAGGACTCTCCCGCCAAGATTGCGATCCGAGAACATGCATGGAGTTTCTATGCCGTGTACTTCGAACATATCCCCGGATGATGGCACGGAGCGAGAACGTCCCTCCCATAATACACCCAATACAGGTATCTGCCGAAGACATGGCATTGCCACTAGCAAACTGTTTTACGTTAGCAAAAATGTGGGATGGAAGCGCCCAGCCTGCTGGTGATTTAGTTGACCAGACTATCAAGCGGGAGATGGAGAGATTGTTCATTGAGGTCTATAATCACTTCTCCCTCTAGGAATGCAGTGGGTACTTTTCTAACTTCAAACGATATAGTACCGGACATATGACCAGCCTACACTCGTCGCTGCCTTTCAGGCATTGCTAATATACTCGATAATTCTTCTCTTCCCGAATCCGCAAAAACCATCACCAGGAACATTCAATCAGGTAACTCTCATCGCGCTCCAAGACCTTGGCTGCTACGTTAGCGAAACAGACTTCAATCTAGCACCCGTAACTGTACATAACCGACCCACATGGGATACCTGGATTATCGTAAACGCCAAACGAAGAACCCTGATGGCTTTGTACTGTTTTGAGTGGATGTACGCAAGACTTAACGCCTTACCAACATATCCCTGCACAGAGATCGGGTTTATGCCTGGCCCAGCAGGAAAGTCAACCTGGGGAGCGAGGTCAAGAGATGAGTGGGAGTGTGCGTATGGCAGATGGCTAGGGCGATGGGCCGAAGGCGGCTTCTATACAATAAAGGAACTGGCAAACGTTCGGCCAGGGCCCGAGATTGACGCACGCACTGAAATGTGGTTGGAGGAAGCAGATGAATTTGGGATGATGTATATGTCTCTGGATAAAATCTCTCCTCCTGAAGCTGTCTGACTGTCAAGAGCCCCGTTGACACATATAGTAAACGCTACCGAGGGTCACCTTTCTGTTGGAAGTGATCGTAAGGTATAAGACTTTACTTCTGATATGGGAAGGCCGCACGATGGACTTTTGCAGTTTGAGACGAACAAGTATGAGCGCGGAACTATCAATCCTAACCGAGTCTGTCATGTTATGGATCGAAGCGCTAGGGAGTCGCTTATGGTCTTGGTCCGTGCTCTTGAGGTTATTCCCACCTTCCTACTTCTGTACTTCTAGCTGTCTTATTCGTAGTCGTCTTAGTCAATAAAACCTTTATATTAATGCTCCACTGAACTGCGACAGAGTTCCTCTAGCCATAGCAGATAAAATAGGGTAAGGAGAATGGCTAACTCGAATTTCTATACCTTTTGAGTGATGGAGTAGTCTATATCTTAGAACGAAGGCTATCTTGTCCTGTGCATACTTTTATGCGCAAGTATTCGTTCTCTTAGACATTTACATTTGCAATAAGAGCTAGGTACTTGTAGGTAGCATTGATCAATGAGGCCATTTTTCGTCTTCAGCCAGTTAGATTATCCGCTTGGGCCACGTGGTTCAATAGCCGAGAAACGGTATTACTTCCACCTCGATTTGAAAAGACGGCAGACAGGTTCGCGATGGGATAAGAGCAAGAGAAAAGTTTGTCCAGACACCCGAGACAAATATTCATATGCAGGAAGTATATTTAATGCCCGAGACAAGCTAGGCGAATAGTATAATAATCCAGTACTGGTTTTCAAGACATTCAAAGCTCAGGGGCTCGTTTAACAGAAACACGTGCTAAATCCCCCTGACCCCGATATCTTCATATCTTGGCCGGTCAGCCTCTAAGAAACCCTCGACTCTAGCGTGTAGCCAACAGGTGCCTGACGCCAATTAGGACAAGTTCCGTTTGAGCCGTCTTCGGTCCAACCTGCCAAAGACGGAATGTACCCAGGTGTTGGCACGCTGAAACTAGCCATCGACCCCACTAAACCCTATGGCGGCTGCAAGGTCCAGATTTCGAGACGAGGGGTTGTGGCCTCTCAGAAGTGCGAATTGTTTTTGGTAAGATGAGGCGCCGGGAGGCGTTTATAGAAATGTTGGGCTTACGGTCTTACCCACCGTCCTTTCTTTTGTTTTTCCAGTTCACTTTTTAACTCCAGTTTGCGTCTGTTACTTCTTTCTATCTGTAGGAGTATTTTATGAGCTGCTGCGATATCGTTGCGGGGTATCACTACGATTCTTTTGTGCTTTTCACTTCAGCCTTGCGTCTAAACATCACTTGCCTACGCGTCCGGATATCTGTAGGATGGCGCAGCCAGCGCGTCGCCCTGCGCTCAATGAGTTCTTTCAATGGGAGACCCAATCATGGGTGGAGGTGGTTCAAGACTTAACCACAGATGAAAAGGCCTATTTCATGCCCCTAGAGATCCTCACATCCTATTTCACAGCCAACGATAGCAGCGCGCTGAAGTGCATCATATCAGAAGTGTTCGAGACGGAATTCCCCCCAATCGATCCGGATATCATACTGCGAAGCCACACGGCTGTGTTTTGCATCCTTCTGCGTCTAGGCCAGGGACAATGTATCGAAGATTTCGTTCAATTCGAAGAGCTTTCAGATATCCGTCTGCCTTTTGACTCGAATCACCCACCGGCTGAATTTTCGTTCGCCAACGATGATCCGGATTTTCTTCAGAGGTTTTGCGAGAAGCAATGGATGTACTGCGTCCCGGTATTCAATCGGCATATGCTACATAAACATTTCGGGCCCCAGCGTCTACTTCCGATCACTTACAAGGAATCGCTTGTAAAGGAGGGTGTGCTTGATAGATCCGTAATCAAGCTTTATGGGCCTCATAACAGACTAAATGATTCGGAGAAAGAGAAGGTGAGACACACTCCGTATTATTCTCTGCCCTTCCTTAGATTGACTAGGCTAGGCAATGAATAACCCTCACATCAATACCTTTGTCCTTGAGAGGTATCCAATAAAAGCAGGCGAGAGTCGGTACAAAGAGAAAGTCAATGGATTCCGAAGTGTAAAGCAAGAAAGTAGCATTAGAGGCTTTTACGGCAGCTATATTCAGGGAGATTATTACCATATTTTGCTTCAATTCCCGGACAAAGGTACACTGGAGGACTATTTCCATAATGAAGCACCGCCAAGCCGTGGAACAGATCTTACCAAGTTTTGGGAAGCTCTATTTCAGTTGATCAAAGGGCTAAAGTCTATTCATACTGCTCGGGGGTGCGTGATCCTCGTCACTCCTTCGCGTGGAGGCTGACTTAGCTAGGGCCCATCAATATGTCAAGCCGGAGAACGTGTTGGTCATAAGTAATCATGCATCAGGGTCATGGGATTGCGAGTTTAAATTCGCCGATTTTGGCTTGAATCACATACCAGCCGGCCATGGACAAGGAGAGGCGCGGGGAAGAAGCCTCCAAGAAGCCCAGGCTTATGGTATGCCATCCTGCTATTCGAGAGAAAGACTGACTTACAAACTTCAAAAGCTCCCCCGGAGGACTACATGCCGTTCAAGGATGACGAAACAATGCTACCTGAAAAGCCGAGCTGGGAAACTGATATCTGGTCCCTTGGATGTATTTATAGCGAAGCTGCGATGTGGATTGCAGATGGGTACAAAGGCCTTGTCGAGTATCGCCAACAACGCATTTCCGAGACCAAAAGAATATCATTTCAAGGGGGTGATTGTTTTCATAATGGCAAGCAAGTCCTTGTCACGGTTCTCGAGGCTCATAGAGATATCGAGGATAGACTTAGGAGGTCTGATCATATTACAAAGGACGTCCTCGACTCCATGGTGGACGAGATGTTGTGGGAAGAGGATCGACCAAGTGCAAAGGCTCTGTGGCGCAAAGCCGAAGTCATATTGCACAGAGCACGGAAAAGACGCCCTTTAAAGTCAAGCGAGGGCTCTTCAAGGATTCTTAGTGGCCAGAATCGAATCCTCCCTCCACTCCGGCTTCAACCGCCTACCCAGCCCCTGCCGCCAATTCCATCTCTTCCGCGGGGACTAGTACCTGGTCTACCTTCAATCGTGGAGCGGAACCATCCAGCTAATGTAGAAAATTGGCGTTCGAATGTTTCAGAGCCGCATTCAACCCCACGCTCCAATGGACCTAGGGGCCCACCGAGTGAGATATCCAGTCTAGTTTTGCAAAACAAGCAGATGAGCAGTGCCAGTAGTGTCTCGGACTTTGACAGAGAAGTCACAGATTCAGTTGCAAGTTGGCAATTGGGGGATAACAATTCCTCAACCTCTCCTACATCACCATTCTCGTCACCACACGTCAGCATCCACGAGTCTCAACGAAATACTCTGAATGAAGGACGACCGCGGGCACTAACAAAGCAGAATTCATACGAAAGCCGGAGGCCAAATGGTATATCTCGTGGGCCGTCGTATGCAAGCCAACATGAAGTGATAGAGAAGTCTTCCAGGACCTTGTCACTAGCAGAACATCCAGCCTGTACACAGCTAAGCTCCAACATTGCTTCATCCAATGTTCCTCCATCGCCCGCAGACGGCGGTTTTGATCGTCACTCCATGGTAAGCGATGCAAGGAGCCCTGAAGAAACCAGACCTCGTGCTCCACCTTCAAATCACAGTACGGCGGGAAGCCGACACTCAATTGCCTTCTCAACTGCCCATAGCTCGCGTAGTGATCCACCTGCCCGTCAGTCCGTTGGGGAGGATGAGAAAATTCCAGCTAAAGCACAAAAGCTGATGAGTGGTTTTTCTTTATTCCCAAAAAAGTCCCGTCCGATTGAAGCTGCAAAGCGGATGGAAAATGGCCCTGGATACAATACTCATGATGCACGGCGCTCCATGTCATCCCATTCCAACACTACAGCCATGCCATCTATTTCTTCTGACCCAGCTTCTGAAAACCCCGGTTTCTTGTCCTTAAACACATGCATAGAATGGAGGAAAGCCCACAAGAAAGTAAAGAAGCATTCGAAGGTACCACGGCTACCTGGCAACCACATGCTAGAAGGCCTCAAAGAACGGGATCACGTAACTACTTCCCTGCAATCTGAATACGCGGACTGCGGATATATTTACTAACACCAAGCCAGGTATTCATAATCGACGACTCAGCATCCATGGCCCCTCTCTGGCCAGACGTCCACCGCGTCTTCGAAACCCTCTCATACATAGTCAAGGGCATGTCTCCCGGCGGAACCGAGCTCTACTTCACCATCTCCTACGACACGTGGCGGCGCAAAGACACATCTGATCTGGTGGCATGGGCCGAGAAGAAGATATGTGCCGGGGAGACGGATATCTCGTATCGATTGAATCTGGAATTACAATCATACGCTGCGAAGGTGAGGAATGCCAAAGGTGGAAAGATGAGACCGATTAGTTTCTACGTCCTGACAAACGGGGTATGGGGTCAAGGAGATGACCCGAGAAAGTGTGTTGGGGAGATGGCGCAGTTGCTGAGAGATATGGATATGCAAGGACATGTAGCAATCCAGTTTATAGCCTTTGCGGAGACGAAAGAGGCGCTGGAGAAGATGGCTGATTTGGCAGAGGGGGAATTTGCAGTGTAAGTGTCGTTACTTCTCTATTCCTTGACAACTATCTGAGCTAACTTACTCTATCTGGCAGTGATATTGTTGATTGTACGCTTTGGACAGGCAATGTGTTGAAGATGCTTAGAGGGGCTATTGATAAGCCGCTGTTTGCGTCTGCTGCGGAGACATTTAACGAATGAACGTAGTTTATATGGTTTGTGTATGTATCATGTATGAGGAATGGTTGAATGATAAAATGATGGATATCGAGATGAACATGACTTTGAATGTATTTTACGTACGCAGTCAACTGCAGAAGCCACATCCAGCTCTAAACGCAGTGCGTACTTAGAGTTCGATTTGGATTTTATATGATATACTGTACTGGTCAATACGCTCGCTATAGGTGGGTGAGTTTGATACACATACTCTAGCTTATAAGACGTGGATCACCAGGTACGCAGGTCCCAAGTTCTAAAAGCACTTGTCATGCTATACCATACCATACCACGCCATGCCATACCACGACAGCGGGTATACTAAGCCGACTGGGACTGCGACTGATCGACCGAAGCCGTACAGTAAGAAGAAAAAAGATGCGAGGAAATGTGAACGAATATAGGCAACTACGCTTCCGAATGAATGAATGAATGAACGATTGATTCTAGAGAGGGAACACAAGTGAGAGTTATAAAGAGGTTGGTAAATAAACAATATACAGGTTTCATATCTATCTATCTATATCCGGCTAGCGGCTAGCTAGTAAATGCAATGAGCAATCCCAAACGCCAGGCCTCTTAGTCCCACTTTATGTTGAGCTCGGCCATAACACCTTTTAATACACACATTTAAAAGGCAAAAAACGCCGTGACGTGACATGTACCTAGGTACTATACACACATCACATTCCCAAAACCCAAGCCTAAAGCGGAAGAAGCAAGCAAGGCTAGCAAGCATCATTGCACAATACAATCTCTCATAACAAGTCATCAACCCAACCCAACTTATCCCTCCTATCATCCCCAAGTCTAGCGTACTCCATGAAAAGCCTCATGGTATAAATCTGCATATCCTCTCTCCTAAGCACTAGATTCGCCCACTCCTGGCCACTCTTGGCGATTTTCTGCGCCGCTGCATCATGGCCCTTGATATGTATGCCCCTGGCCTTATCCTCGTAGCCGAGGAAGTACTGCATGATGCCCCAGAAATCCATGTAGCGGTTATCCATGGGCACGAAATGGACCCAGGGCATGAGGCGGCTGTCGTGCCATTCGCGGAAGATGGTGGCTTTGAAGGGGAGGGAGGTGGACATGAGGAAGCCGCGGTAGCGGCCTGAGAAGGAGTTGCCGTCGAGGTCGGGCAGATATTTGGAGTTGAATTGGTCTTTCATGTGCATGCCGGGTAGGACACTGAAGAAAGGATCCGTGTGGTTGCATGTTGAGGTGTCTTGTCCATTGTCGCATACCAGGTCCACGAATCCAGTATCGGCCCACTCGCTCGTCCACTTTCCCAATTTGCCCTCGTTGGCAGCAGCCAATTGGTATTGGTTTGACGGTAGTGCCCAATTTTCCGGAAGCTGTTCCCAGCTCTCTGCTCGTTCGATCTTTGTCCCGTTCGTCATGGCGACGAAACGATGCCTTTGAAAGCCGCGCCAATTATCAGCGGTGTTTTTCCCCCCTGTTGCGGCGCCACGCCATATGACTTTGTTCTGTTTCTCCAGCCAGGATACACCTGTTTCGCCGCCGCCTGTGAAGCGTTCTTCGTTGGCCCAGTACATGGGGGCTGGGAGGAGGATTTCATTGTTTGTGGGGAGCTTAGAGCCGCCAAAGAGGGGCGAAAAGACGGATGTTTCGGAGATGGAGAGGGGTTTGATGAATACGCCGTGTAGGGACTGGAGGTCAGGTTGGTGGCAGAAATCGGTGCTGAGGGAGTAGTTGGATACGTAGCCATGGTGGAGGTGGGGGAGGGCGTGGGTTAGGGAGATCACGGGCGGTTCATTGAAGGAGGTCACGATGGCGGCTTTGCGGGCTGGACTGTCAGGGTGGCAGCCTCGAATGGCAGGGACCCAGAAGGATCCAGCTAGATGGTGTTAGCAGATATTTATAATGGTAGAAAGCAGGTGTATTACGCTCTCTATTCCAATTCTTGTCCCGCGTCTGGAGATCCTTTTCAGGCTCCTCCTCAAGGATCCGATACGTCGAATGAACTTCCTTAGCAGGCGCCATAGTTCGCGTGAGTCGTTCAATCTCCATCAATCTGTTAACCTCCTCCCACGGGGCTAGTATTCTCGGCTCGTCCATGGCATTGAGGGGGATGTCAAGATCTGGCAGCATATCCGCGATGGACTGTGTCATGTTCAACCAGATCTGTGTCCAGAACCAATCACTTACAGCCGTCGCCTTCTGCCCCCTAACATTGATCACCATTTCATAGTCCCAGGACTCCTTTCGTAGAATGGCGGGATCCAGACCCCAAAAGGGGCCAAGGTCGTGGTAGATCTGGTCAAAGAAATCCTCCACCATGATTCCCTTTTTCTTCTGCGCAAAGTCGAACCAGACATCGAATCCGGGTGGGGGGTGTCGTCCTCGACGTCTCCGATATTCTGCAGCAGCGTTCTTCACATTGTGACTTTCTTTCCTCAAAACCCCCGCAAAATTCTTCTCGGCGTTCTGGATTAATTCGTCAATGGGATGCGCGGTGGCAGCTGATCCTGATCCTATTCCTGCCTTAGTTTCTGGTTGTGGAGTGTGTATCTTGGTATGGTCTTCCGTACCTTGAGGATCTAGCGGATGCCCAGAAGAGCTGAATGTTGCAAGTCGCGCCGAGTGGCGTGAATAAAAGAGCACGCCCAGGATTCCAGCTGCAATTATCAGGTATCGCAGTATGCCAGAGGCGCGTCGTGGAGGACCTTTGTAGCTCATGGTGATGGGAGATGATATCTTCATAGGTGCTGGTAGGTTGTAATAGTCTAGGACGATAATGAGCGAGGGGGAAATAAGTCAAGTTGATCGGTCGAAGGCGGTCAATAGTGGGCGGTAGGATGAAAGAGGCACGAAAAGGCCAAATGGGGAGTTGGTGATTCGACAACGGTATGGTAGGTCAAAAGGAGCGTGGTGGTCTTGTGGAACCAAAACAGTAGAGTAGGACGAGGGCCACAGGACGAAGGCGAACGATGAACAATGAAGGTACGGCCAATTCAATCAAATCAAGATGAAGACCAAATGCAAACAACGGGCGGTGGGTATCATTTAAGGACCATAATTCATGTCAGACATTAAGTTGAATCTGCAAGCAATGGGGCTGAGAAGACGGATGGATGATGGATGATGAAAATAGATGAAGAAAGGAATATGCTACTGGTGGGTATCCCCATATTTACTATTATAAAAACCAGGAACAGGGGAAGAGATACCGTAGCACTGAGTACCTTATCTTAGAGTGAACATTACAGTAGTGTATCAACTAGGGAGGGGTGAAGTACAGTAGACCCAGTCCAGTGAAGTAAAAGAGAGTGAAAGTGACACGGCAAAAAGTTGGGTTGAAATTGGTTGGTGCTTGCAAACTACATCCGAAAAGGGGCTGGCTGATAGCTTAACTGCAGCATATACTCCGTAGATCCCGTCGTCCCGTTAGCCAATTAAAAGGTCTAAATCGTATTTTAGCCCTTTTTTACGTATCACCCGAGAATATTCCGTAAACCCTGGCAGTAATCAGGGTCTGGTGGGATACGTTTGCTGGATTATTTTTGGATTATACGAAGTACTTCGTACTTCGTACTTCGCATTCCGAAGTACATGAAGGATTTCTTTTTATCTGATGCTTTCCAGCAATGGTGGGTTCCCTGGGTTGATCTATGACGCTTTAGTGAAAAAGGGGTGTCTATTAACTTATTAAGCTTGTTTTACCTCCGTAGTCAAGCCTCGACAATTGATTGACATGGGCAGGGGCAGGGAGTCTAGAAGTCTAGAGTCTAAAATGGATGGAAAAGGCCTATCGAAATTTCTACTAACGTATGAAGGTTAGACTGGCGGATACCATGTTCTCCGGATACAGCAGTTGCTTTCACGCATCCCGGTGGTGCCACATTCTCACATGCATCCCAGATCGTTCACCCAACGAACAAGTGATACGCTGTACTCTATCCCCATAATTGTTTCACAGGCGCAGATGAAACCCGGCTCAAATCTTAAATGTATAGCCGAGACAGAAAAGGCAAAACATCAGGCAAGACTGAAGACGGAAAAAGTCTATACAGTATCCCAGTATCCTTCGCAGAATATGGAGCATATCCTCGAATCGCGAAAAATAAGTATCTACCGGATTGTGGGATTGGGATGAAGAAGAAATACGAGTAGCGCCGGGGAAGATGGCGTTTCGGGTCAGCACTGTGGCTTTTGGACCACGTGATGGACGGATCATCGGAGTAGCTTAGTCATGCATGAGGATATTTCATCGTATAGTAGCACACGTAAATCTTAACAAATACTTGTACAAGTCTTCACCTTACGGAGTAGAAGTAAAACCCCTCACCCCCTCGAGTGCTAGGAAAGTCCATTCAATCCACCCCAGACCTTGGATTACCCGCAAATATTCTGAACAAAACTTTAAAAGGAGGTGATTGGTTGCTGTGGCTGTTGCTGTTGCTGTTGCCGTTGCGGGCAAGGCTACGCTTACGGAGTAGGATAACATACAGCCGCCGCGACCTTGCGTAGATAGAACAGCACAACTCAAGAACAAAACACCACCTCTCTGTTCCTTCCAGTCGACTCCCTAGCTATGGCAGGGCTCGACATTCCCATTTCTAATGACTTACGACAACTCATATTTTATTTCCTAGATAAAAACCTCTTGCATAACGCCCTCTTCCTTGCTACGCGCCTTCAAGCTCGCGAAGCATCCGCCGACGCGACGCACATTCTCTCTCTCTGCTACCTAAGATTAAATCAACTGAGCGCAGCAGCTGAGCATAGTGAATCGTTTGCTAAAACGGGGCAACATCTTGGTTGTATATACGTGTTCGCGCAGTGCTGCCTTGGTCTTGGCCAGTTCAAGAATGGTATACAGGCGTTGAAGCAATCTAAATCTCTGTGGAGAAAAAAATGATAACTGGGGCAAGTATTGCCAGACGATTGGGCTCAATTCATTTGGAAAAAGCTAATACTTATGTGTTGCGCAGGCAAACACTCAGAAACCAATCGGCGAACCCACCCAGATGCTGCGGTGATATATTGTTTGTTGGGAAAACTATATCAGGGGGGTAATGATGTCAAAGCAGCAGTTGAGGCCTACAGTAAAGCGCTGAAACTGAATCCATTCATGTGGGACGAATTTATACACCTCTGTGATACAGGTCAGTCCCCCAATCTTGTTCAAAATACGCTCAATCTTGCTAATATGCCCAGGCGTTGATATCAAGATTTCCAATATCTTTAAACCGACTTCCAACATGTTGGGCTCATTTCTGGAACCCTCCTCTTCTGGGTCACACCCTTCAAACATTCCAGATACGCCGTCTTACGGGATCCTAGGAGACTGCACATCAAATCAAACTCGGACAAAGACTTCATCGAATGCTGATCCATTTAGCATATCCACCCGACACAACCTTCAATTGAACACCAAAGAGCATAAACCGTTATGGCATCCCGCGAAAGCTCTTTATGATTTGTCTCCAAATGATAATGACACAACAAACGGAGGAATAATTGGGACTAGCACCAAGACATCAAGTATACCAGCTGCAGCAACTATCCTTCAAGGTCATAGCCTACGAACTTCAAGAGACGACGGGGGTCTAGTTCCAGCTTACACAATCCCCAAACCTCCTAGACATATGAACCAAAAGGTCCGGGCCGTGGGGAGGGAATCTGCCGGTGCACAAGCCCGCATACAACAAACGCTTCCGAAGAAGGGTATAGCCTCTGACTCACATTCTGAAGACTATGGGTCTTCTGTCTCCGTGGGTGGCCGTAAAAGGTTGACATCTGGGCAGCCTGCACGTGGCCAAAGTCAGGAGCTCTCCGACGACGCAGTAGTAACGAGAAGAAGCGCTCGACTAATGAGCCAATTCCCCCCCTCTAACACATTGAATTTCAGCAACAGAGGTAACGATCGCGAGTTCAAGATAGCAAAAGCCTCAAGTCTCAAACGGCCTGGCAAAAGCTCAACTTCAACTGCTAAACAATCAGGATCTAACAATATAAATTCTGGGGATTTAGACACATTTCCCGAACCTCGTTTTCTGCCGTCGGCAAATGTGTCAATCCCAGCAGAGGTGTCTCTCCAGACTTCTGACCGTCGCGAGGCCCTTTATTGGCTATTGGATCTGTTCAAGAAACTCGGTGAAGGCTATTATCTATTAGCTCATTTTAATTGCAAGAAGGCTCTTCAACTCTTCGACTCCATTCCTACTTCGCAAAGAGAAACAGTCTGGGTTCTCTCACAGATCGGACGAGCTTCCTTTGAACAAGCAAATTATGTTGATGCAGCGCAAAATTTCGCAAATGCACGAGCTATCTCTCCTCTACGCACAGAAGATATGGATATCTACTCAACATGCTTGTGGCATTTGAAACGTGACGTTGATCTTGCGTGTTTGTCCTACGAACTTGTGGAGTTGGACCGTCTATCGCCACAAACATGGTGCGCCGTTGGAAACTCATTCTCACTTCAGCGTGATCACTGAAACGCTATAAGGTGCTTCAAGAGAGCAACGCAACTTGATCCTCAGTTTGCATACGCCTTTACGCTTGAAGGGTATGAACACATCTCCACTCAAGAGTACGACAAGGCGATACAGGCTTTCCGAAAAGGCATTGCATCAAAGAGGAGGCACTACAATGCGTGGTATGGTCTAGGGATTGCTCACCAGAAAACAGGAAAGTTCGATCAGGCAGAGGCTTGCTTTCGCACTGCCTCCAAAATCAACCCTACAAATGCTGTGCTAATAGGCTGTATTGGAATGGTAGGTGTCCATTACATCCTGCTGCATATATTCATTTAAACTTACGATCTCCTTAGGCACTTGAAAGGAAGCAAGAGCTGAATATGGCATTGCAGTACTATACCAGAGCGTGCAATGTATCACCCAACTTAGTGCTTGTGCGGGAGAGGAAAGCAGATGTTCTTCTCAAGCTGAATGATCTACATGGAGCCTCTGCGGAATTGGCGATTCTAAGAGATCTTGCCCCTCAAAAGGCGAACGTGTACGTTCTACTTGGACGGATGTATACCTTGGCAAATGAAAAAAGAAAGGCGATGCAGAATTTCACGATTGCTCTCAGCCTGGACCCGCAGGTATCTATTTCTCCAGTTTGATTATATCTGAGTACACTCTAACGAAGGATAGGCATGTCAATCCCTGAAATCAGAGATCGAATCCCTGGAGACTGAAGACGACGTGTAGGACTTTTTGTATTCCGACTGTCGCTCATAAGTCTCCAAAGATCACAATATATTGTGCGGAACTTGGTCAAATCGAAAGAGCAGTGTATAAGTGAGATTTGATATGACCAACACAACGTCTTGCAGGGCAACACCGAATCCAAAAGCTCCGCCCTTCAAACAAATACTGTCATGGTGTCAACTGGCATACACCAATGACCGTCCGACAATGACACCTAACGAAGTGAACCACATGGGCAGAGGTTGCTTTCAACCTCGGAGGTCGAGTGTCATGATGCAAGCTTTCTTCCGGCGACGATCCCTGCACTCAGTGTCTCTCAAGTTAATGGTGTCTTTGCACGACTTGAATATCTCAGTATGTGTGGTGCACATGATTGCTGATTTGGATGGTTAGTGAAGGGATATGCTCGTGTAACTTAGGCTCTGGCGTGCTGGATCTAAGATCGACGGAATCGGAACGGCGGTGGTTGGGAGTGATCTTGGTAGATTGTCTATCTCAGGCTTGCTAGTAAATCAGCAGGTGGTGGGACTATACGATGGAGTCGTCATACCACAGGATTGATATGAGAGATGTTGATGGATGTAAGACGTTACCAGCTTGGATTTATCACAACAGACTTCTTAAACCTCCTCACCCCCTTTATCTACGCGCCAGAGTCTGGACAAGGAACTTTCTAAATCAATTTGAATATAGCCGCGCAACTTTTTCTCTGAACCATGGACTGAAATACTTACTGCGCCGTGTTGGTGTTTCCCGTTATTGGAGTTTCAAGCCCATTCAACTGTTATCACGCTGTACCTCAGATCATTCATTACCCTGCGTGAGCAATCAATTGGATGGGCAAGCATCCGAGGGTTCCTTTGAACCACTTGGCCTCCTTTGTATTTGGTATCGTGGCCGAGGATCGTCTAAGTGCGTATCGCCCGCCTATTTCCCCGGCCATCACATTAGAGTCCATTCAACCCACCAACACCTAGCTTCACCAAACACCAACACCAACTGTGATAGTCATTCGGTTCCCACTCTCGCCAACTTCCTCACGTAATATTGGCGTAAATCGGTATTTGCTAAATACAAGGCGGTCCACCCTCCGTGGCCCCAGAATCTTCCGTCTCAATACCAAATCCTGAAATATATTCGTTGCCAACCTCTGGTTATAACCGCCAGCTCGAAGATCATCTCAAACGTTATAAATTAGTTGCTGTTACGGGCACATCCTAGACCGGTCAATAAGGCTATTTGATCGAAAGCTACATCACCAGGTCCTGCGGCTTGTTTCCTCGCAGCCTCATCAAGTTGGTTTTCTAGCCTCAGGCTGCAACTGTCACCTTGGCTCCGTACCCTACTTCAGCGGTTAAGTATTGTTAAAATTTTAAACAAACATGGGGTTTTAGTGTGCCCGTTAAGCCTATCAGCGCTAAATAGAAATAGAAAGAGTAAGCACTAATTTGGAATTTTAACAATACTTAACCGCCGTAGACGGGTCGCGCTTGCGGCCAGCGAATTACAGCTGCACGCCTGAACACCAATTGCGACTCATTCCTTTGTGTCGTTCTGGAGTTAGATAGCTGAGGGAGGACCTTTCTAATCGTACTTTGTCCAAGCTTGTGATGGTTCATTGGTGCGCAAATGGGCACCTTTCCGAACTAGTCAAGTTGGCGTGTTGCTTCCTTGTGGTTTGTTGCAATCTCATCTCCTTTTGCATGTTGGGAATTCGGGGGGTGGAGGCGTTGATGGAGCCATAATTCGGGGTGAGTTGTAAGGAATAAGGTTCGAAAATGACTTATTCAAAGTAGAACCTGGCGCAAAAGCACAAAAAAACTAAGTTTAGGGAGCCCACATTTGCTCGAACCTTCATATTTTAACAAACTGAACTAACCTTTCTTTCAGCCCATCTCGTCTGCGCCTCAAAATCCACCCGCTCTTTTCCAGTAAGATTCTTCAATCCTTCCTCCCTGAGCTCAGCGAACATCTCAAGTGCCTGGTCGTATGTCTCATTGGAAGTCCATCCATCGCGACCAACGAGCCCGGCTAATGAATCCCAAAAATCTGCTCGTTCGTTCCAACCCTCACCGTCTCTATAATGAGCCTGCAGTTCCTCTTCTGTGAAATGTATTGGACAGGGAGTATCGAAGCCTAATTCGTCCCAATGCCTGTGTATTATGCACGTTAGTAGTATTCTAAACATCATAGAACGAGGAGTGAACGAACCGTTCGATTCGAATAAGGCATTGCCGAAAAGGTATAATGTCTCCATCCCAGGTGTTCGCAGCAAACTGTACTGTTTCTCTCCTTGTTCGACCATGATGTAGACGGAGAATCTCGCTGAGCAATGGATTATTTTTATCGGTTTCCGTTTCGTAAGTGTACAGGACAATAGACTTTTCAACTTGCTTTCTCGTGCGAGCTTTTGCCTCGCCCTCTTCAAGGCTCTCATAATTCTCTGGAAGCTTTAGCAACACCTCGCCGTCATAATCCACGAGCTTTGGATGCCGAAATTGAAGGAATAGAGGGCCAACCCATGTATCTTGCCAGTCAATGAGGCTAGTAATTCGATTGCCTTCCACAAAGAGGTTTGCGGAATGAATATCCCAATGCCAAAGGGTGGGGGGGGAAAGCTTCTTGTTTTGGGGCAGAAGGTATGGTATAACATGTAAGAACATTTTGTAGAGTGAAATGTGGTGACTGGGCGAATTCTGAGCTTCAGATGCAAGAAATATATCTTTTGGCGGTTTTGGAAGAGCAAAGCTACTTATCCAAGCAATCTCCCGATTAGCTATCGCTGTCAGATAATCCTGTGGGCTTTCCCCTACATATTGGCATTAGGATACTATAGTCATATTTAAATGCAAACGGGTTGATCTTACAAGGACCTCGGTCAATGGCCATCGACGCCCGCTTTCCGTTCCAAAAATCTCTGTCAACAACTGGTCCGATGGTAAAACGCTCTTCCACAACTCTTTTCAAGTCTGCAGAAATATCGCCTACAACCTTAGCTGCTTCACACCCTGGAAATGAATCGCTGGCGAAGTAAATATTGCCATACCTAGTCTGCGATTAGTGCCAGTCTGTGATACCACTTTGTCCCACAAAACACAAACCGCGTGAAAGACACCGAGAGCAGCTTCTTCTCTATTTCGACTAAGCCCTTGACGATATTCGCTTTATCCGAAACTTTTTTGTCGTCCCAGACGTCCTCTAGATGTGTCCCTGGTGCCTCCTCCATTATAATATACTCGGCTTCTACTGGATTGTTTGCTGTTGCACTCCAAGCGAAAACCTTTGGAACGGGGATATTTAGTACGGTTCTAGCCTAGACGAAGGTACAAAATTAGTCAATATCCTTTTGCGACATTTGATCATAGAGACGTCTTACAAAATCCATGGTTGCAACTTCAGAAGCAGTCGTCCTACAGGCAGGCCCAGCATTTGGATTCGGAATACGGGCAATCGCAACAGAACCGTTGTCCATAACCAGGCGGAACACCTTGTTGTATCCTCCTTCAGCGAGTTTAGTTATGGATACGCATGATTGCGCTCCGACGCTTTCGGCTGCGATACGCTGGAGCTCTTGCACATTGAAAACGCGGAATCGTTCACGTTTCTGGCTCTCTTCATCCCATAGCCAGCGGCCACTCGTGTAGTGGAAGAAGTGCTCATATGGCGAGGTTGAATTGGTGGATATTGTCCGTGACAGATTGTGGCGGATACTGGACTTGCTAGAACCGAAGCAAGGTAGAATTTGTACCGGAAGACAGCCTTTGTAGATTAATGCTTGAGCCACGACGGACCTAAGTTGGGGTCGATAAAGAATGCGAGTAAGGTGAGGCATCTGGGCTAGGTGATCCAGTTGGATGAGGACTTGAAAGGACGCTGCTACACTGGGAATCGCTGATTGACGGCTTGCTCCTTCGCTGCAAGAGCCCGACGAACGGGTTGCGTCGCGGCGAAACTTTGTATGTGTGGAAGTAGAGCGCCTTGAGCGAGTTCTCCTCTGTTGGTGTTCATCTTGCCGTACCGCAAGTCTACTCCGTAGGTACCGATCGATTTACCTAAACAGCTCGATCTCAAGATATGCTGCAAGGCACGGAGATAGGGTTCTGAGAAAACCCGGCCGCAGTCCTCAGCTTGTTGACTCAAGAGTCGTTCGTCCCTGATCAGGACTCCCCTATTTTCCTGATGTATAATGCGCAACCGGATCGGGCAAGTATTACACATCTACCTCTGTAGAACAGTTGGACTTTTGCCTAGGCCTATTATTATCGTGATATGGAAAGGTTCCCTGGCAAGCAGCATAGACCTTACTGTACTTCTCTGATTGAGATCACGTCGGATCTTGGTAGAGATTGTTATGGAATGGAGAATTAGACATGCTAAAGCCCATCCTAACCTTTCATACACCAGATCCAAACTCTGTTCACTTTGGCTCGGAGAAATACCACACGTGACTATACCATGCCATGCATGATCTTCATTTCTCTTCAGCTTCACTCCTCACCCCGCAACTCGTACGTATGACAGACAACATCAGATCTTCTTCATGAATGCACACTATATAAAATTGGTTCGCTGCCTCTGTTTGAATTATGCATCCGATCTGGAGCACCGGTTACTACCTTGTATCGCAATATTAATCATTGCTGCCTCTCGCATCTCTTGACTCTTGTCCTTCAGACTCTCCAAATGGCCATCTCAATCAACATCGTGAACATCCTCCTTCCCTTTTCCTCCTCCCACCCCCTCTCCGGCTCGTTATTATTGCTATCATGAAGCTGTTACAAATCCCACCATGATTGGCTTTCATCTTATCCGCCATTTTGTTGCCCATGTCGAGTTTGACACCGGATTACTGCACCACGGGTCTTCCTGCTTTTAGGGATCATGAGGATGTTGTCGCATCGCGTATATTCAACTTTAAGGGAAAACGCTCCAGACGAGAAAATCTCTTCTTACCTAGCAGCGCACTATGCCGCAGCAACGCGGAACAAAGGCCACACACACATTATCTGTCTGACATAAGACAACGAGATCGCTCCTCCCTTTTTGAGATTTTCGTGCAAGTCAATAGCCTCATGTCGAACATCTTAACCCCGCGCATAATATCTGTCCCACCATCATCATCATCCCCCACAACAGCCAAGTCGCAATCCCACAAATAAAGAGAACACCATAAAGCACTCACAGCCTCCCACCTCGCCCACCATGACAACCACGTCAATGATTCAACCAAAGTTCCTCTCCAAGGGCGACCAGCTCGGTGTCGTCGCCGTCGGTTTCTCAGGCGGCCAAGTAAGCCTCCCCTCCATCATCTACCCCTCCACTACCCCTCCATTGCACCTCTAACAAACACAACACAGTGCAAACCCGGTGTCGATGCCGCGCCCTCAGCCCTCATCTCCAGCGGTCTCCTCACGCAGCTGCACACCGAATTAGGTTACAACCTCCACCACGACGACACCGTGCACTCGTACAAAGACCTGATCCCCAGCTCTGACCCCGATGTGCGCGGCATGAAGAACCCACTCGCCGTGTCGGCCGTCACGCGCAAGATATGCGAACAAGTATACACGCATGCCAAAGAAGGCCGATGCGTGCTGACGCTGGGAGGCGATCATAGTATTGCTATCGGCACGATTGCGGGGACTGCAAAGGCAATCAAGGAGAGATTGGGGAGGGAGATGGCGGTTATTTGGGTGGATGCGCATTGCGATATCAATACGCCTGAGACGAGTGGGAGTGGGAATGTTCACGGTATGCCTGTTGCCTTCTTGTCTGGCCTCGCGAAAGAGGACCGGGAAGATGTGTTTGGGTGGATCAAGGAGGAGAATCAGATCAGTTTGAGCAAGTTGGTTTACATTGGGCTTAGGGATGTGGATAGGGGCGAGAAGATTATTCTGAGGGAGAATGGCATCAAGGCGTTTAGTATGCATGATATTGACAGGTATGTCTTGCACTGTTTTGAGTTGGATGGAACTGATTATGAGTAGACACGGCATTGGCAAAGTCATGGAGATGGCTTTAGGACATATCGGAAACGATACACCTATCCACCTCTCATTCGACGTTGATGCTCTTGATCCTCTATGGGCTCCTAGCACTGGCACGCCAGTCCGAGGTGGTCTTACACTTCGAGAAGGAGATTTCATTGCCGAGTGCGTTCATGAGACAGGATGTCTGGTAGCTATGGATCTGGTAGAGGTCAATCCTACGCTGGACCCGGGAATTAATGATCTCGGTGCTCAGGAGACGGTTAGGGCTGGATGTTCGTTGGTAAGATGTGCACTGGGAGAGTCGTTGTTGTAGATTACATGTGAAGACGGACTGGACTTACATATTGAGGGTCTTGGGACGCATGGCAGGCATATCATTACAGGACATACTTAGGTAGAGATTGATTCTTGTATGAAATAATCCTAGACATCCATTAGATATATATATCATTACTGTAGTACCCGCCTCATTAATGAACATAGAATCTATAATTAGTCTCCATCTCGCGTTCGGTGATGTTGTACGTACGTGTACCTACCTAGACCCAGGGCCAGGTACGGAGTACTCGGAAAGGTAATCAGTCTCTACGTGGACGAGTTTTCATCTTTCATGTTAGCAATAATTCAAAATCCAAGTAAACTAAGACTATGTATATTAAATAGAGTTATAATCTTTTATTTCATAAACTTCTCAGAAGCAATTATTAATATTCAGCTATATAAATACCGAGGTCATTTCAATGCGACTTAGGGACGAATCCGCCTATTTTATCGTAGTCAATCCTCCCCGCCACCAACATTATCGCAATCGCATCCTCCCTAGCGGGTGGTCGGGTCTCCTCCCCAACCTCGCGAGAAAAACAAGCATACATGCGTCACTCCCCGCCCAGTTTTATTTATCCTCCGAGTGCATCACCTCACATCACATTGCAACATAACACAGCATAACACAATCGCTACGGGTATTCATTCTTTCTCAGCATTCGTTCACTTGCTCAAGTTACTCAATCAACTCACTGTATTACTTTGAATCTGAAGCTTCTCGATCGAGTTGGTATTTTGTGCAAGGGAAGGCAAGCCAGGCACCTCGGCTCGGCACGGCGATCGATAAGATAGCTGCCCAGTCCAGTCCACAGTGGGTGGGACAACACAGCATTACTGTATCCGCCAACGAACGAAACAACATCGATATCCACCGACGAACGGTGAAGAAGAGGAGAGGAGAAAGAGAGGGAGAGAGACGTGGACGCTTGGGATTCGGCGTGTAGAGAGGCTGGGCTGCTACGTATTTAAGGAAGAGCAGGAAGGGGAAATAACAAGAATTGCGATACAGTACGGAGGAAGGGTATACAGAGGATACCTACAGGTGCGACGAACGATAACACGATACCGGTCCTCGATTCGATTCGGTTCGATTTCTGAATATACGGAAGCAGCACAAGACTCGATTGAAGGATCGAACGAACGAACAAACACAGAGGTTACTTACCTACTTGTCTTACGAGTAACTCTCTTGTGTGGAGTGTCGCACGCATAGTACAGTGCGGTGCGAGAGAGGGCACGAGGGTATCCGGAACTCGACCCCGTTACAGTAACTCGACATTGCATCACGATACAACACAACCAGCTACATACCTCTTCTTCTGCACTTTGTCGCTCAGCGCACATCTACTCAATAAACTCGCCTCGCCTCGCCTCGCCTCCGGCTCACAATCGCAACAATGGTATCCAGCGCCTCGACCTTCTCCGAAGTAGTGCTCCAGCGCGTACGCACCAAGTACCGATGGCCGCCTCTGCAGCTGAATTTCTGGCTGCTGATCATGTTGGTAGGCAGCTGTACGATCCTGGGTGTTTTTGCGAATTTCTTGGGCGTGCAGGGACAGTTGCATGTTGGAGTTCCTTGGTTTGTTCGCCTTTCCTCTGCCCCTCTCTTTTGATACAATTGCATGGTCTGTCTGCTATGCGGATGGAATAAGGGTTTACGTGTTCCTTTATTTGTTCTTGGAATAGACTCGCTGACCCCTCTCCCACACAGGTACTTCCCCTACTGGATCGCCGTCTCAGCACTCAGCATAGTCTTCATCCTACTTCTCCTCTACCTCATCTCGCAACGGCAGCTGCTGCCTGGGATCGTGATCATGGGCTCTTTTATCTTATTCGTGCTGTGGATCGTGGGCCTGATTGTCATCAGCGTGCAACTGTGGGGGCCGAGCGGGAGCGTGAATAGCAATTGTAATATCTATGTCAATGGGAATGTGCAGCATGGGGCGAATACGGAGACGTTGGCTTGGTTGGAACAGAAGAGTATTTGTAAGTTTATTCTTCCCCTCCATCTATATTCTTACGTCCTTTGCTCTTTTCTTCCTCTGCTACGAGGGAGGGGATTTCAGAGGATGTGTGATTTGATGGATCTATTTCTAACGTCTCACAATAGGTCAGTCTTGGACCGCAGCATGGGCTTTCCAACTCGTCGGCTGCGTCTTCCTGCTCTGGATGATGATCATGGCATATCAAGTCTACCGAGACGATCTATAACGCATCCTAGCGCGTAGTGCGTAGTGCATACTGTATATACACACTCGGTACAATTCGAAGTCGCAATTGGAATCGGAGTACGACGGACGCTCGGGCTGGCAGGCGGGCGGAGAATGAGAGAATGAAAGAATTATATGAGATATGTGGATTGGATTGGACGGGATATGATGGGATGGAAAGGAATGGGTATATTATATGAAGAATGGATGGATGCATGGCGTTTAGGATGGGACATTGCATTGTTGATATGGCATAATATGGCATGACGTGTCAGAGTTTAGTTGGGTGGTCGGTCGGTTGTTTTATTGTACATGAGACATGGCATAGCATGGCATAGCGAGTTGAGCGAGGCGGCCATTTCGAAGAAGTGCGTACATGTATATCTATCTATCTATCTTTCTACCTATCTATATTTCAAAGCACATTTAGCCCGAATGATTTCCCTCACTCGTCACTTTCACGTGTCCCGTTTGTTGGGTTGTTTTACTTATGCATGAGTTCTGGTATGCGATAGGTAATACATGAATGGATGGATCAAGTTCATTGGGAAGCTATCTAATCTACACCCTTCCTATTGCACACCGCTCCATCCATCCCTAATAGCTGACTGAGCCGGGCAGAGGAAAAGGAAAGAAAGACAACTCTTCGTGAGCGGAAATAGCTATTTCGGAGCTCCCTGTGGATGGATACCTGCGGACCGAGGATTGAAGAGGAGATGAGGAGGGGGGGTCTCTAGTTGGAGTACTTGGGGTTGACTTGTGAGCTGTGGCGAGGTGGTGTTAGTTAGTGATGTGTTTGTTTGTTGGTGGGATGTGGGCGGGAGAAACATACCCAGTAGCTTTCTCGTACAAGCCCCTTGCACCATCCGTGATCTTCTCATTGGTATCGCGACCGATCGTGTGGCCGGATTTCTTCTCGACGAAATCAAGTCCTGGTTGAGGAGACGTTAGCTTGATGTTGGGTCTGCTTTTTGATGTGTTCTCACGTGAGGGTGGTGAAAGTGGAGTGAAGGAAGTTATGGCAATGGATTGGGAGAGGGAGAGGGAGAGGAACATACCCTTATCACCATAATCCTCGGTTCCAGCATTTCCCGTCTGGCCTGTTGCAGGCTGTTGGGTGGTGGCCGAGTTGTTTCCTCCGGAGCTGATGGCGTTCTTGGCTTTGTTTACGAAATCCATGATTGCTTGTTTGGGTTAGGTTGGGTTGGGTTGGTTTGGTTTGGTTGTTACTTGAAGGTGATATGTGGATGTGGATATGGATTTGATTGTGTATTTGGATGTATTTATGAAGAGGACGGGTAGATCAAGGGTCCAAGGCTTGATATATATAGATGGATGGGTCAACTCTACCTAGGACAGCTCTAGTGCATAAGGTAGAGTAGGTAGGGCAGGTATCCAGTGGAACGGAACAGGTTTAGTTGCGTCATGGGGCCGAGGCGTGGTGTTACGCGTAGTGGGGTGGTAGCTGGGCTGGCTCTTGTTCTTGCCCTCCCCTCCCTACGTCATGGTCGCTTGGCGAGAAGGACACCCCGCCATCCATCGACCTACATTCGTTGGAAAGAGAAGGGATACAAGACAAGTAAAACAGGATATACTCGGTGTACTTGACTCGAATTGTTTTATATGTAGAAATACAATGTTATGGGTGATTGTCGTTCATGCTGTGTTGTTTTGAAGAGTGATACTGCACGGAATGGTCAGGTGAGGAGGGGTCGTAGTCGAGTCGATAGATAGCATGAGCCTTGGCAATTCATGTATGTTTGAGCTGGACGTTTGAGGCGCAGGAAGGTGGGTAGGGTAGAGGGGTTCTACCTGGTGTCTTTTCTGATACAGTATCTTCATCATCTGTAGGATTACGAGTATAATGCAGATGCAGATGCAGATGCAGATGTAGGTGCAGTCCGCGCTTTCTCTTCTCTTTCCACTCTGTGGCTCCTTGTTTGCTCTCCTACTGTACAGTACTACTCTTATCATTTCTAGAACATGGCATGGCCACGGGTAAAGATCCCTCCATCTCGGGCCTGTAGATCTTGTGCGAGATCTCAGCGCTTGGTACGTCGGTCGGATCTGTGTGGATCAAGAACACCACGTGATGGGTTTTAACCATCGGCAGGCTAACATCGTCGTGGGGAGAGATTTCTCTCATGGTCACCTTTATCTTGAGAAGTGCGAATGCGTTTGTCAAGTGTTCTTGGATGAAATGGATAACATACCTGTCGAAGCAGAACCGAACAATCGCAAGAATCCTCTTGAGTTCATCAACCATAGAACGAGTCAAGATATCATTCCAAGCAAGTCTAATGGGGAAACCGGGCGAGTTCGATAGAGGCAGCACAGATAAAGGCCCCTCCATTCGTCGCATCGTCTCAAAAGGCAAGTTGGTTTGCGAGGTGCAAGTGCAGTTCCTCTTTATACCTCAGTACATCAAGTATTCCGTCTCACTCTTCCTCTCTTACACCTGGGATTGAGACTCATATAGTACATTAGGATGGCCCTGTTCCGAGCGCGATCGGATCCATCAGGACCAGCTTCTGGTACAGCGCTTCCAAAATGAAGTGAAACCTGTTAGATAACTCTTATCCTTAGCCCAGCTGAAGACGTAGATTGTGACCGCCATAGAGCTGCTCTGTTGAAAATCTTGCCACTTTGTTGCGTGAACGTTTGGTGAATACTGTGAAGGAAGCCCAGGGAGTAATGAGCTTGTAGTAAAAGATGTAAGACGCTTGCGAAGTGTATGAAAGTGAAGTGTTTATTGTTCGCTAGAAGTCTCGCCATGCGGCGTAACATAAAGCACTGGTACTCGGTAGCTTTGACTTGAAAACACACCATAGGTGTATTACTATACTGTGATAGGCTTGTACCAACCTTTTGAAGATCTACTGTCAATGTAACAGCAATAGAAACAAAGAGTACCTTGGGTAGATATTAGATCAAAGCACGTGACCACTGTCGCTAAAGCGGCATTAGATTTCACCCGGTCAACATTCTGATGCAGCGCTCCAAAACAACAAGCAGAGTACCACGATCCTACTCTGACTCTATCGACGCAACCCATAACACTTATCAACACCAAGACACTCGCTTCATTGCTTTCGCCATCATGTCCAGCTCACTCACACTTTATCTGCAGGCCTGTTGACGCTGTGAACCGCTCAAGCACGACGCGCCCTCCTATTCACACACTCCCTAGGACCAAGCGCGTTCTCTCGAAAAGGAATTCTTTCACACGCCCCGAGACTTTCTACTTCAAAAAGTCTTTTCCTTGAATACGAATGCCACGCGTTGAACACACATACTCAAGATGGCGGAGGAAGGGCATCACAACCTATCGATTACCATCCCCGATACCACGCGACCTCAAACTGCCCGCAAGGATTCGCGCAAAGTCCCCGGTGGCTTTAGCTTCGACGACATAGATGATTTGTCGCCAGACAAGGAAACCTTTGACGATTCTATATTTGCGAATGCGCTGGCACATCAAGAGAACAATCGAGTCCCGCCCCTCGATCCTACAACCCTCCCCTCCCTACCCCCGCCAACCGACAGCAGTTTCTTATATTATCACAACCAGAGCGGGAGTGGAAACGGAAGCGATGCGCACCCGGATACGTTGGACGAGAGAGAATTGCATAGGCATTTGAATGATATAGAGTCTAGCTTTGTAGCTGCTCCAGAGACCATTGGTTTCCAGGACAGCAAAGGATGGGACGATACATATCTTTTCGACGGGGCGCGAAAACCAGAACCACCAAAAATCCCTTCGAGAGGCAATACCTCTGGCAGAAATCCTATATATTCAGATGGCAATATATCCTCGTCGCCTCCCACACCCGATAATGCATACAAGACCCCAGGTCTAACCAGCAGAGACTCAAATTCGCAAGAAACTACAATGGATGTCGGAAATACCACCTCGTCCCTTGAAACAATGTCATCTTCTCCTACGGCCGCTGCTGCAGCTAGAACGGTATCACGAGCAATATCAATGGCAGGCGTGGGAGGGGAAGGGGAAGAGGGAGAGGGAGAGGGAGATACTAGCGGTTTGAGTTTGCAGGACTTTTCGGAGAACGAGGGCGGTGGTGATACTGAGACAACACCGACAAAAGACAATTCATTACTTGATTCTACAGACTCTCGACCATCCCTCCGTGAGCGCTTGTCAAGCCAGAGTCTCAATATTGATGCTGGAAGTACACCAGGAGCGGCATTGATGAATCGGAAGTTGTCTGGAAAACGACCCAAATTCCTTCGAAGTAGACATGCAAGTCATCATTCCTCCGTCTCGTCAATTGCTACAAATCAAGAATCCCAGGACGGAAGTGATATGACCCTTGGTGCCGACTATGCACTTCAATCCGGCGGAGCTGTACCCGCGGCTGGGTTTTCTCGTTCGGCCAGCATGGCACTGTCCCGATCTATAAGCTTGGGCAGCATGGCTTCGGGAATTGAGGATTTCTCTGGTGAATCTTCAGGTCGCGTACTAGACGCGAGCCTTGCCACGCTGACGGAAGAGGAGCAAAATCGTGAACGAATAAGCGGCCAAGATCTTTCCCCTCCGGAGACTCCCCGAGCCACGAGCACGAATAGATCCATGGCTGCACCTACAGATACCATTATTGCGCGACATGTGCGTAATGTTCAGGTTCCGGAATCCCTGGCAAAGGAATATCGTAGTAAGAGCGGTGTATCGTCGCCTAAGCGATCAGGGTTTGCTGTGTCAACGCTCGGGCGTAATGGGAAGAATCTTACTCTGAAGGAACAAAGCAGTACCATTGAGAGGCTTTCGAAGGAAAACTTTGATTTGAAGCTCAAGGTTATGTTCCTTAGCGACCGCCTGGACAAACTTTCAGAGGAAGGTGTCAAGGAAATGATATCTGAAAATGTTGAGCTCAAAACTGGTCTTGCTGTTATGCAACGAGATAACAAAGCTTTGAAGCGGAAAGTGAAAGAGCTCGAGAAGCAACTCAAGGCTGACGAAGAGAGGCCGAGTACAGCTGTCTCCGGGACCTCGGCTGGTGACCAACCAAGCCCGCGATGGTTTGATCAAGAAGGTGCTCAGGAGCGAGAAGAAGAACTTTTCTATCTCCGAGAACGGGTCGAGGAATATGTCACGGAGATAGAGAAGCTGCGAAAAGATGGTTTGGCTCGAGAGAATGAGAAAAGAAATCTTGCCGAAGTGGTACGGAATATGGGTGAACGGCGTGGAAATCTCGAAGCACGGGAAGAGATGGATGTTTGGAAGGATCTCTTAGAGCAAGAGACTGCACATCGGGAGCAGGTAGATGAAGACAACAAGAAGCTTCGCGAAGAATTGTACCGCCTAAAGAGCGAGACAGCGTCTTCTGTTGCTGGACTCAGTCACACCACCAACGTTTACAACATCACGAAGAAACGCGCAGGCTCCACATCAAGACCGCGGTCGGAGATATCAGACTCCATAGAGGACCGCAATCTCAGTGCTGCCAGCACCTTGGTTGAGGAACTGAGAAAAGACTGTGATCAGTTGAGGCACGAGAATGGCGAATTAAAGCGTGAAGTTAGCGCGCAGACTTCAATGCTTACATCGCGGAATCGCGAGAAAGAGCGTCTTTACCAGGAGATTGAGGACCTGAAGCTCGCTCATCGCAGGGGAGGTTCCGTTGCCCCAGATAGCGTTATTCTTGAAAGATCGGCGTCACGAACTCATCAGCGACCACTATCACGAGCCAGTAATATGACAAGACAAACCAATCTAGATGATTTGGAAAGGGAAGATCTCGAGAACAAAAATGCCGAACTTCGAGACCGGATTAATGGCCTCAAAATCCAAAATCAAGATCTTCAACGCGAACTTGAATCATGCATGGAAGACTTTGAGCTGGCTGTCGAACAGAAGAAGCAGGCTGAGGATCTTGCAAATGAAATGCAGAATGCTCTCGAAGTTGCTGAGAGTGAGCTTCTCGAAATGCAAGCTGAGCGCGACGAAGCACTTCAAGGACAAGATGAAGCCGAGCACCTTTTTGAATCCCTTCGCAAAGAGGCTCAAGAAGAGCTCGATAGTTACGCTGCTGAGACCGAGGCAGCTCAATCTGAGATTGAGCGTCTTCAGAACGACTTGGCTGATTCGACGGAGAATTTTGCGGCCTTGCAGAATGAAATGCGGGAGATGAGTGATAGCGTTGTTAGATTGGAAGATAGCGATGAGAACAAGTCAAGGCGAATCGACGATCTAGAACGAGATCTAGAAGACGCAACTCGGGAGCTCGAGCAGATGGAGAAAAGCCTCCAGGAATCTAACGACAAAATCAACCACCTGACCGTTCAGCGCGAATCGAGTCAGAGTGAGATTGCTTTCCTTAGGGAGGAACAAGACGGCGATAAGATCAAGATCGGCGACCTCGAAGCTGGCATAAGGAAATACGAGCAGAATTTGCGTGACGAGAGAGAACGTGTTGCTGAGCTTGAGCAGCGGATGAAGAATGAACGTCATCAGCGCGAGATCCTTGCTGGCAAGAAACAATCAGAGGTAGAGAAACAGTTTGAGAGATTCAACCGTGAGAACAATGGCCTCAGAGACGAGGTTCAGAGATTTAAGACGAAGTTGCACGATGCTGCTGGAGACGCCGCTAGCAATGCACAAAAGGTCTTGGAGCTTGAGACTGGTCTCAGACAGGCACTTGGTGATCTTCACGGGACCAAGTCTAGCCTGGTTGGCGTACGTAATTCGTCAAATCATTCCGTATCAATGCTAATATTTCTGCAGTCAGTCAATAAACTCACGTCGACGCTGAATGAAACGGTAAGGGACGTCGATAATCTCAAACGAATTCTTAACGACAAAGACCGTTCAATCACCAATAAAGATGAGCAACTCGAAACCCAGGCTCTCGAATTACGCCGGCTGGCTGATATCGCCGAGAGAGAACGTCAAGCTCATCGCAATGTCGCACACCAGTTTGAAACATACCAGAAGACCACTCACCACACGTCTCGTACCCTCACTCAGCAAGAAATCCGCGTTTCGGAACTTGAGTCTATCCGCAACAACAATCTTAAGAAGATTTCTAACCTAGAGAACCAATTGCGAGATCAAATGACGGAACGAGGCGTAATCTTGCTGAAAATGTGGGATAAGCTCAGTACTTTGTGTGGCCCCGAATGGACTCACAATAACAGCCTCATTAATGGCCGTGCTCTCCCATCCCTCGAATCAATCACTGCCATGCTTCCTGGGTTCGCCAAGAATCTTTACGCAGCAGTCAAGACAATCGAAACAATGATGGGTGACTTCAAAACACGCATCCACAATGTAGAGAAAACCCTCTGGAAGGAATACCAGACCCTTGAGGAAAACCTAGAAATCCGGACTAAGCGTCTGGATCGTCTAGAGACAATGTCGCGTAGCGGTATTCCTACCGTGCCTGGGGATGGGAAAGCGGAAATTCACAAGCTGAGGGACAGTAACCGTGCGCTGAAGACTGAACTCTCCCATCTCCGAGCACAGTATGATGTCCGATCCAATGTCTTTAATCACCAGAGCCCAAGCCCCTCGATCCCTACAGGCCCACGCACCAAAGGCTTGGAGAAGACGAGTCGTAACTCGACGATGACTCGCGCTAGCTCTTCTTCTGCCGTTGAGACTATTGATCGCAGAAGTGGCACCAGCAGCGGGACCTGTAGCAGGTTGGCGCCCATGCCCACGCCATCGGCATCGGATGACAATAAAGTTTGGCAGTTACGCTTGCATGAGATGACGAGCAAGCTCAAGGCGGAGCGGGAGGGCAGACTAGGTGATCGGGACGGGGCGATGCAGAGGCTAAAGGATGCGGACGAGCAGGCGAAGCAGGCTGAGAAACGGATTCGGGATCTGGAGACTGAATTGGGGAGGAGGTCGGGAATGGAAATGGGAAGGTGACGATTGTATAATTTTGTTATTGTATGTTATATTAGGGAGTTTTGGTTGGGGATGACATGGTTCTCGGGCGACGGCGCTTCGTATGGGGTGGTGTACTATATCGTTGCTCGTGGGTTCAGGCATGGTGTTACATACGTTTGCTCCGGGGCCTTTCCTTTCGAATCACAACTCGGTCACGAATCGAGTTTATTCGTGCCTACCTACATTGAAAGCATCAATTTATATTTCGTCAATCAGGCAAGTAGCCTGCCAAAGGTTTTCGACAGTTCACGTTTCACTATGGTATCTTATCCAAGACGAGTCTGCTTTGCAATGTCAACTCATTACCTACACACGCGGAATGTGCATTCTTCGCGAGCACTGGTCGCGCTTCATCATTGTGTTATAGCAGATTGTTTTTGACTCGGGCACTCGATGAACTCAAACAATACCAGCTCACAGACAAGTCGTCACAAGTATGGCGTCTCCGGCGACACAGTCGCTCTCGGCTTCAGCTTCAGCACAACCGCAACCGCTCAACCGCATCCCATCACCGGGTACTTCCAAACGGCCGCTGACGGAGCAGGAGGGCCACGCAGCCTACATGCAGTCGCTGTCGCAGCGCGAGAGACTCAACAACTTCATCGTCAACGAGCTGCAGGATAGCGGGTGTTGGGTAACAGCGCATGCGAAACCGAGTGATCTGGCCGGGCCTATCCATCCGCTGTACTGCCGCAAATGGTGGGCGGAGACGCTGGCGAGGGATCCGGGGCAGGTTGTTGGAGGTGGTGGGCTGGGGAGGTAGGAGGCGGGGAATCAGAGGGTCTGGGATGTGCTGCTGCCTGTGTTGAGGTTGGCGACAAGGATTGTGGGGAATGTGCATTTGTGGCCTTGGTGAGTACGAGGGGAAGGGAGGAGGGGAGGAGGGGAGGGGTTTTGTTTATTGTATTCCTCTGCAGATGGCTGTGGCTGTGGCTGACGGGTTGGTCTACCTTAGGCTGGATGCGCTTTTTGAAGGAGAGAGGATCCCGATCGATGAGGCGACTATGCAGGATGAACCGGATCTTACGGGCAAGCAGAGACTAGCTGGCCCAGCGACGTTTTGGAGACGGAGTGTATTGCAACAGTGGACTGGGACTGGGACGACGATGGCGCAGGAGATGGAACAGCATCTATTCGACCTCTCGTTCATATAAACCTTGGCTTCTCGGGGGAAAAGAAGGAGGCTAGTGTTCTGCATGGCTTTCATGTACCGTGTTTCAAGGCAGGCGAGAACAAGAACATCACTTATCATTCGAGTGAGATTTATCTGTGTATCTGGCAGCTTGAACCTCTGCTGCTTTCCAATCTTTCTGCTTCCGAACGACTTATCCAAACATTCGCTTGTGCCAAGACTGTGAGGCTTGCCTGTTGCAATTGCAAGATACATCTGATGCTAACAGGATAGCTAGCTGGTTCATGAAACTATGGTATGTATACATTCATTCTCTTTGGGCCTTGAGATGTTTGACACTTACCCGCGATAAAGCACGCTTCCTCCTGGTACATTCGATCAGTCAGACCAGAGCTTGATAATATTGGCGTCGAGCCTGTAAGTTAGATATCTTGCAATGTAGAATCCCTATTCTAAATGCTGATATTGCCACAGTTCTTCGAAGACGAGGCTATAACAGAACTGGGAAGATCTTGGGAAGTTTCGGTTTGATGACATCTCATCTAGCCCATCTACGTATACACAGCTCATCATGCCCTAGGTCTTCGGCGGAGCAGTTGGTGGACTACCTACCGATGCTGCCAACCTAGATCCCATACTGCCATATAACGCACAGGTGCGCGTCACCTGGCCCAGTTGGCTATGGTTCGACGACGGAAAAACGGCCAACAAGCCCCCGCAACGCTTTCGCTTCCCCGAGCGCTTCCAGAAAGGCGCCATAGCAGAAACCTGGCCCATCCAATTCCAGTTGCTGCAAGACCTACAGCAGTCTGCGTTTTGGGACGTGCAGGTCGCGGCTCTGGGTAGCAAAGTCATCGCCTTCCCACAGCTGTACGGCACGAGCAGCGAAAAGGGAGGAGTGCGAAAGCACCTCTACGGCGACGACTACGCGCGCTGGATCAGCCGGAGCCATGCCCACGCCCCGGAACCAGCAGCTCCCGGGCCTGGCGCCAGCGAGCTCGCGAAATGGCAAGGGGAGCAAGAGCGGCGCATCCGCGCCAACGCAATCGCCATCTCGCAGCGCAACGTCCGCGCCGAGGAACGAAGCAAGCTGCATGAGAAGAACGCGGAATATTTCAAGCTCCGCAACGAGCATCAGAAGATCCTCAATTCGGCTCTCAGACAGCACGATGTCAATGATTGGGCCACAAGCCTGCTCATATACCAGAACCTGCGGACGCCCTTCCCGGTCATCGCCATACAGCGGAACCTGCCGGCCTGGGCGCTGAAGCAGGCCGGGTACAGAGGGAGCGCGGGGGAGCGGGACCGGCAGATCGCAGCGCGGGAGTTCTTGAAGCTCGAGCAGACTACCGCGACAGGGGGGAGCGCAAGGCAGGTGCGGGAATTCAAGACGTTGGTTGGGCTTGTCGTTGGCATCTGGGTCAAGGATGGGACGTTGCCTGCTGCGAGTAAGGAGGGCGCCGAGGGCGAGCAACGGGACGCCGTTATGCGTGTCATGCAGGTGTTGGCGCAGGAGGAAGTCGATGGCGGCCCGGCGTGCACGAGCAGTGATCTGGGATGGCTTGGAAAGGCGACTGTTATGGGTATGCAGGCAGAGGCGGGGATCGCAGGGAGTAGCACCTCTGCTGTGGCTGGACCGAGCGGTACTCAGGGCCAGGCGCAAACACAGACACGGACACTCAAGAGACGCGCCTCTTCAGACCCCCTGATCGAAACAGCAGTCCGCAAAAAGTTCATCTCAAGCTCCGGGCCCATCGCTGTGGCAAAACATAGTCCTGATCCTGACACCAGTACTGGTGGAGACGAAGATACGATGATAGGGAGCGATAACGATGAGGGGCTTGTATCGCGGTAGTTTAGTCGGGCGCTGAATTTAGGCTGAGTGCATGTTTATTCATTTATCCATCTATCTATCGATACAGTAGTGAGTGCTCTGTCTAGGTATTCCTAGATATATTAGAAATAAAATCGTGGAATGGAATGAAATGGAACTGTACTGTACGAGTATAGTACTCTGACCCCTTTTCTCACTCGCTTAATGGATTAGACGGCAATTCCGAGATCGATGATTGCAGACAAGTGTAGATGTAAATGAAGCGCCCTGCCTACGGGATATCATTTTCATTTCCTTGGTGCATGTCCGCCGGGTCTATGTACTTCAGAAGCCCAATCAAAAACATTGGGAGATTGATCATATAGTTTACGTCTATCTGATTCTCAGTTCTTCAACCGTTTGATATGTTCCCCAGGAGCATTCCATTCCCATTTCCCCTGGCGCGAATCTGCATCCATACCAAAGTCTGAGAGCTGCTGAGTGGGAGCGTGGTGTTTCTCTGGTGTTTCTCTGGTGTTTGGTCAAAGCACCATAGAGGCCGAGAAGGCTACTGAGTTATCTTGACTGGCATTCAAGGAACTGCGCGATGGAGCTGCGGAAGGAACTTGGGTGATGATTTCGGCACCTCTGACCGCGACCTCTGACGCAACTTAATCGTCATGCCATTGCTCTTCCGCCGAAAGCTTCATGCTCACTTCATGCTAAATTCATTTCGTATATCCAGTATTACTAACAGGCTCAGAAAAGAGCCCTGTATAAGGCTGCGCAAATAGAGATCGCGATTCGTCATGAAGTTCGTTCATCTCGCAGACAGTGTATTGGATGTTGGGATCATAGGTTTCTGGGTCGGAACTCTCTCTGTCTAGATCCAAGGAGGCGATTTCGTCGAAATCAATATTATCGTTAATCAGTACTACTAGTAACAACAAATTAGGGAAGAAATGCCAAATGACAGACGAATATTCGTCAATTGATGATGCCAATGTCTCGCGGCTGACACTCAAAAGTCTGGCGTGCTCGAACATGGCAGGTCGACCTTCCCACCTGGTGGTATCGATATCCATGGGGTCTACCCGCGGGAAGCCAGGCCTCGCATATACAGCAACATCCTCTGTGAAATCCATATTCCTGATATGTTTAATATCATAGTCATATCGGACAAGATTTCCTAAATACCAAGCATGTGTGACATACGGGGCGGTATTCTCGGAAGACCATTTGATATAACATTCGGTTCCTGCATCGTTTCCTTCATGAAAGGAATTGATTTCGCTGCGAGATTCGGCGCATGTGTGCAATAAAGAAGGCCAATGCCTGTTCCTATCCTCCAACGGCTGTGAGTAAATCGTATTAGGACGGGTGTTGAAACATCTTCCTAGTTCAACAATTCTTGGCACGCGCAGGCAGTATGGCCAAATGAGAAGGCGAAGTTCGATGGGGAGTTTCGGAAATTGTGGAAATGCGCAACCAGAGACAGACATAGACTCATTCTAAGCATCCGTTACATTTGCGCTCATCTTTTTCCGGATGTCTTTAGCCCACAGGTTGAGCTCCGCTCTGCAAATATCAGGGGCGTCGATCATATTGTGATTCCCCATGAAATAACCTTCTCAAGCTTCTTTTACGAGGACCAGTTCACTCGCTGTTTTTGGGAGAGAGAGGAGGGTATTGCCAGTTTATTACCTCCCGGGTACACTTCGATCTGCGAGGCATTTGTGTTGTTAGGAGCGCTAGGGAATTCTAACACGAGACACCATCTTTTATCACAGATACCTAGGTAGAAAGCTTAGGTGGATTGGAAGCATTTTTTTGGCCAAAAATAGGTATTAAAAAGCCATGCAATCACTTGACTAGGCTCTTGTATAAATAGTTAGTCACGTGATCCATCTTCCCTCACCTAGCTCCTTTCCTCGCTGAAATCGAAGCTTATTCCATCGTACACCACACTGTCTATCATCAAAATGGCTACTCTCGTTCTCGGCCAAAGCCAACCTCCTCCAAGCTTAGATTCACACCATGATCCTCCTGAAACACTTCTTCACAACGTATCAATTGCATCGTATTCATCAGAGACGCCGGCCACCCGCGAGTTCACTCTCTTTCGGAGCCTCCCTGTTGAGCTTCGACACAAGATATGGCACTATGCAATCTCTGTACCGCGTATTGTTGACATGGAAAAAGTACCCTGCTGGCAGCACGAGTCTCTGAATACTGGATACAGCTACTTTGCCGATCGATGGCACTACAGGATCAAGAACCCGCCGCCCCTCTTCTCCACCTGTGTTGAGTCCCGCAATGAAGCCTTGAAAGTTTACCAAAAACATCAAGAGCTCGATGAGCCAACACCAAATCCACCCTGGATAAGGTGCGACTACGATATATTGCATCTAAAGGCAAAGCGATGGGATGAGGAAGGCCGATACGTTCCACACATGTGGTGCGAATATGATGTCTGCGCATGGAGTTATCCAGGAAGCAATTTCAGTGATGGACGATATAGTGCAAAGAGGGACTGCTTTAAGAACCTTGAAGCTCTTGCCATCAATCGCGAGCTTTTCTTCCGCGCGGGGGACTACGTGGAAAGCGTCGTGCGGCAACTCTTTCCCAACTTGAAGCTTCTCATTGTCTTGATTGACGATGAGATCGATATCGAGAGTTCTTGGAATATTAAGGATCATGCTTTTGAACCTTATGAGGGCGACCCATTCGATGAACCAGTCATTCGTCGGTGGGCATTTACATCTGCCAGTACGGGACCTTTCACTCCCGTGTCTCGCAATTCTTGGTATAGGTACTTCATCGAGACCAAGATGGAGAGATACTTCCAACGGGAACAGGCCAAGTTCCAAAACTATGATCCACCATATATCACAATTATGGGATGCGCTCTTCCTGCAGGACTTGAAATACCAAGCTGTGGAAGATTACCAGCTTGATTTCAAAGGCACTTCTAGGTTGGTAGCTTATACGAACCGTTCTCTTTAGGAGTGTATAGAAAGGTGCATTGAAGGGGTTGCCAGATATATGATTCGGTGCTCTCGCTGCCAAATTATCTTTCCACCAACAGCGCAAAGGGTCTCTTCCAGTTTAGTCTTTGAGGCTAAGTAACTGGTGCGTTGTACTGCCATTATCTTGTTCTAGACCTAAAGGCAATACTCGTTCTTCTCGACTTTCATTCTTGCGCTCGATATAAGACATTGAGCATTTCCCTCTTGACTCCTCGCCTACCAGGCCTATTCAACGTGGTTTTTTCCACGTCCTAATAGATACAAGCAAATCTGTGCATCTTTCATCATTATCCAGTCACATATCTAGTCAGGACTTAGCAGTCGACCATGCGTAAGTGCAACAAACACTTGGACAATAACAGTAAGACATAGCAGGACTCAACTCGTGTATGGCTCACAATTACTAACTAGTCTCCAGACATTTTGCTTGCAATTATATTCATGTCCTATAAGAACGGCCTGGCTTCCTTTTCAAAGTTATTTCTTCCGATTTCACAATAATAAATAAGCAGTACCTAGCACACCACGTTCGCCATGGTCTTCTCTTGCTTCAAACGTACTGAGAACCAGGCACCACCACCACGGTCCTACACCACCCTTGAAATCGCAGCCTGGGAATGTCACATGTGTCTTACACCGAACAAAATCACGAACGATAATGACCGTGAGTTGAAAAACCAGGAAACCCTCAAGTGCCGAAATGTACTCTGCCGCCAAGCCAGAAGAGCAGTACATATACGGTGTCAGCTGTGCAGAAACCTGGATTCATCTGGTAAACACCTAGACTACAAAGATTGATGTCACACAAATTGGTTCTGTTTCTGTGTTGCGGTAGCGTAACGCTGTGTATGTATTATCGGGTTTCATCTATTGATGCCATGCATTTTGCTCTTCTCAACTTCCACGTGCTTATTCGCCAGAACATTTCTTTTCCACTGTCAGCTGTTATGTCATTGGGGCCTATCCACTGTAGTAGCGGAGCTTCCCCCTCCGAATCGGCAAGCAAGGAATTGCCAAAGCTTAATACCAATAAGTCCATATTTATCCGGACTTCTTCCTCTTCTCCACAAACTAAAAACTGCTTGCTGTCATTCATTCAATAAATAGTTTATTACCAGGAGAATCTCTTATGCGCTAGTTTTAAGCTTCTGTGATGATTTGATTTGATTTGATTTGTTTTTGATCGAATGCATATCCTTGTTTCCCGGAGTGTTATTCGTTACACAAGCTACGACTTACTGTAAACATTTTCATTTTTGCATATTTTCCGGCGGCCCACGTTTCGTTTTCTATATAGCATATAGCCAGCTATATTGATTAAGCTGCAACACCAGCAATCCATATGTGTCATGCGGCGTCCCCGCTTCGCTTTTGACTGGAGCTTAATTAATTACTCCGGTTTAATGAATATGAGTTCTCGCCCCGCTACGGGGTATCTTTAATATACTATTCCATGCTTCCACAGTATAAATTGCGATCTACAGCGTACCATCGTGGAGCGCAGGCGCCACAAAGCTTGAATATAAAGCCGAGTAGTAACGTGTACAATAAATCTCTAGGGCTAGGGTACCAATATCCGGGAGCATCTCGCCATGATCCCGAAGACTGGATGTCTAAGGGTGTCTGTTGGCAAAGACTATATGATATCCTTTTCCCCCACCAAGATCAGATTTCCCCCTTTCTGCTAGTAAGCTGCTGAATTATCCTCACCAACCCACCAACAAAACAAACATCAACCTCCATCATGAAGCTCAGCACTCCCTCTCTCCTCTCAGCCCTCACAGCCACAGCCTCCGCCCACGGCGGCGTCCTCTCCTACAACATCGCCGGAACAACCTACGCCGGCTTCGTTCCCTACAACAGCCCGACCGGCCAATCAACCATCCAGCGCGAATGGGACTCCTACAACCCCATCACCGACCCAACGCTGAGCACCATGGCCTGCAACGCCGTCGGCACGGCCGCAAACCTCACCGCCACCGTCGCAGCAGGCTCCACCATCATCGCGTACTGGAACGACCCCTGGCCCCACACCATAGGCCCCATGGTAACCTGGATGGCCTCCTGCGATGGGGATTGCAAGACCTTCACCCCGAGCGGAGACGTCTGGTTTAAAATCGACCAAGCGGGTCTGCTTTCCGGGGATCTTCCCACAGGCCTCTGGGGATCCGGGAAAATGGTTGCGCAGAACAGCACCTGGACCTCGATCATCCCCGCGAGTTTGAAGGCGGGGAACTATCTCCTGCGCCACGAGACTATCGCCATGCATACGAGCAATGCCCCGCAATGGTACCCGGAGTGCGCGCAGTTGGTCGTGACGGGCACTGGGACTGGGGTGCCGGGAGCGGCGTACCTGGCTGCTATTCCGGGCGTTTATCTGATGAGTGATCCGGAGGTTGATATTGATGTTTATAGTCAGCCGGGGGTTACGAATTATACGGTTCCGGGTCCGGCTGTTTGGACTGGGTGAGATGGAGGGACGTGGGGAGTTTGCGATTTTGTGGGCGGAGGACGAGGGGGGTGGTTGAGGCTGGGGAGATGGTGGAGATGGTGAAGATGGTGATGGAATGAATGACTTTGTGTGTATTAGGACGTCGACACGACACTTTATGTATATAGGCTTGGAATTAAGCAGGTAGGAGGGTAGTGGAGTGCATTCCCATTCTCAAATTCAAATGAATGGAAACATGAAGCATTCAATGGCACGCTCTCTGAATCGTACTAAAGCTCTAGATGTAGGCTTGGATGCAATTATTTGATATAGTTTACTCGTAAAGACCGTTCAATCATACCCCATACATCCAATGTACATTACAAACAATGACTACCACCCATGTGTGCAAAACAAATGAGAGACGTTAGTTAATCCACACACATTATCGATTCCTCAAACATCAACCACCATTTCCTCATCCCCTTCCTCCTCCAAGAACCCCAAGCCACTATCATACCGTCTCCGCTTCTTGCCACTCTTCCTCGCCAACTCTCCATCGAAGAATCCCCCGCTTCTGACCACCGACCGAGAGGATTCTTCAGCGACAGGACTACTACTCTCACAAGAAGGCTCAGGCCCTTGCACAGAAACATCTCCATTGACATACCCCAGCCCAGTTTCCAAGGCACGGGTCAATTGATCGCGCATAGCCTGCACGACTAACAATCCGCGGGTCTTCTCGCCCGAGACTTGAGCGTTCAATTCCCTATTCTGGTTTCTGAGCTCGAGAATGGTAGCATGGGCAGTCTTTAGCGCGTTGTTAACCCGTTCGACTTCCTCTCGTAGCTCGGATACTCGGGCGTCACGAAGAGCAAGAGCGTCGCCGTGTTCTCTCTCACGCTCTAGGCCAGAGCTCTGGAGTTGCTCGATCATGGAATCTCTATTGGAGATCTCAGTGTCTTTGGTGGTCGAGAGGGCGGAGAGCTGGCTTTGGACGGCGGATGCTGATTCTAGGGCGGCGGTGAGGCGGCGTTCGAGTTCCATGATTATCATGTCTTTTCCTTCTTCGCAAGCACGCGTTGTGTCATGCTTGAGGATCTCGTGCTGGAGTTTCTCTTGCATGTCGTTCACTTGGCCTCTGAATTGGGCCTCGTTATTCCGTCCTTCCTTCTCCACTCGTTCGATTAGATTCTCTAATCCTGTCACTTCTGCTCGGTACCCTTCCAAAGCTGACTGCAGTCTCTGGTTGCTGACTTCTTTCTCCTCCATTTCTTCTCTCAGGGCCCCAACAACAGTGTTCGCGAGGTACAGCTCCTTCTGCAGACCATCCGTGACATTGACACGAGTGTTGAGTTGCTGTCTGAGAGATATTTCTTGAGAATGATATTCGTCAATGCTAGCGTCCTGGACCTTTACCTTCTCAAGCAAGACTTTGGTTCGTGATACAAGCATATCAAGCAACTTGTCATTCTCAAAGCCTTCAACGACTTCACCTGGAGTGAGGTACTCGAGATCCAGCCGTGCTTGCCGGAATTGCGTTGCAATAAGCTCGAGTGTCTCTTCGGGGCCAGATGAGGAAAAGCCTAGACCGGTGATCTCAACTGTAAGAGCAGAGAATGCGTTCTCTTTCTCCAACGCGTGAGATTGAGCGATGGCTAGCTGGGTGAGCACACTGTCTAGTGCGACGTCAATAGAAGTGTGATCATGGGACTCGTCAATGGGGATGAATTGGGAAAGCTTCTCAGTGAGACGCGATTGATTGTCGTCCTTGAAAGCGATGGTGGAAGTAAGTTTCGACACCTCGGAGTTCAGCGATTCAAGTTGGATTTTGAGAGCATCTTTCTCTGGGTCGGGAATAGGAAGGCATGCTTGGATGCCGGAGGACACCGATTTGCAAGGCGTGGACGGCATTGTGGATGGGGGTGATGGGAATGAGGTATTTAATCGTGTCGGGGTCGTTTCCATCTCAGTATTGTCATGGAAGTCATCATCATAGTTCGTTATCATATTATCATCATCGTCAAAGTCGAAAGGATCTTGGGCTGCCATTGTCCAGTCCGTATCTTCCGCGGGCTCGCTGTCTTTCCGTTGAAGCTCAGCTTTTAGGTCGACTATCACTTGTTCCAGCTCTTGGATCTTGGTGCTTTGAGTCGAGTTCGAAGTGGCCGAGATTCCAGACTCTCCCTCGAGCTGGCTTGCAATATCCAGTTCATCTCTGATGCTCTGAACCTCGAAATCCTTGGCTGCTAATTCCTCTCTGAGCCTTCCAACCTCCGTTCTCCGCTTCTTTTCTTCCTTTTTCTTATCCCACTCAATGGTGTTTATTTCTTCGCTTAGTCTGTTCCGTCTCAACCTCCTCTTCACCCTCCCTTCGAGCACTTGTCGCAGAGGTGCGAATTGCAGTGTTCCCGAGATTGGAGCTGCATTGTATTCGGATCGATTTGACAGCACGGCTGGTGTAGAGTGCCGGCGTTTCGAGGCAGGAGTGGAGAGAGATGTCCGTCGAATAAATGGAGTGAGGCCTGAAGCTGATGCTGATTCTGATTCGGAATCGAGGAGAATTGGTCCTGGATCAGAGAAGCGGACGCGTTTCTTTGCTCGTTTGGGGGTTGCTGGCGGAGTGAAATTTCCAAGGACTACTTGTAGCTTTCCTCTGTTTTGAGGATTCGATGCCGATTGTGTATTGAGACTTAGTCTTGTGCTGCTTCGTCTTTTTCTGCGGACTGCTAGAGGTTGTTCGTCGTCGACAATGATTGTCGAGTCGTTTTCGAGGTCGGCCATTGTATGGCGGGGGATTGCGGCGGCAATGCAGTAATAGACGTATTTTTCCACTCACACTCGTACAATTTCAGAAGAGAGTTGCAAATTGCAGAAAGAGTTTTCGATTGAAGATCAAATAAAAAGCCAGGACGCGAGATGAGGAATTAAAAACAGGTTCAATGCTCAGATTAAAGTAAACAGGGGTTCACGTTGTTTACTTACTTCCCAACGCGGTTACGCGACTTCTACGGCGACCTGGTCCATCCAGGGGCCGTGGTCACCAATCCTCGACAGAAAAGTCAACCGGTTGGCTGAGGAGACGACAACAAACATGAGTCACCAGTGGAGATCATTACTTGTCCAAAGAGGGTAAAGTATCTTTTTTCACTTCATCTCTCTCACTCTCTCTCTCTCACACACAGTTATTCAATTTCACTCGTTGCTAAATGTCAACATTGCCCCTCGGGTAGTCCCTGCCCCCCTATTCGGGAATGCCTCGGTCAATAAAAACATACTCTACAAAGAGAGCTTTTTAAATTCAGCCTCAGTAAAATCCCAGAGTTCCTTTGCCAGCTCCAAATCGTGAGCATATTTTGATCCAGTAACTTCTTGCCCAACTGGATTATAATATTTCCCAGATTCTGCTTCCTCCGCTGTAGCAGCCCAAAGCTGATTGAGGGTTCCCTCATGAACGTCAAGCGTAATAATCTTCGTCCACTGTTGTCATAGTGCGTCAGCATATATATGTTCTAAAAGAAATCGGTGCATTTGGACATCACCGACCTTTACAAAAGTGACAATCGGAGCAACAAGTGGGTAAGAAGCGTTCAGCCCTCGACTTAGGCCAGTGTTCACACTACCCGGATGGAGGGAAATACAACGTATGTCAGGGTACCGACGAGCAAGCTCATTTGAATACAAGATATTCGCGAGTTTTGACTGGCCGTACAGTTCCCGTGTTGACAGATTCCTTTGTTCAGAGTGCACATTTCCTAGGTCCAAACCTCCTTCGGGAGCCCACTTGTGAGCAGAGGAACTGAGCGTGATGATACGCACATCGGCTCCCGGGTGCTCCTTGGCCGTGGCTTGTAGCTTTGGAAGCAGAAGTTTGGTGAGAAGAGCATGGCCGATGTGGTTTGTGCCGAATTGGATCTCAAAACCATCCATCGTGGTATTGGGCGGGGTCATCATAATGCCCGCGTTATTCATGAGGATATCGAGACGGTCAACACTAGCATTGACAAGCTTTGCAGCCTTGCTGATTGATGCGTAAGATGACAGATCTAGTTGCAAGAAAACAATCTTTACTCCAGGTACAATAGCCTTTACTTCTTCGACTGCTGTTTGGCCCGTCTCTGCGGACCTTGCCGCAAGGAATATCTGACTTGGGTTGTGCTTCGCCAGCTGAAGCACTGACTCTTTTCCAAGACCCGAATTTCCTATTTTTAGTTTCTTATCAGCAATAGTTTTTTAGATGAGATTTTTTTAATTTTACCTCCAGTAACCAAAATGACTTTACCCGAGAGATCAGGGATATCGTTCTCAGGCCGGAACCCATTATTAACAAATCCTAAAAATTGCATCTCAATTTGTCTTTGCGTGGTAAATCGGGGGTTTATTTTCCAATAGCATTCTAAATTGAAGGCACTTCCTGTGTTTATTAATGCTGAGCTTTCTACTGTCCAGATGACCTGATTTCCATCAGCCGATATATTAATATGGTGTGTTTCCCCGCACGTTGATAACGTTTCGACCCCCTGTCTCATATGTTTCGGTTCATTCGTGAATCTGACAATATCCTAGTTTATTTATAAATCTAGCTAGTTTATTCGTGAATCCACGCTAAGGTTCAGATTCACGTATAAACTAATTTGTTCATAAATCTGGTCGGTTTATGCGTGAATGCGCTGAGATTCATAAATAAACTAGGTCACTTGTAAATATAACTAAGATTTATGAATAAATTAGTTTATATGTGAATCCAACTAATATTCATATATAAACTAGTTTATTTACAAATCATAAATCATTTAAAATAAGGATATACTCTATATTCTTGCCAGCAGTATTAGCTCTAGCTCTCCCTTTAGTTTACCTGCAAAGTGAACTCTCGCTTACTTTAGTCATATTTATAAGTAAACTGGATTTATAAGTAGACTAGTTTATTTAAAACTAATATTAATATTCACGAGTGGACTAGGGTATACGTGAATCTATACTAAGATTCATGAATAACTAGGAGATTCATGAATCGCTTATACGAATGAATCGGAACACATATAATGTAGTCTTTGCATGTTTCAAAGTTTCTAGGGCACCTTGTTCTAGCACACAATCAACGCTCAACTATAAATTTCATCTATTTTGATAAACAATATATGATCTCAAGGACGAGTTTCACTAATTAATTGTTAAGTATCTTTCTCCTCAATACCTCCTTTGTATTTCAGCCTTCAGCTCTAGCTCGCTCCTCCATACTACTTATCTTTACCATGCATTACCACGTGCTTTGTACTCCTGCATTACTTTCTCATCCGAAGCAAAGTGACTACCTTTGCCATTGTTGCACCTGTATCCGCCCTCCACTTTAGCAAATTCGAACCCGTTCTTGCAATGTCCAACACTTGCAACAACATTAGCCAAAATATCATTCTCCACCTGCTGCCCAACTATGTAAGATGATGGGGGTTGAGTCTTTGGGTCGGGCGGCTCCGGTGTGGGTTCTGGCTCTGGTTCAACAACTTGAGCGACTGGTTCTTCGACCGGAACAGGCGGTGCTGCTTCCTCATCTGGATCCCCTCGAGTCACTGGCGGGGTTTCTTGTTCAGCGGGAGGGGAGCGAGGAGTAGGGAGCTCCGGCTTCAACTTTTTCGTAAGCTGCACCACAAAATCTTTCGTTATCTGCTGCGCCGTTTCGAATGCCATCTCACGCAGTACCAGATTGAGTTCGTAAGGCTGCACCTCGGACAGAGGCTTTACTGATAGAGCGCGTTCGATTTCCTGTCGTTGAGCGGATTGTTGGAGAGTTCCTAGGCCAGTGGCAAGGAGCAGCGAGAATTTGTCCAGGAGGCTGCTGGACGTGGACATGGGCGTGATGATGTGGAGGCCCACGGGGACTTGGATGTTGAAGGTGTGGTAGTTGGCGGCGTCCATGATGAATTAGGCTTTGAGAACGTGTAAAAGGGGGCGTCGGAAAGACAAGATTGGCCGCTAGATATGGTTGTTCTCAAGGACAAGTCACTTTATAAGTTATATTCAGGTGAGTTGCGACGAGATACCGTATTGCAAGGAGAGTTGCCCTTAGATATGCTCGAGCGAGAGTAGATCACAACTCTCTGTGGTCAAAACAGACTTACTCAATATCGGTTCTAGAATGCTGGCACTTTATTGTTACCTCAAAGGATAAAGCTGATTTGTGGATCAATATTGGTTTTCCACGCTCTACTTTCTAAACTTCGTAATCATAATACCGGCATTTCTCATGATACGTACAGGACTTGCCTGCAAGTTGCTTGAAAGATCTCATACCTTGGATATTGTGTCTATATGGGGAGGGTTGCAGAGTATAATTCCAGCTGAACAATGTTGTAGTGCAGACGAAAGGTGGGGTAGCTCTGCCTGACGTGGTTGCAGGCTGGCTGAGGCTGATACCTTATACCCTGGGCCGAAGATCCTATAAGTTGGCGATTCGTATCAATAGAAGGGAAAGTATGTATCACAGCAGAACGCATTAAACTATTCGTTCTCTGCAACATTAAAACTGCAGAGGAAAACAGGGGGTTCGGGTTATTACTACTGAGTAATCGCCGGAAACCATCTCCGGAAAGTCGGCTTTTACGTAGAGGATATCACAGTAGCATTTCGAATTATTGTCTGGTGACTGCATTATGCTTCATGCAATAGACGGCGAAGGTAATACTGGAAATCAGCAGCGGCACTGGATCACAGTGAACCACGTTGATACAACGGAACACGGTAGTAGGATGTTGATGAACTATATGCATGCGGCTATAGTTGTCACAGGTCGGGGCCTAACACTCTGTACGTGAGCGGTCTGATGAGATTGCAGGGAGGAAATGATCACAGTTTTCTCGGTGGAGATGCTTGTCGAACATACATCGTTAATAAATAAGCCAAGGTGATGCCGAGGAGCTAACCCGACATATAATTTAATACAGAGTACTTGTCAATAACAACGTAGCATAGGCAGTTTATATCGGTTGCTAAATTAAAGGTGCTATATACTATAGTATATGTTGATTCAGGGCAGGTACGATATATGGATATATCGAGAATTAATAAACAAAATGTACCGGATGAAGTCGGGCCAAATGAAGCTTTATATTCATGAAATTCGAATCCAACAAAAAGTCCGACTCATGATATCAATAAGACTATGACATATAGAGCATCTACATGCAATTTCTTGTCCCACATCTTCAAATCACCAACCAAAAGCAGATTTATAGTACTCCACACAATACAATATAGAAGTCGAGTCTTCAAGGAGTCAAACATCCTTTTCATATCAACTAGAGCGACCACTATTCTGCCACACGATTGCTTTCCGGAGGTCGGCATTCGGATTGGTTATGTGACTGCGCTCAAATGGATAAGTGCCTACTGCATGGTATGCCTGAGAGATATTCGAGGTATAATATTTCAGCATCTCCCTGAGCCATGCTCTATTCTCTTTAACATCATCTTCCTCCTTGGAGCTCGAATCTGGAACACCTAGAAACCATAGTCTTAGCTGAGGAGATCCACAGTACTGGAGAAGCTCATTTACCGCTGATGAACCTGAAGTCCCATTGCTGTTGAGCTGACCCAAGACTATAATAACCACCATCGGCAATGCTGCCAGTACTGCCTGTGCTTTGAAGAGCAATTGGTGATCCGCTCTGGATATATGTGGTCAAAACCCTAGAAAATGAAATGAAGTAAGTCAGATCCAAGATACCGCGTTTCACCAGGAGGATAACATGCTCACCAGGCTATGTCCTTTTTCAATATCCACCACTGTTTTTGGTCGTCCCGGCTGAGTGGCCGCAGAGTAATCGTAAGTCCCCCGGAGGCTTGAAGTGCAAGAGCAATTTGAAACTTCTCATTATAAATCAGATGAGCGTTGTTGCCGACAGATTCCACACGGAAGACCATATTGCTCGAGGTTCCAAGGAATGTGACACGGTTGGCGGATTTCTGTACCGTAGCTCTTCCACTAGTTGTATCACAGATCAAAGATACATAACCACTGGTCGAGCCGCTGAACATGAAGTAATAACCATCTTGAATATCCATCTTGTAGTATCCGTTGCGTTTGAGTCACTGAAGTTACCGTGGCGATCGACGCGATAGTGGAAACTTCTCGTTTTTAACAGTGAAAGGATGCTACCCGTACCTCACTTCTTTCAATGATAGAAGGTGACGAATATTTGGTGTACTTCCTTCCTAACGCAATGTTGCAATCTGATGTATCGATTTGTAAGACTATGCTGCCGTCGTCAAATAGGAGGAGATGATAAGTTTGCAATATGCACCTACACGTAGTTACTTCGTGATTTATCGCAGAATATCTACTTTGTATGACCAATCATCTTCGTATTACTTACTATTCAGGACTGACTATGCAATTTGAAAGAATGGTTCGACAAACAGTCGGTAGCCAGATTCGTAAAGATCGGCGCAATGACACGAAAGCAATGTGACCCTGATTACAGATCGCTAAGACTTGCAGCTAGCTGAGTCTTGCATATAGCTGGGTCTTGACAAATCGGTCATCCTAATGTCGTCTCGAAGGCTGCAAAGGAGTAGATGCGAGCCTCGCCATATTAAAGTGGCTGCCTGATAGCTATCCTCAACCTAGAAAGTATAGCAGATGTAACTGTTTCCCCCTAGCCTTCCGGTGCGTGTTTTAGGCAGGTTCGAAATCAATTATATTCAAAAAAGCAGCCCTCTACGCAGATTAAAAAATCTCTCGGCAGTGAATCACCCTACTTCTCTCTTACTCACTTATGTTTGTGCAGAGGAGATCTTGCGATTTAAAATTAATATAACCTACTTCTTGCGTGCAGCAACCTCACGAGCAGATTACTATGTCCAGAATTGAAAATGGATTATACTTCATCGCGGCAGACCTTGGTGTCACCCAATTACTCGAGCCAGCCAATTCTATAGCCACCATCTCCACGGCAGATGACATTCCAGACCTTCTAGCTCATCTGAACACACCCGACTCGAGCGTCTGGAAGCTGGAGATGGTTCCTTAGGGGAGCAGGAGAAGCAACTTCTTTTCGATTACCAACGGGGATTCCGTTTCCCTGGCCCTTAATGAGACAACTGGGGGTGTTTATCTCGATGATATTAACAAGTCTGATGATCGTCAGTTATGGGATCTTAGATCAACGGGATTTATCTCGTTTAGGGCGAAGTATCCTTACCTGTATCTTGTTTCTATCCTTTTTCTGATAATTTGGTAGTGCCGGTCTTCGTATCAAAATACGAAATAAATATGATCCTAGCATCTCCTTGGACATTAGTTCCTCCAACTCAGCAGCAACGGGTAAGCGAAACCCAATGCCAGCTCGCGAGTGGGGTTTGATAAATTTAATAACATCAGGTACGTTCAACGTTGCGACTCTCTTAAACAATGCCTGATCTTACTATAGTAGATGCAAGCCCTAGCAATACGAGTTTGGAAGACATCAAGGAGAACCGTGACTGGCTCCGGGACATGTTATGGTATTTTACACAGCGTTATGGTCGAGCAAGCACTAGCGTCGGGTACTATCCTTTGAAGACGGCCATACCAACTACCCTAATACATGGCTTTTTGGTTCACGTTTTCTTCATTCTTGACTAGGGCCTTAGGCCGGGTTATTAAAGTTCATATCTGGTATGCTTAGGTTGCCTTGATTTGGAAGTCTTAATTTCTTTAGTAGTCGAGAATCACGAAAGCTTTCATCCATAGATATGGCAATTTTATATCGGTTATCCTCCTTTCTGGCTCGGGCTACCTCCCTTTCGGACTTAGAATACCTAACGTAAGATTTTATCTTAAACTTGCATCCTGTTATCAATAAGTCCGGTAAAAAACGATATTATTTGTATACTTTTCAGCGGTAATCCGGATTACTTTATTGAATGCCTGCCAAATTGTATAGATAAAGGACATGAGCTGAAGTATCTAGTCATAGTATAAGAAGCCGCGAGCAAAAGTTATACGGAAAGTTGTAAGCGGCGGGGCAGTTTAAGAGGAAAGCCAAGCTAGCGGCACTAAAGGCTAAGATTGTTTCAGTTTAGTTCCATTTTGCTCTTGTTATTCTCTTAAATTAAAATATGATAAAGGTGGAAAAGCAAGAAGTTTCATTAAGGAATATAACAATAACTTTTATTTATTATTTGCTTCATCCCTTATTTTATATAAAAATTGAGGAATATCTTCCCATTTTACATTTGGTAAGATCTTTCCGAACGGGAATCCTCTCTTATCTAGTTCCTTAAACACATCTCTACACCATCTCTCCTCTCTATCTTCTCCGAGCTCCGAAAAGGCATGCATAGCAATTCGTAAAGAGAAGAATGCATTTTGAGGACCTATGGTTTGGGTTTCTGGAGATAGAAGGTAGGGGATGGATCGTGCAATGAGCATCGCTGTTGTGTGTATTTCCGACTGAAGGTGGACTTGGGGACATTGATGTAAAGAAGTTGAAGGATATGGTATAGAAGTAAGGGTGTTGTAGATTAAAAGAAGAGCTGCCCAGTAGAAGAGATGCATACGTGCGGTTTCGAAGGTTGGAAAGTTAAGGGATGAGTCGGTCAATGGCCGCAAGTCGGATAGCGTTGCGGAGGCGATTGTCTTCGGTGATGTCTCGGAATGTAGTGGCGTGGTTGATGAGTCCACAAGGTTAATATACCAAGTACGAAGCTGACGTTCGATAGCCCAACATCTCTCACGTAGAGATTCCATCTCCGTCAGCGAGGATAGTATCGCATCCATTGAGATAGCAAGTTCTGTTCGTTCAATAAGACTAGGCATTCGAGCCATAATATCGAGAAGATGGTGGAAGTCAGATTTTGGAAACCTTTGCCATGGGATAGTCAGCCATTCCTCATCTCCAAGGTAGCTTGATTTTCGTGTTGCCAAAGCATAAATAATCTACAATCAATCAGACAAGTTAAGAGAAAGACCAAGGGAAATATACTCCTGTGGGCCTGAAACCGAGGAAAAGTCGATGGCTCGATTCAGAGACATGCAGTTCAGGACCACGCAGTTGAAAAAGTTTCGAGATTCCGTTGACATGACTTATCCATCCCCGCACATTCGAGCCGGATGTTTCGAGTACCTAGTCTGCATATCAGAATGGACAGCTCAAGGAAGTGAGATGGATGAAAGATTTGACTAACCTCAAAGACCAATAGTGTCATGCAACTCGCGAGTGTTTGCTCTTCAAAAATAAGATCATCGCTCGACAGTATCGCTTGGATCCCTTCTAGCGCTTGTCCATAGACAGCCATACCCTCATTTTGCAGCTCCATGTTCTGATGCTTCCTTCCTAGTCGGACTAGGCTCAAGGCTGTTATTGCGAGGGGTAGGGAGGTATTGTTTCCGACATTACCAGTATTATGAACAGTTTGGAGCCAAGATACTGGGGGTTCCTGCTTAGCCTTTCCGCCTTGGGGGATGTAGTCAGATAAGAAGTGATCGAAGAGCTGAGATAAAGAGGTTGATACTCTTTCAGACTGCTCTAGGATTAACGATTTGGTTTTCACGTTTCTCACCCATTGCTTTAAATGGAGCTCGCTATGGTCATATTCGATGAAAGACGGTTCCGTGATAGGATTCAATGGTTGCTTCCTCGCAATTAAGGTACCGCTATCCAATGCACTTAAGTTTTTGAAGTGCCTGTTTCGTTGATATCCAGTACATTGTCGTTTAGATTTCGTACACTGGCCACAAGAGGGCCTTACTTGATCACACTACATCCGGGTTCCCATTTAATAACTTCCCGGCGAAGCATTAGTGGTGTCTACATACCTTGACTCTCCGTTTTCGACAAGTGTTGCATCCTTGTGATTTCCCAGCTACGCCTACCATGTTTTCATTGCTACGAGTCTCGTGATAATTGTGAGAGAATATGGCAGCTGTCGAAAGATATTGCCTTTCTGAGTGATGACAGGAGGAAGATGTTGAGATCGAAGTAGATATATACACCGTTAGCCTTGCGTACAAACTAGTCTCAGTTAGGAGACATCTTGCGAATTTCTGCTTATGTACGCGTTGATCGTCCCCACACCTTTTAGCGTAACACTAATTAAACGGACGCCAAGACATTGTCACCACGCGGCATTGTACTGGTCACTTGGTTGCTTTGGTCAATCCAGATCCGATATCACTTTAAAAGTCCGAATGTGAAATACAGACGCGTTTGAGCATTTCTCTGGCTATGTGGACAACGAGAACACAGTCAAGATAAACTGCAGGCACTCATTGAACCAAAACGACACTGTCCCGCCACGTCTCCTCCCTCTTCTCCGCCCAACCCTTCACCACAAGAAGGAAAATGACCCACGCCATTAACGTCGCCGTGATACCCATAGTAACAGTTGCAACGACCATTCCATTGACACCGCTGTCAATCATAGATTGCACAGTGTCTCGGTTCTGTGACATCTCCATGTCAGATTGGTTCTTGACTCGGGAGATTGCAAGAGGGGTGGATAATCTTACACTCGCCATAAGCATGAATCCTCCACAGATGAAGCAAAACGAGCAGACGAGCTCCGACGGTGGACATGATGGGTATATTGAGGTTGGTGGTGATATTTGAAGGAGTAGATAAGTGCAACATCGTGCTGCTGATGCCGCAATGAGAAGGTTTCCAAACTAAGTACATCAGCAAGGATCCTAAAGATAGTGGGGAAGTTACTTGTTTGTGCATCATAGTTGATTCCGTGCTCATCTGGTGATGTCCGCCAAGAATCATTCCTAGGAGGAAGATAATCATCGCTGGAATCGGGTTTACCGAGATCCCTAGTTGCGGTTGCAGATGTTTAGAAAATTCGCCATTGGGGGGTGGAGCTTTAGGATATGCCTTGACCAAACGACGAAAGGCTTTTGACTCAACCATTAACCCGCACTGGAAATAGGTTAGAATTTGTCCCATTGTTAGCTCGCTAGGGTCACCTACTAACCCACCACCAATGAACAAAAGAGAGATAGCAACATGTTCAAAGTCTTGGGGAACCCACGCTTCACCCCATGCGGAAAGATGCTCCAGAAATACGTTCGTAATACCATAGAGGAATATGACAAAGCATTCAACCGTCTCCATTGATATCGAGGCAGTCCGCTTTGTCAGATTGGAAGGTTTTAGATTCCAGGCCCATCCGAATTCAGCAAAACAGCCTATCCAACGACCGAGCGTAATAATTCCAATCCCAACGAAAACTCCCCCTTTGATGAAATGTGCTAATCCATTGAAGATATGTTTCTCATGCTGTTTTGTGGATATTAGTAAGTTGTCCAAGTATCTCGATCAACATACGCACGAATATCCCAGCCATTGTGACCATTCCGGTACAAATGGCGACAAAGCCGAGGATGGGCAGTCCTCGATCAACAATACCGTACCACAAGTCTAGGATCCGTACAAGTAGATTCGATCCGGAAACGTTGGCCCACCGCCGACTCCATGTCATAGGTTCTCTGTATCTGTTCTCGAGCCTTGAATTGTAATGTAAGTGCACATCAAATAGCGTCTCGGAGTCAGTATCAATATAATGTTCCGATAGCTCGGGGTAAGGAGAGGCGGCTCTGGATGACGAACTTCTGCTTAGCTGATTCGAAGCTTCCATATTGCGCTCTTCTTCCCTGGTCATCCTGCCAGTTGCTTCTGCGTTCAACGGTGCGCGTTCATCTTTGGTCTCGGAATCCGATGTCCTCCCAATGGAATCTTTGACAATTCCGATAATGAAATGTGAAAATATAAGAGCAGATAAGGCCCACCCAAGATTATTGTGCGAGGCTTTTGGGTATAGATCCAGAGTTCTGGAGTTATATGCCCAGCCAAAAACCGTGCCGATGCCGTGAAGACCGAGGAATGCGATGTGAGACGGATATCGAAGATTTGACTTTGCGATATTGAGCATTATGGCTAGCTTATATCAATTCTCTGGGCTGCATTTGACTTCGGAGGGAAACACACAGATGGGTAAAGCGACGATCCAACCAAGAAACATAAATATAATGTGGGCATAAAGTAGATTTGATGAAGTGTGGTCTCTGAAATAGCTTTCTGCTGGAATTGACGATGATGATACATCTTCACTGCTTGCGTTCATCGGTATGGCTGTCAGAGGAATTGCTTGAAATATCATCGCCACTGCGACGTAGACATGAAAATGAGGCTGCCACATCGTGCTGACAATGAAGTTTTTCCAATTTGATTGGTAGCTTCGTATAAGAAGTAGCAAAGGGCTAGACGTACGAAGATATGTGAAATGATTTATGAGAGTGACTTGATAAAGGATAGAGAGAAGTACTTTATATACGCATAGTCCTTCCCATAGCTGCGGTCATCTCGGATTCTCGTCACCGCCAAGAACTAGAAATTCCTCGGAAGCCGGCGTCGAAACCTTCTTACGTCTTTATACAAGCTGCTTCCATAATTTATCGCATCTTGCAACCCCAAGAAGTATGCTTGTAATACGACCTGATATCGGGTACATGGAAAGTCTTACAAGGCCGCGAGTGAGGCTAGCTTCATACCCCCTAAATAATGAGCGCTAAGCCAGGATGGGCGACATGTTGCGAGACAAATAGAAGTGGATAGGTATGGCAATATTATTATTAATGTAGTAATCCCTGTGGCAAAATTGAGAGTCTTGTCAGGAGCGAAAATTAGAAATTGTAAGATCAAGTGAAGAATAATGGAGTGAACTTGCATATACACAGCTGAATGCTCTCTAGCGCCGGTTTCAGCCGCACGCAATAATAAACCGCTAGTGGGAAGAACATGAACGGAATACGTTTCGTCTATTCTGTTAAGCATCTTCATTCCATTTACGCAAGAACGAAGAGTGAGATTAGATGCAATGAGTATAAACTATGATAGTTATTTATCATAAGGCGGACAGACCATTATATGGCCGTAAACCTCATCTCAGGGGGACGTACCAGCCGCATAGGGTGGGCCATGTGACTAATCACATCCATCCCCAAGCACTTGCTTGCTGATGAACCCCACAAGCCCCACTGCGCGTTAGGGTTCAGATATAACAAATCAATTGCGAAAACATCCCTCATACGGCATTCCTGCCCACGGGTCTAGAGGGTTTTGTAATCCGTGGCAAGTAATTAATCAGTTGGATTATCAACGTGTAACATTCTCTCTACGCCCTTATATCCCTATCATGCCACACCTAACGATGTGATCTCGCCTTGTTCTTTTATAGGCTGCTCACCGACCTTGTACTCTGCTTTCCAACGTAACTTTACCGAGTCTCCTTTTCCTTGTTCTACTCCATTCAAGTAGATAACCTGTCTGACACCTGCTTGTTCGTGTGGCTGAAGCCGTCGTCCAGTTTGTGGCTGGAGCTTGAGCGAGTATCCCTGAGGCCGTTAGCAAGGACACGCTGGATTTCCATTCCAAAGTACTCACCTTTGTGACTGCGGCCATAAAAGTCAGTTCGGATATGGGCTGGGGTGTTGCGTTTGAAAATGTCAAGGACAATGTAATAATCGCTGGCGTTTGTGCCTCTCGAGTCGCATGTAGCGAAATGCCAATGTTGGTATTACTAACAGCGATAGTATTCGAGGGCGGAAGCGCTTCAGGCAATGCAGATGAAAACGCCCACTCGTCGTCATCAGCTACAGGAGCAGCTGTCGGTGCCACAGCTGGTGCTTGGTGGTTTCCAAAATCAAACATGGATGGCTGGGCTTGCTGGGGTGTTGAATATCGAACAGGAGAGGCTAAAGCAGCGAACGGGTCGATTGACGGGGCAGGAGGTTGAGCCTTAGCTGTTATACCTGCTTGTTGCTGCTGGAATAAGGATGGCTGTGGGGTGGCGGCTTTGGGAGTTGGTGCTGCGGATCCAAAAGTTGAGAATGCTGAATAGTCTGGTTTGACCGGTTGTGGATGTGATGGGTTTGGCGAGGTGGTAGGTGTTGGCCCTCTTGCTGTACTGTAGTCCGATGTTGAGGATATCAAAGCAGGACCGGGAATATCTATAGTCATAAGTAATAGTAAGAAAGCGAGAAACACATTACACTTACTACCATTGCTCCCAAATCCAAGAGAAATTCCACCACCCTGTCCATAACTTTCACCCATTGAAAGACCAAGCAAATCATCTTCTAAACCTCCAGGTTGGCGTTGTTGCGCCGGAGGTGACGGTTCTGTTGAAGCACTTCCATTTGGCTCTGAATCCCCACCGAAATCGATCAGGGACAACTCGTTATCAGAATTCTTTCCCACACCCGTGCTCGTCCCAAGCGTTCCTTTAGCAATCTTAGCAGCAGACTCAACATCTCCTTTTTTCATCAACTTATATCGTTCCACTGTCCGGTGTATGCTATCATTGATTTCCAAAAGTTTTGCAACCGCTTCATGATCATCGGATTCCTCCTCGCACATCTTTTGAATCTTTGGGTGGGCGCTTTGGAGTGCCGAGGCCAGCTCTTCGTATACATCGCCCTCGGTCATCTTATCACCGGGCCTGAACTCCTCCAGCCTCTCTTCCAGTAATCTTGCCTTTTGCTGTACTTTTCCAACCTCCTCGGCGGCTTTTGCCCTGTAATCGGTTTTTGTTCGGGTATCATATCCTGCCATTATCTTCATCAATCGATTCGCTTCTTGGAGGTCTTCGGGTCCACCACGTCGGATCAGCTCTTGCAACTTGGCAGATTGGGCGGCCTTTTCTTCTTCCTCCATCTCTTCCGCAGATTTCAGATTCTAGTAGAATGTCAGAATATATATCATTGGCTTAGGGAGGAGACAAACATACGTCACTAGGATTCAAAACAGCTGCATCTTCTCTCCTGACCTCGGGGAATATATATCCTTTGTAACTCAGAAGCCGATGCATATCCCGGATAAAACCCAAATCCTCCTTGTACCGCGAAGTCTGACATATTGTGCCCCGCCATTCCTCAATAGCCTCCAGAATCCTCTGCTGTACTCTAGTGGGCCTTATCGGGGGGCGCTCAGGAAACCTCCGTACGAGTTCATTGAGGAATTCTTTGGTACTGATCTGAAGATGAAATGGGTATCCGCAATTCTTGACGCAAATATCGAGGAGACTGAGAGCTAGTAAGGAGACGTTGGGGTTGCGATGATTGATGTAATTGACAATCGCGACAGCCCCCTCCCTGGGCGCATTGCCCTTTTTCGAATTGATGAGGTCGGAGATCTCAAGATTGAGCGCCAGGTTGGGCTCGAAGTTCTCGGGACTGCATGCTTGTTGGACGTATCTTTGGAGTTGTGAGGGGCCTGCATCTCCCATGGTACCAAAGCGGTCTCTGGCCGCCATCCGCGCAGACGCTGCCTCCATCTGGAGGGATTTGAGGGGATATCAGCACTGGCACTGGTAGTTGTAGAGGGAGAGATGGAGAATTCGAGGGGTTGCCTGGGTGTAGAGCAAGCTGGCGAGAGTGTGCGGCGCAGAGTGGTGGGGGGAAACAACTGTTTCTGACAGAATCATGAGGTGCAGTGCCAAGCGAAGCCGAAGCTGATGCCAAAGCCTTGGTGGCGTGGCATCCGTCCAAATAATTTACAACTTTTTAACACAACACAACCTCCTCTCCTCTCCACACCACACAAAACAAAATTCCCTCAAAATGGTCCGACACAAGAAAGATGGATTCTCATCCAGAGGCAAGAAATACAGCAATGCCCCAAGAGCAAGAGGCCCTCGAAACGATGGTGAAGACGGCGAACACCCCGCATCGCGCCCCGCCTTCAAAGCCGCATGCTGGGATTTGGGACACTGCGACCCCAAGAGATGTTCGGGGAAGAAACTCATGAAGATTGGTCTCATGCGCGAGCTTCATATAGGCCAAAAACACTCTGGAGTCATCATTAGCCCGAATGCGAAACAAACCATCTCGCCCGCCGACCGAGAGATTTTCGAGCAGTACGGCGCAGCAGTGGTGGAATGCTCATGGGCTAGAGTGAAGGAGGTGCCATGGCCAAAGATCGGAGGGAAATGCGAGCGACTGCTCCCGTACCTGGTAGCTGCGAATAGTGTAAATTATGGAAAACCTTGGAGGTTGAACTGCGTGGAGGCGCTGGGTGCGGCATTCTACATATGTGGACATCCCGAGTGGGCTGAGGAGGTTCTGTCACATTTCTCATACGGGCAGTCATTTCTAGACATCAACTCGTCAATATTGAAGCGGTACGCGGCTTGTAAGGATGAAGCAGAAATCAAGAAGACAGAGGAGGCGTGGATGGCTAGGTTGGAGAAGGAATATGCGGATAGTAGGGCAGACGGAGAAGATGGGCCGGAGACAGATATATGGAAAGGAGGAAACACGAATCATCGAGCGCCAGTCAGTTCCGATGAAGAAGATGAGGATGAAGACGGAGACGGAGAAAGTGACGAAGAGATTGATGGCATATATTTGGGCAAGAGGCCACCAAAGAATCTGGAAGAAGCAGCAGAGGAAGACAAAGACCCTTTTGAGATATCGGAGGATGACGACGAAGAAGAGATGGCAGAGCTTAGACGAAGAGTGCTGGCATCGAAACCGTTTTCAAATCCAACAGACACTGGGCAAAAGTCAGCACCGGAAAAGATATCTCGCCCGGTGCCATTGAAGGAAGACTCGGATGTGGAAGCCGACTCGGACAATGGCGACGATGACGAGTTTGACAACATTATCGATGCCACTCCCGTCACAGACAGAATTGGGATCCAAGCCAAGCAGAAAGCGAAGACATCGGAACCTCTTGCTAGTGCAGTCTTCTCGAGGACAGTCGTGGGTGCCCCAAAGAAGTGGTAGTGAAATCAAGACATCAATCGCATCCCCGTCTTAAGATGGCAAACATCTATGAGGTGAAATGAGAGACATATGATCGTGGAAATGTGGTACTAATCTTGTAGTTTATTGTCAGAGGCCACTGATACAGAGAAGTCCTATTTCAACGTAGTCTATCCCTTCAATTGCTGCAAAGTTTTGCATCTACAACCAGGGGTGTCTCTCATAGGTTAAAACGGACTTTTTCCGTCTTCTTTCTTCGCGCCAATCATGGTTATACCCACATTCCTTCCTATCTTTCAAGGCAACGGAGCCTCGTTAGCACTGAGCCTCATCATTCATATGTAAACATGTCGATCCTCCTCGGGAATAAGCTTGGTGTGTAGACGCCTTAGGCACCCACTACTACCATGCAGCCACACCTCCAAGTTCCAACTCCACATCGCGATCTCCAACATGTTGCTAGGTATCCAGTTTAAGTATTTGGGAGAGCTAGTCAGTCCCCGCAGTTTTGTGATCCTGGACCATTTGTCCGCTTTCCGCCGCTAAGTTTGGGATTCCAGTATAGTCCTAAATTTCGTTTCAACAGTCCATGTATGTTTTTCTGCTTGTTAATAGACTTGGGTTGTAATTGAGTAGCTGTCCCCGGGAGAATGACTGTTGGCCACAGAGATGGCGGTGGGACACTCGGTACGTCGAAGTCGCTGTCCCCCGCTAAGGTTGACGAGGAGAAAGAGGCTAGCAAAGATCCAGGGAAGTCTGTTCCTTGTCCCAGAAATGGCGTTCAAGGACAGGTCGTGATGGATTGGAATGGTCCAGATGATGTTGATAATCCGCACACATGGTCTCCGTCCAAGAAGATGTATCACGTCTTGGTGCCGGCAATACTCGGATTTGTTGTGTAGGCAATCACATTATATGACATTGTTTCTGAAACTCTGTACTTATCAACTTTTTATCAGCTCACTGGGAACGTCGCTCTACCCGCAATCCGTCAAGTCCATCGCCTATCACTTCCACACCAGCAACGAAGTCAGCCTCGTTGGCTTCACAACCTTCGTCCTCGGACTGGGCTTCGGGCCTGTACTCGGCTCTCCAGCCAGTGAAACGCTTGGACGTCGACCCGTATACCTGATTACCATTCCCCTCTTCGGACTCTTCACCCTAGGTGTTGGGTTTGCTCGGAATGTGCAGACCGTGATCATCTGTCGGTTTTTCGCGGGCTTGTTCGGTGGTCCTGCATTGGCTGTAGGCGCGGGCACAAATGCGGATTTATATCCACCAGACAAGCGTGTCTTCACCACTAGTCTCTTCACTCTGGGCCCGTTTTTTGCTACTGGTGTTGGGTATGTTCCTATCCCCTAACTTGGCTGCGTTTATTAGAAGCTGATGTTTAAACAGCCCGGTCATTGGATCATACGTAGATTCCAGAAAGAGCTGGAGATGGGTAGAATGGACGTCGATATTCTTCGGCGTGTTCGGGTTAATCTTCTCCATGTTTACGCAGGAGACATACAAGAAGATAATCCTCACCAAAAGAGCCAAAGCGCGTGGCGCTCCTCTGCCACCCGCTCCTACCGGCCTAGCATTTTTCAAACACATAATGACAGTTGTGCTGTTCCGACCCATTCACATGCTGTTCACCGAATCTATCGTCGCATCGTTCGCCATCTACGTATCCTTCAACTTCGCCGTGCTTTTCGGCTTCATGGCTTCTATCCCCCTGGTTTTCACCGCCGTCTACGGCTTCAGTCACGCACAGAGCGGCCTCCCATTTATAGCCATCGGCATAGGCTGTCTCCTCTCGATCCCCACCATGCTTCTGCTAGATAGGACCTTTTACCGCAAAGCAGTGCTCAAAGCAACAGCATCTGGACACGGCAGTGCGGTTGCGCCCGAACACCGCCTGTACGGCGCGATGCTGGGCAGTATTAGTCTCCCGGTTGGTTTGTTCTGGTTCGCGTGGACGGCGCAGGAGAGCGTGCATTGGCTCGTGCCGATCGTTGGATTGATCCCTTTCGCATGGGGCAATATCAGCGTGTTTATAAGCTGTGTGCTGTACATGGTCGATACATATATGGCTGCCAATGGCGCGAGTGCGATGGCGGCGAATGGGCTGGCGAGGTTTGTTGCTGGGGCTGTGTTCCCGCTGTGTACGGTGCAGATGTATGATGGGATGGGGTTCCGGTGGGCGAGTAGCTTGCTGGGCTTTGTTACTGTTGTTCTCCTGCCGGTGCCGTGGGTGTTGTTTTTGTTCGGGGAGAAGATTAGACGGAGAAGTGCATATGATACTTGGAAGGGATAGAGACTCTTTCCATAGGCGGTGTATAGAATTGAATCAACTGCATACAATACTCGCTTTTTGATACTTATCAGGAAGGATGAGTCTGGAAGCTGGGCTGGACAGGGACAAGTAGTTATGTCGTGCATTACCAATCACGTGCTGCACTGTCATGCTGGCTGGTGCAGATCATTTGGTAGCGCATGTGCAGTGCATGTGAAGATAATCCTTGCACTCCCTCAACGTCCATCAATGTGAGTGCAAGATAGCCCTGCCCTAGAAGTCTACCTGGCCTGGTACTGTACTCTGATAGACGAAGCTAGCTTAGCAGCCGTTCAATATTGTTTCCCAAGCAACTACGTCTAGCTCTAGCTGCATGTGGCAACGGCCGTCAATAGCCGGGCCGGATGGGGGTGACATCACAAAACCCAAGCCGAGAGCTCCGTTCTGACAAGTGCAGTGCAGTGCAGTGCGGTGCAGCACTGACCTTACTCTTACATATACATTTGGTAACATGTGGACTAATCGATCAATAGATGCTTTTAGATACGGAGATGGCCCGAGATAGCACAACACAGTGACCAACGATGTTGTGAGTAAGCACCGGGATCAAGTATCGAGACTCGTGATTGGACGGCCATTAGCTGTTGGCGGTGCCCCTCCTTGCCCCTCCTCGCCCCTCCTCGCCCCTCACCTACGAGTAGCTCACGGAGAAGAAAAAGGTGGCGGGATGGAGACCGAACGTACTGAAAAATACACTTGACTTTGCGCACAATGTGCTCTAAACTACCGCAAGCTCATCCCGCCACGATTCTCTTCTACGTAGAGTGGCCTGGATGGCAGGGTGGGTTGGGATGACGCTGCGTTGGTCCAGCCAGAAAGACAAAGGAGGGGTTCTATCCTACATAAAAACCTGTCACCACCCCCCACCACCACCGTTGTTTCTTCTCATCCAAATTCCACATTCCAGGCAATTAATTCAATTGAACCTCAACATCCTCAATCAACGCAACATAATATCACCACACCACACTACAACACACCACTCCTCAACCGCCATCATGCCTATCGCAATCCCCAAAGCCTCCTCCCTCAAAGACTTGTTCTCCCTCAAAGGCAAAGTCGTCGTCGTAACCGGTGCCTCGGGCCCCCGCGGCATGGGCATTGAAGCAGCACGCGGCTGTGCCGAGATGGGCGCCAACCTCGCAATCACCTACTCGTCGCGTCCTGAAGGCGGCGAGAAGAACGCCAAGGAGCTGGCCGAGACATACGGCGTCAAGGTCAAGGCCTACAAGTGCGATGTTGGGAACTGGGAATCCGTCTCGGGCTTTGTCGCCGAGGTCATCAAGGAGTTCGGCCAGATCGACGCCTTCATTGCGAACGCCGGGCGTACGGCTGATAGCGGCATCTTAGAGGGCAGCGTCGAGGCCTGGAACGAGGTCATCCAGACGGATCTCAATGGAACTTTCCACTGCGCCAAGGCAGTCGGTGCACATTTCAAGGAGCGCGGAACGGGGTCGTTCGTTATCACGGCGAGTATGTCGGGTCACATTGCCAATTTCCCGCAGGAGCAGACGAGCTACAATGTCGCAAAGGCCGGGTGCATTCATATGGCGCGCTCGCTGGCCAACGAGTGGCGTGACTTTGCGCGTGTCAACTCCATCTCGCCGGGTTACATTGATACGGGGCTGAGTGATTTCGTCGACGTCAAGACGCAGGATCTGTGGAAGAGCATGATTCCCGTGGGGCGGAACGGGGATGCCAAGGAGTTGAAGGGCGCATATGTGTACTTGGTCTCGGATGCGAGTACGTACACGACTGGTGCTGATATTGTCATTGATGGAGGATATGTCTGCCGATAGATCATCACTTCACATCACCCCACTTCGCTTCATGTCACATAGTATCAGTTATTGCGAGGAAATAATGGAAGGGTGCATCATGATCGAAGATTCTATCTTGCTTGCTTGTAGAGAAGATAGATGAAGAGTGAAGTAAAATCAAAAAGTAATTCTTCCCCACATGCATGTCTAAGTGATTTTAGTAACATCACCTCTCTATAAATACCCTCCTTCCTTTCTTTCCAATCCTATCTCATCCCATCTCATCTTACCTTACCTCTCAACTTTAATCCATTCATTCATTCATGCACGCAAAACCTTCACTTCCATCAATCCCCTCCCCCCACGTACGCAAATAGTAACACCGAAAAACACCCGACCACCCCATTGATTCGTTACCCCTCACCTCACCTCACCTCACCTCACCTTATACACTCAGCCCCTTGCACAGGAATAGAACCTACCTCTACCCCTCCCCTCCCCTCACTTCACCTTATCGCTCGCTCGTACTCCACTTCCAACCCACTGTACTGCACTCCACTATAGTCCAAGCGTACTGTACAAGTAGCGCTGAGCCGACCATCACCCGTCTACCTTACAAGTACTAAGTACTTACTCCGTATATCTCTTCTTTCCTTCTCCCTTTCTTTCTTTCTTTCTTTTTATATTTACTCCTAGTATCCCCAAGGTAAGAAAGATTCCAAGACCCTCATTTTCACTTCGTATCACTTGCAACCCCACCCCATCGCATCGCATCGGGTACCTGACTGACGCTCCGCTGGCCCTCCGGGGGCCACTGCCGTGGAGGCCCATGGTTCTTTTCCCTTTCTGCATATACTAACTAGGTACGGCATCCATTTATATAATTCGAGCTTAATAGATATATATATATACCTTAGTATCGCCATGCCCTCCCTTCCCTGTACCCAGGCGTTCCGTAATCTCTTCCTCTTCAACCTCCAAGTCTAGGTAGGGGGGGCAAGGATGAGGATGGAAAATAGAGAGGGAGCAAGCAATTATACTATTGATGATGATAATATTGCTAACTTGTAATAAGGCTATATTTTTATAGATCACTCGTCTATTTATTAATTGCGGATGCAGGTAGCGAGTAGGACGTCGTTATGCAAAGACAGCTAGCGCAGTCTATTTGTATTGCAGGCGGAAGGAATAATGTATAGTTGATTGATGGGCCGTTGCTTGTTCATTAGATAGAGAGAGTAGCAAGTAACAGCACTCTGTATCCACGTCCCCCCTCCGTTCTACAACTCCAGCTCGAAACCTTCATCAAAGTGACAGACGCATCTATACTTGCCCTCCGCGTCGGAATCCTACTCTATTCCCATCTCCACCGAGTGAGATCAGGACGCCGTCGCGATGAGAAGTCGATATCGTCTTTCATCATCCGGTCTGCATATGAGATACATCGTGCATGTCCCCAGCCAAACTAATCCTCTGTCTCCATGTTTTTCTTTGGTGCCAAAGCCAGCCATTCGTTCCATCTATATCCAAGTGAAGGAAGGAATCTCGAACTCTACTTCTCCAAATCATACTCGGTAATAGCCTGAACCTTGGCCGCGGAGGCGGATTCCTGTATTTTTCAAAGTACTAGTCAGCCTCTATACGTATCCGCATCTACATCTACATGCACGCCTAGCCTGGCATAAACCAAACCCCGCCAAAAGGAAATCGCGCACGAAAGACAAACAAGATAGAGGAAAAACAAACAGTTCGTTTCCCTGCCTCATTGTTACACTGTACGTACCGTATCAAACCTATACCCCAACCACTCCCTTACCAGCCGTCTCGCAACTTCAATCCCCACAACCCTCTCCCCCAAACACAGCACCTGCGCATCATTACTCAACACCGCTCTCTCCACACTAAAACTATCATGCGCCGTCACGGCCCTGACGCCCCGAACCTTATTCGCGGCAATGGCGACGCCCAGCCCGGTGCCACAGATCAACAAGCCCCGGTCTGCATCGCCGCGCGAGATGGCACGCGCTGCTGAGACGGCGTAGTGCGCGTATGCGGTCTTGTCGGACGCGGTGAGCGGCCCGACGTCTTGGACTGAGGAGACGCGTGGGTCCGAGCTGAGGTCCGCGAGGAGGAGGGCTTTGTATGAGAATCCGGCGTCGTCGCCGCCTATTACTATGCGGAGGGGCGTAGGGAGAGGGGGAAACATGGTGGGATTAAGTGGTAGGGAGAGGCAGGTATAATTTGGATATCTGGGGAATGTGATGGATGGATGTATGGGGTAGGGTATAAGTATATAAGTAGATGAAGATACGAATCCCAATGCTGAATGTAACGGATGGAAATTGATACACTCTGTGAAGAAGGAAGCAAGCAGGGACGCAGAGACGGACTTTGGAGTCTCTTATGAAAGAAAGATACTTACCTTTTCCCCCAATGGAAATAAACTAATACCACTTTTTCATTTCACCATCTCATCAACTTCGTGCGTTTTCTCCATGTCTTTCATACATTGTCTGCTTTTGCTTGAGCCCGCGAGACGCGCGAGATGCGATTTGAGGAGTAGAGTGGAGTGGAGCCATCACGTGCTTGTTTGATGGTGCTTTTCGGACGTGTTAGGAACAGGATTCTCTGTGGATACCTAGGTACCTAGGTCATGGGTGGCGGATTATTGTCGAGTCGAGGTTTGGAGAGAAGTGGGAGTGGGAGTGGAGAAGGACCAGATGGTCAAGGGTTATGCTGACGTAAGCAGCATAAAATGGATCCCGACGGCTTGGTACGATACGGTAGCTATCCCCGGCGCATACATATACTAGGGCTGTGGTGCGCGACTCGCGACTCGCGACCTGTCGTACGGGAATAGTCTCCAGACCCTTGGTCGGATAACAAAGTAAGGTACTGTTTCAGGCGATGGCCTGCCTACTCATAGGTACTGGCTATATGGCGGGGTCATCATATGGGTTGATGATGAACCATAATTCAACAAACCCAACTTAGTTGAAAAATCAGCATCCTCAAAATGGAGTGGAAGAAGCAAAATAAAACATATCAGATCCTGACAGCCGCTGAGAAAGGGGGTTATGGAGTAGTAGCACCAATTGCGTGAGTGAACACCGCACCTGGCCTTGGAATCTTCAGTTCACATGCATACGATAGGTATCTATGTAGCCTCAAGCAGGCAAGTAAGCAAGTAGTTACATATTACATACTGACAAGAATCCAGATACAATATCGAAGGCATAATCGGCATGGTTGCCGCCGCCGAAGCCAAGTCCTCCCCCCTGATAATCCAGATGTTCCCCTGGGCCCTTACCTTCAGCAACGGGCTTCTCGTGCACGCCGCCGCGCAAGCAGCGCGCGACGCCAGCGTGCCCATCGCCGTGCACCTAGACCACGCACAAGACGAGGCGCTCATCAAGCGCGCCGCAGACCTGCCCTTTGACTCCATCATGGTCGACATGTCGCACTACGAGATGGACGAGAACCTACGCAAGACCAGAGAGCTGGTCGAGTATTGTAACGAGAGGCGTATTACGACCGAGGCGGAGCCGGGGCGCATAGAGGGCGGCGAGGATGGCATTGCGGATACGGCAGATTTGGAGGGGAAGCTGACGACGGCGGAGCAGGTGGAGAGTTTTGTGGCGACGGGTATTGATTTTTTGGCTCCTGCGTTTGGGAATGTGCATGGCGAGTATGGGAGTAGAGGGCCGGTGCTGGAATATGAGAGGTGCGAGTTCCAATCTAATCTAATCTTTGGCTCCTCTCTCAAACAAGAGTGTTCCTGATACTGATGGTTTCTACGGATAACAGGCTTGAAGCCATCAGGATTGCTACGGGCGGCCGAGTCAGGATAGCTCTGCATGGGACGAATGATTTTCCGGAAGATGTCATGAAACGCTGCATCAAAGGAGGTGTGTCCAAGGTCAATGTCAACAAGTTGATTCTAGACGATTATCTGCAACACCTGAAGAAAAATGCTTCGACCATGTCTTTGACGGTGTTGTTGGAGGAGGGTGTCAAGGAAGTCCAGCGCATGATGGAGTGGCAGATGGATGTTTGTGGATCTACTGGAAAGGCGTAAGTGAGTTGCTTGATTGAAATATTTGATCATGGGCAGAGAAAAATAAGTAGCTATTTAGTATCTACGCCTTTCTTTGCCGTGTTGCTTAATGTCTTCACTCCTACGGTGATTTACGGCCTTGCACATGAAGGAACTGTTAATTATAACCCTTAGGCTATTTATGGTGCTTCCCTATGCTAGACAACAAAAGCGACACTTAATTTATTCTCATTGAATTTTAATGTCCCGACTACCTAGCACATTTCAAATTATATGCTGTTTTTCTTTTATCCGGGAGCCTTCTTCTCTTTATCAAGACGACCGTGAAACACGGTAGATACACAAGTCTGCAAGTAGATCCTAGTCGAATTGAGAGTTAAGCTTTTGTACCAGGTGCGGCGTATCTACTCTAGGGAGATATTTGCCTTGTCCGACAATTTCAACACTGGCTCGCAAAACGGTAAAAGTACGTGTTTGTGAAGTTCTTACGGAGGTATGGAATAATACTTTACTGCTACACTAATACTTTTTCATTGTGCAGCGCCAAATTCTGCAAGCTCTGAATTTCATTTCTATATCTCTATATCTTTATGCACTACCCATACAATCCTTTCTCTACCATGCGCCTACAATTCCCGCAATAGGAATATCAATACCCGTTGTATATGTAGCGGTATCTGAAAGAAGATAAACATAGGCACCACTATATTTTCAAGTCAGATATTTGTCTCCCCAAGCAGAACGTAAGGTAGGTACTCACCCTAACTCTTGAGGTAATGCAAGTCTTGGCATGCCTCCATAATACTTCATCTTCGTATCCCAATCCGGCGACTTCTCAACATAGTATGTCAACGCAGTCTTGACGAAGCCAGGCGATATACTATTGACTCTGATCCCGTGCTCCGCCCATTCCATAGCCAGAGTATGTGTCATATTCCTCACCGCAGCCTTCGTCGCACCGTAGGGCGCAGATGGCGCAGCCTATATGATATTTTACTTAGCATGTGGATCTTATCTCAACTTCCGGAGAGGCACTACGTTTCTTTCCTACTTACCCTATTCGGTCTATAACTCGTCATACTCGCAGTAAAAACAATAGCTCCCTTTGTCTTCAACCTGATAAACGTCTTCGCAGCTGCGGTCGCGCAGTTCCACGCTCCAAACACATTTAGCTTGAACAGCTGCTCTACCTGCGCCATGGTGAAGTCGAGCGCCGGCTGGTGGCGCGTCATGCCCGCATTTACAATCATGCCGTCGAAACGGCCTTCTGCCTCCACAACGGCATCGAGCGCCTTCGCGACGCTCTCTTCGCTCGTTACGTCTGTGTGTAGGTAGGCCAATTTATCTGGGTACTGTTTTTGCATGGCGGCGAATTCAGGTCCCGGGCTGCTGATATCGAGAGAGTATACTTTCGCGGCGGCGTTGGCTAGGCAAACTTCTGCGAGGCCGAGCCCGATGCCTTGGTTTGCTCCTGTGACTGGAAGGAGTTAATTTTGGTCTTGAGAAAGAATATATTGGCAGCAGGAGGAACTTACTTGTGATTACTTTTCCTTGGAGTGATATTTGCCATTGGTGACCTGCTTGTGGGAGTGTGCTCATTGACACAGGAGAAGCGGCTCCATTGCCAATTGGTGTGTCTTGGGCCGAAGGAGGCATTATGGTCTGATCTTGAGGAATGTAGAGGAGGGTCAGCTTCAATTACTGCAATGAAGTGATCAAGTCGTATGTAAGAATTAGATTTGAGAATTGTGGTTGACGGAAAAATGGGTGAGTTTGAGACAAGTGATATTTAGGAAGAACACAATCTTCAATTTTTATTTATATGGGCAACAGACTCACGGCTACATGTCTTGCTAACCTTCTCCATAACCCCACCATAGGAATCGTCTCGCACACTGTCCCCGCGTGGAGAAACAAGCGTCGTCAGATCGCCTAGTTGGTTTTTGAGGCGTGAACCGCGAGACGAGGTCGATTCTCCGCATGGAATCCACGTTTTGACCACGACATTTCATTTCGTGGTTCTGGGGACTAGCAGGGACCCCATTTATTTTCCGCCTGACTTGTACACTAAGATCACCCCATGGGAAATGCTTTGCGGGGAATGAAACATCTACGGAGTAGCACATAGGTAAAAGTAGGTGTAGACAGACAGTGTAGGTAGGCCTAAAGTGTGGATTGAATATTTTCCCATAAGAACATTCTCCTTTCCCACCTCCTCCAGGTTTCAAGTCTCAAAGTCCAGAACATTACATCACTGCTCTGTTCTGCTCTACTCCAAGGCACAATTTTAATTTCATATTTTATTATATACTTGTCGATTGTTCAGCAGCTCTCGCACAAATGGATCAAATGAATCACAAACAACACTCCACAGAGGTCGAAGATGTTGGGCCTAAAACCGACAATATGCATACCGAAGTTGATAGCTACGTTCCTGATACCGAAGAAGAGAAGAGGCTTGTGAGGAAGATAGACCTGTATCTTCTTCCTACAATCTGGATTATGTATCTCTTGTCATATGTGGATAGAACAAAGTTAGTATTGCCTTACTCTACACGCACCTGGATCGAAGTTCTAACAGCATATAGTATCGGCAATGCAAAAGTAGCAGGCATGGCTACCGATCTAGGTCTCGATTCCAACCGTTACTCAATCGTACTCGTGGTATTTTTCGTCGTCTACGTTGCTTTTGGCGTTCCTTACAAGTAAGTGCAAGCAATAACTCATAGTTCCGAATAGAATAAATATAACAAAAGTTTGAACGGCTAATTATTTATTTCCTGCAGCATGGTCTTGTCTCGAATCTGTCCTTCCATCTTCCTCCCAACTATCATGTTCTTATGGGGAGTAGTCACAATCGGCATGGGCTTTGCACCAAACTACAAGTCCCTCATCGCTTTCCGCATCATCGTCGGTTCCCTAGAAGCAGGCTTCGCTCCCGGTGTGCTCCTCCTGCTCTCCTCGTGGTACAAGCGCAACGAGCAGAGCAAACGCTTCTCCATCTACATCTCAGCCGCTATCCTCTCGGGTGCCTTCGGCGGCTTGATTGCCGGCGGTATCGAAGGGGGTTTAGACAACCGTATGGGTATCGCTGGATGGAGGTGGCTGTTCATCATCGAGGGCGCGCTGAGTGCTGGCTGGGCCGTCATTGCTTCTTTTATCCTGTTGGATTTCCCGGCCAATAGTACGAGGTTGACTGAGCGCGAACGCGAACTCGCTGTGCAACGCATTCTTTCCGAGGGCCAATCAGTGCGTTCGGAAGAGTTTCCTGATCTCACTCATGGGGAAGCTTTGACATTGGCGTTGAAAAACTGGCGGACGTGGGCTTTCACCATTGGGTATATGGTAAGTGGTTTCACCATCCTCTCCTTTTCTTGAACACTTGGGCTAATTCCGTATATCAGGGCATTGTTGGTTCGTCTACGCTTACATACTTCTATCCAACTCTCGTCAAAGGACTAGGTTACACGTCCGTACAAGCTCAGTATATGACTGTTCCTATCTACGCTGCCGCTTTTGTCTGCACTGGCATCACAGGCTACCTTACAGACAAAGTTATCCATCTGCGCGGCCTGATAATTGCATCGTGGTTGACGGTCTCAGCCATCTGCTCCATCATCATCTGCATCATGTATAATTTCATTGGAAGATATGTTTTGCTTGTTTTGATGGCGTCTGGGCTTTGGGTCGCAAATGCGTTGAGTTTGAGCTATGCTTCGAGCACCTTTGGCTCGTTGCCAAACGAGACAAAGGCTGTGTGCTTGGCCATTGTCAACTCTTTAGGGAACTTGGCTCAGATCTACGGCTCGTATCTCTTTCCGTCGACCGATGCACCAAAATACATTATGGGTTTCGGTGTCATCAGCGGATTATGCAGTCTCAGCGTTGTAATGTATGTCTTCCTGTATGTAATGCTGAAGTGTAGACCACAGAATTGAGACTGAAAGCGAAGGTTACCTGTGTGGGAGGACGTAAAATATGGACCATATAAACTCTTATTGGAAAAAAATAGTTTCAAGGCGGCATATTGACCCCAGCATCTCTACTATCATCGGTGGAGTCTATTCTCTTCCACTCCTGACGAAGTTCATCACATAGTGTTGACATTGGCCAACCTGTTCGTGCTTCACATTTTGTGATGAGAGAAATGATTTCATTTCGCTGAAATGTCTCTTGAACACACAATCCAGCTACGAATAATATAATCAGTGTTTGTTTTAATTTCAAAAGAATCAGGACATCCCATTGCATACCTCCAAACAAGCATTGTGACGATATGATCTGGCAGCCTTCATCCGACAATTGCATTGCGATACCCGCAATAACAGCCACAGCTTCGGACAATGATTTCTGATTAAGGGGTAAACATTAGCGTGCAGCGGACTGGAGCACTGGACCAAAGGGCAAGCTCACTTGAACTTTCATGTGTGAATTTAATCCAGCCATTGCGGGACGATGCAAGGTTATCAATATTCGGGCAAAGTAAAAGATCTGCAGTGCAACACCTACTCATAGTCAGCAATGGTAAGATGACTAAGTCCTTCATACACACCTAATTTTGGAGGATGTATCCAGAGTGGCTGGAAAATAGTAGTAGTCTTAGGAACTGGCAAGGTTTTAAGTTCGTCGCCTAAAGTGCCTCTCCATCTATCAAGCATTGCTAACAACTTATCCGCCGTTTGAGTCTTCTGGGGCACCACTGTATCTTCTGGCGATTGATCGGTAGGATCAGCGCAGAAGTTAACGGCTTGAGAGAACAGATATACAACTCTGTCTACCAATTCGGGTTTGCTTAGCTCGGGATAATCCACAACTGGTTTCCAGAAGCTCAAACATCGTCTACGTTCCCTGAAAGCAGCCCACACATCTTGACGAAGCCAAGCCCACCATACAGCTTGTCGGATGCCGCCGGAGCCTCCGTCGACATTTTGTGATCGTTGTATCCAGAATACCCCTTTCAGATGACGCTGCCATTCGCTTTGGGACTCGTCTAACATTTCATAAGTAGAGATTATCAACGCTGTTGCTAATAATTCTTCGGAATGTGCATAACTGTTATGATGGAGGGCGGTTCTGTCTATCATGTTAACATCGTGGCTTATTTGTGGTGCAAGTGGTATGATACACAACTTCAAATATGGGAGACTTCATCAAGGACCTAGAAAAGAACCATTAGACTTACTGAACATAGTGAAGTGTTTCGTAATAGTATTGCATAGCAAGATTGGGATCATTGCCCGTCTTTGCTGGGTCTCTATAATTTTGGCGAGACAGATGCTGTGCTGAAAGGGCTAGTATTGCCTTCATAAGTCCGGTGTTTCGAAGCTAACAGCGGAGTTGTGTATGAGAAATTTATCTTCTACAAAAGATGAGGCTCTTACCGCAAGTCGGGTGGTATGAACAGAGAAGTGCTTGTTAGGATCAAACAGATCTAGCCAGAGAGCGGAATGCTCTACGAAATTGCGGAATATCATGATTTCGGAATCTTTCAATACACTATCTTTGCTCAATTGCCAATACTGACTACCCGTATCCGAAGGAAGCAGCTCGTTCGATGCACTCAGAAACGGTTGATCAAGAACGTTCTGAGCTTGGCTGGCTGGCTCTACCAAATTAGCATACGGTTCTGGTCGTTCAAGAATGGGAGAAGAAGGCCGAGTAAAGCCTCTATTCGCCTGTAAAGCATCCTCGGCGAGAAGGTCCAACCATCTGATAGAAGCGAGGTCGGCGGTAAGACATTCGGACCCCAAGGTATCGGCAGGCGAAACATGATTGATATGAGGGGAATGTAGTTGATGTAGAGGCTCAAGAGGCTCATTGGGAGTATAGTCGAATCCGCGATGGTCAGCAAAGCTTTGGTTACTGTCCTCAACACTTTCTCGTGACCCCTGACGAAGTGCTGTATTATCTGATGATATCAAGGCGTGGTTCGCCATAGATGGCTGTTCCAAATTGGGCCACAGACAAGTTCTATTGGTCGGGCCACAGTTTCCACAGACTGGAAAGACCTCATTACATTTTTTATGCCTTCTGCGACACGTGATACTAAAGTGTGCTGTTAGTATGCAAGTTCTGCAATTGCGAAGCTCTGTTGAGGCACGGGTATCGAGCAAAAGCCTACCAGCCAGTCTTGGTCCTCAATCCCTTGCTTCTCGACTTTCTGATAGTCTTTCTTCTCCAAGCATTGCTGCCACTGGCAGCGGCCGAACTCGAGCCATCGAGCTGACTAGTTGTTACCTGCTCCATGGTAAGTAACCTGGTCTCCTTGGTACTTCGGCAGTGAGGCTCCTTCATAGTGGATCGGTCTCGAGCTGGAGTGTACAATGCACGCACTGTAAAGCGAAGATTTTGAGAAGCAATTTCGAAACTCGAGACGAGGAGAAGTGCACGTCTCGACGAGATGCAAGAAACTGGGGCATGGTACGATACCCCCAGACTTACCCCATCCCACCCCAATACGGGGAAATTTCTTGGGTGCACCGGCGATGCCTATCACTGACAGGGTAATGGGGTGAGAAAAGTCGGAAATGCCTCGAGACGCGGTGTCGAGTACTCCGTAGCCGCTTCGCGGGGAACCTGGAGTGCTGGTGTTCTAACTATCCCACTCTTCCGTATTACCACCAATGAACGTCACGTCAATCATCTCCACCCTCCACACTAAAATACCCCAATCCGTCGACATGGGACGCTAGGCTGGGGTATGCGGGGATTTTCCGAGTCAGCTTATTCCTAGTTGACATCAAAAGTTGACTCAATTTACAACTACTAAGAACTATTCATATTGAACTTTCCGTGTCTCGATTTAGCGGCTTTTGGTGGAGATGGCGGCAATAGTCGTCGTCTGTTCCATTTTCCAAATAGGGCTAACGACGACAATGAAACTAATCATCCCATGAGCGTCTCTGGAAATACTGATTCGAAATACCATAAAAACCCAAAACCCTATGTACATACAGCCCCACCGTTTATTAGAAGGCAACTAAGCGCTTCATATCTTCCATTCAGGTACAGTAACAGTATCAAAATGTCCACCCCGAGTCGAGGCATGTATCCATGGATCTACAGCGTGTTGTTCACGCGACGTAAATATGTGAAGATACCCTTCCAACAATAGCTATCCCTCTCTGTTGTCGTCGAGTAATTCATCTGTCCTCTTCTCCTCTTTTTCCTTCTCCTTGACCGCAAACCACCATGTCTAGCAAGCACTATTTCCCCGAGACAGCAGTCAATACTCTAGTCCCCCGAGCGTTGAAAGCTCTCGTTGCAGCGAATCCCTCCCTCGCCCTCATCGAGTCTGAACGAGTCGTTTTCAATACAAATCATGATGAATCCATAGTTGCAGTGATAAGTGGCGGCGGCAGTGGCCACGAACCTAGCTGGTCCGCTTATGTTGGAGATGGACTGCTGGCCTCGGTAGCTTGTGGTGACATCTTCGCCAGCCCAAGCATGAAGCAGGTTCTCTCTGCAATTGCTAGCTCTCCGTCACGGAAAGGCACAATCTTGCTCATCACCAACTATACTGGCGATAATCTCCATTTCGGTCTCGCGGCTGAAAGGGCCTTGGCTGTTGGTCTCACTCCCAAGGTTACAGTGCTTCCAGCGACCGATGATGTCTCGATTGGTAAAAGCAAATCTGGCAAAGTTGGGCGACGAGGCCTAGCTGGAAATTCCATCACGATGAAGGCGATAGGGGCAGCGGCGGCAAGAAACTTTGGATTTGAGCAATGTGTAGAAATCGGCAAGGCCGTGAACTCGCAGCTGGCTACTATTGGATCGGCATTGGATCATTGCCATGTACCGGGACGCCAGAACCACGAGTCGATTCCTGACGACACATGTATAGCGGGAGCTGGTATACATAACGAGCCTGGAGCGCAACGATTAACACCATTTCCTTCGGTTGAAGATCTCATAGATCATCTATTGAAGCTTGTCTGTGATCCGAATGATCCTGAACGGGGATATGTCAAGTTCGGTGACAATGACGACGTAGTTCTCTTTATCAATAACTACGGTGGCATTTCCAATCTTGAACTTGGCGCCCTAACCCAGGAGATTATTGAGCAACTTGGTGAGTCCAGTGCCCGCCGCTTTAGTTTGTTCGTTCCAAAACTAATACTGTGAAAGATGCCAAATGGCATATCAAGCCGGTGAAGATCTACGCAGGCACCTTCGAAAGCTCACTCAACGGGCCGGGATTCTGTGTGACTCTATGTAACATTTCAACTGCAGCAACTGCATGCAAGTTGAGTTCATCCGAGCTGCTGGATCTGTTGAGCGATCCTACCGCAGCTCCTGCATGGCCCAATGTCCTTTCAAACACCTCGACAAAAGTCACAGGGAAAGTCATTCAACGAAATAATAATGTTTCAACACGACCTAAAATTTCATCCTCGGAAGACATTCTTGGTAGGTTTGAAAGCCGCGCACTACTTTATATCATTCTGATCAGAGGCTTTTTATCTAGTGGATCCATCATTACTCGACCGTGTCGTAAGACAGGGCTGTGTAAAGGCCATCGCTGCGGAGCTAAGCCTTACAAAATGGGATATGGTGATGGGAGATGGTGACTGTGGAGAAGCAGTGTTTGGAGTAAGCACAGGTAATACCCATTCATCTAACCCACTTCCCGATTCTCTCCCTTTTAACAACATTTCCCCTTAGATATCATCAAACTCCTCGACTCTGGCGTCGCAAAAACCGGGTCTATATTCGATGTATTATACTCCATAATTGACGCAGTTGACAACATGGGCGGCACACTCGGTGCAATATTTGGCATCTTCCTCGCTGCTCTAGCCACTTCCCTACGAACTTCCTCAACCCAATCTCTCTCTAACCCAGCGCCTCCATCCTCCCAAGGATATGCCCGGGCAATTGGCCAGGCAACGGAGAAGTTGAAGAATTATACCGGTGCTAGAGAGGGAGACCGTACAGTGATGGACGTTCTCCTCCCCTTCGCAGCAGCTTTTGAGAGCTCCGCAGACTTTGGAAAGGCTGTGGCGGTGGCCAAGGAAAAGGCAGAGGCAACGAGGTATCTGAAACCGAAGTTTGGGAGAGCTTCGTATGTTGGGAAGGGGGGAAAGGAGCAGGAATTGCCTGATCCTGGAGCGTGGGCATTGATGGAGATGTTGAGTGGGATGTTAGAAGGAATCGACTAAGCTATTTATTGGTGGAAGAAGAAAAAATAATTGCAATTAGCTTCCTAGACGTCCCCGTGACCACGGTGCGAATATAATACTTCCTGGCTAGTGGCTAGAAGGATCCCAGTGCGCAAAATTCATTTGTACGTACGTATCCTAATCACTCTGATTTCCTGTGAAAGAAAAATGTAATACTGAAACCCATCTAAGCTCCCCGCCATTTTAAAACCCGTGTTGAGCCCTCAAACTCGTCGAACCATAAGATGACGATTCCGAGAGTGACGAGAAAGATGTTATGTGGTCGAAAATTGAGCATCACCTTTTGCTGCTGCTTTCACAATACCATACTATAAGCCAAAGCGCTAACCCCAAAACAAATCTCGACCGGTCCGCCTGTAGATTGGTTAGTCAGACTTCGACTTCTTACCATTTCCCAAAACAAAGGATAGAGAGATGTTGAGCGTGGCTATAAATATAACACCAAACTAACACTTAGTGTGCGCATTACTTTCGTAGTGTTTTGCTTTTATGTAAGTCAGTAGCAAATTTGTAAAAGACGCGGGAACGCTAATACTCCATAAGAGTACGAGACAACGTGAAGAAGTACTTTCGGGGAGGAAATACCAATTTTCCCCTCAGTGGAAACATGTGAGCTAGACTGTTGTGAGATTGGTCTCAGTTTCGTCTCTTACGCAAGTGAAAAAACACACAGGGATCGAGCTTTTCTTTAACACAAATTAAGCGAACGACTAAAGAAAGAAAGGGGGTTCATATCACGTGTAACTTTCCGAGACCGAAGCCTTTCGAATGTCCACTCAAACTACCAGTTAAATTCGTGCATTCATTTCTCTCTCTCTTAAACTTTCGTCACACTACAGGCACAAATACTACTTTGCCACGCCATCCGTTATAATTGGCGCACGTGATCAGCCTTGGCGGCGCAACTATCTTTCAGCTGGTCATTTTCTGTCAAAACACTCTTCTACGCACCGCACACGACAAAACAAAAAATCTATCACGATATGAGGTGATATGGCCGAAATCTTTGGAATTGTGACAGGAGTCCTTGGGCTTTTGCCTCTCTGCCGCGGTGAGTCCATGTGTCATATGACACAGCACGTGAAAAGGTTCCTTACTGACGGAGACGAGCAGATGGCTTCGCAATGATTAAAGATATATTCGATGCTCCTGCAACTCTCGGTCTGGCAGTAGGAAGACTCGAACTCCAACTAGATGTCAGTGTCTCCTGTTTTCCAGTGGAGTCTATACTCACGTGACTTTTAGAGATTCGATGAGTGGCGAGAAATTTGGCGGAACGATGAAGGCGAGAAAGACTTGAAGTTTGAAGTATATGCTAAGAGTAATCCTGCTGCTGGAAGGAGAGTCATGCGCCAGTTGGCCTTGCTTTCGCAGGCTTTGTTTGACTCGAGAGCTTTGGAGGAGCAATACGGCATCAAGCCGGATCGGTCAAATCGTGTATGGATTTCTTAAGTATAAACCTGCAGCCAAATACTTACTAGCGTTAGGACGCGAAAGATCTCACGCAGTTTAGGCTCAAAAGCGGACAAGATCTGACAATCGAAAGCCAAAGTTCGTTCCTAGAACGATGCAGAATTAACATGTCCTTTATCAGGAAATGCAAATTCGTCTTTAGGAAAAAAGATACGGCATGGATCAATCTCATCGATCTGTTGAAAGAGTACAACGAAAACCTTGCCACTTATGGACCTAAATTCGACTTGGCGAGGATGCTTAAAGGCGAGTTTGAAGTTTTGAGGAAGCTGCACCTGGAAGATTTGAAGCGATTGGCGGAAGCGTCGGCCTACGAGGCTAAGCATTCAGCTCCTGATAATAGCAATGCATCTAGGTATCATGATCTCTCTCTCGCGGCTCAATTCAGCGCCGTTGTCAAGTACGAAAGACCGCATGCAGCATTCAAATTTTCGATGCGCGATTTCAGACTCGATCCCGCATACATTCTCTCATCCTCCGGGTCGTCATCAATGGCATTATTGTTTGATTATCCGGTGCGAAAGGAACATCGAGTTGTACTCATAGAGTGGATTGATGACCTTGATGAAGACCAGGAAAGGGACACAAGAATCAAGACACTCATGCTTGCGACCCCAAAGCCTGGAGAATTACTGCTCCCGACTTGCTACGGCATGGTCGAAGATCCCTTCACCAGGCGATTTGGCTTGGTTCTCGCACCTCCTGCACATATCCGCTCCAACTTGCCCCCGATATTACCGGCTGGAGCAATATCACAAAAGCGAATGCCGGTATCATTGAAGGAGTTGTTGGACAAGCGACATCCTTCCTCTGTGCATACATTGGAACTTGGTATTCGTTTCAAACTTGCACAGAAACTAGTGGATGCCGTGCATATGAGTAAGGATGACTTAACCCTGCCCCCTTATATTAGCAAATAACTAACTTCTCTATGATCTAGTGCATTGCGTGGGATGGGTCCATAAGTAGGTTCCACTTGAGAATCTTCAATGTCCAAGTATTGACTCGATCCAGAAACATTCGTTCCAACTCTATTCTTTTCTTCCCCGCGCCCAACAAACCTTCCAGTGGACCTCCCGGGCCTGCCTCAGGCTACCCACAACCACTTGGTTTCGACGAACCACTTTTCGTCGGCTTGGGAAGCGCTCGTGTGGACGATGAGATTCAAGATTCGGGGGATCATTATCCACCACCCGTCTCTAACTTTAGCGGTATGGTAAAGTACGATGACCGGGTAACCAGGCGGCAGAAGGACATCAATCTCGACTACTACCAACACCCAGACAAAAGATGGGATCCTTCAATACGGTACGCACGATCACACGACATATACAGTTTAGGTTGCGTGCTCTTGGAAATTGGTTTGTGGAAACCACTGGACAAATTAGTTGACATTAATGACGAGGAGTTTGAGAGAACAAAAAGAAATTTCCAAGGACTGACTATGAGGTTAGATGGGTGAGTGGCTCCACAACTTGACCACCCTTTCCGAGATGTAGACTAATGCTAAATTTAGTATGACTGGCTCAATATACGGCAATGTAGTGCGAAAGTGTTTGGCAATAAGTACTCGGGAGCGGACCGAGTCCGAATCCAGGGAGCTGTCAAATTTCTGCTCTGAAATTGCTGCTAGCCTGAACAAGTGCTATGCTTGAAAGCTGCCGTGTTTTATTCTGGGTTGTATACAGGTATAATAAGTACCTTAAAAGATCAAAGCCGAGTCAGAATGGAGATAGATGGCTGAACTGAAGAAGCAGACCGAGGAGAGCATGATGCAAATCGTAAATTTTCTGAAAGGATTGTGGGAGGTGGCAGGTGAGGCGGAAGCAGAAGCAGGATTGCTGAAATTCAGACAAAATAATGTGGAGGAGATAATAACTCTCGCTAGGGTTACAGGCCATAATCTTGAATAGTTACAATTCTCTATCCCTATTATTGATTAATAATATCAGAAAATGTCGAGATATGTAACTGATATGTACCTAGGGTTACAAAACCGTAGTGCTAATAAGTAAGCGAAGAGGGCTATCCTCTTCGCAGCGCCACCAGATCAGATCTAAAGACCTCTGCACTTAGAAATACAACTAAGAAATAATACAGATTACTAGGCTAGAAAAATGCACTATCTGATACTACTAGAATTATGACCTCATTAAAAGAATCCAAAGTGACTCCTACTTTCGGAAGGGATGAACCCCTAAATTTTAGCGAGGCGATGGTTGCCTCATATAATTAGAAAGACTTCCTGGGTCAGTAGAGGGTACAGATATTGCATCGTATAATAGATCAATTCCAATTAAATTATAGTCTTCTGAGAAGACACTATATGATCTCAATCATGTTCCAGTTCGCTCTCTCTGCTTTGTTGGTTATTTTTCTGTATTTTAAATTTTGACACGGGGAAACGGCTCCTCCCGACATAGTTGTAGGTAGGCTAAAAACTAACATTAAGCCTCGCACCATCTTCAGTCCAAATGATTATCATTCTAGTGCTATACCCTCAGATCTATTTCTTCAGTCCAGGTCGCAATTCTTCAGTGCATTCAAGTATAAGAATGCAGTCTGAACCTCTGTAGTTCTTCTACACACATATCCTTTCGACATATCACAACCACAACTACTCAATTTTGAAAACCTGAAAATACCATCCACCATGGTGTCTCCAGTCAGACACATGGAAAGACAGCTCGTTAGCTCAACTCTATTCAACATTACAAATGGTACGACCCCATTCTATTCTCTAACTCCATTTTTATATCAGCCTGTTAACTTAATATCAGTTCCTCGTCAAGATTCATCCAACCCCACCAGCTCCCTCCCAGCGGCCGTTGATTACTCAACCGCAGTTGTTCCTAAGGTGCCATCCCCACCATCCCCTCTTAGCCTGGGTGCGACGCAGGTGGCTATGGCTTTGATCGGTATTCTTATTTCGGTCCTCCTGGTGGCGTTTGTCAAGTATATTTTTAATCGCGTAAAGAATAGTCGTATCGAGAAGCGTGTGATGAGGGCAGGGGAGGCTGAGAGGCTTAAGCAGGTCGCGCAACTCAGAAATATGCTCATCTTGGAGGTCTAGATCATCACTGGAGAAATGCTGGAATAAACTGGGACTGTGAAAGAGAGACGGGGGGGATGTGGGGGTTAATTCCTGTAATTGTGAGAGTATTTCATGTGTGTCCGCCATGGCACAAGGAGCTCCGGGGCCTTTGATCTATTACTCTACTCTCTGCACGCTATTCAATCCTGACAGATATAATTAAAATCTTTGTTGAAGTCGTCAGACTTTGGGTCGCAATTGTTTCCTCGAGTGTTGCAATAATACCTCTACAATCTACACCGAATCTTACCCTCACCAAAGTCCATTTCCGTCTTTGGACCTGAGCAGCCGCTGCTCTAATCTGACCAGAGCCCTGAGCCCTGAACACGCTACTAAGTCAGCTATAAACAACAGCAGGTATTAGTTGGTTGTCATCTACCTAATATTAAATTTGCTTATCATGTATAGCAGAGCGGACAGGACGCGCAATCCTCCTCGGTCTATGGTCGTATGTGACAATAAAGAAGCTCTTCAAAACGATCATATGTAGTTTAACCATTCAGTGCGTCGCGTTTAACCGATTTCTTTCTTGGTGTAGCAGACTCGAGCCTGGGATCCGGTGTTTAGGTAATCTAATCCCGGGACAACGATTGTCGTTGACACTTTTCTAAAAGGTGTCTGAACAGGTATCACAACCACTAGGAACGCCAACTTTCTGAAAGCGTCCAGTTTAAAGGGATAATATCACATGGAAAAGGAAGGTGGCGAATCCTGGCAAGTAGAAAACCTTCATCTCGCAGGCAATGATACATCGGCTGAAACATTTATGAAACGGTGAAGTGTGAGCCTGAAAACCGTGCAGGGCTAATCACGACCTTTACAAACCCAGACAACCACTTGGAAAAAACTCAGCAGCCTAGCTTTACGCGTACCATTTCCTCAAGCTCTTTTTACAAGATACAATTGTCAAGGTAAGTGTTGGCAAATCGGGACAGAGGTCATGTGCTTGTCACATGACTAGTGTGATTACCCCCGTTCCTTCAGTGTTTCACACCAGTAAGAGATGCCGTAGGAGACTAGCCTGTGACGAGGCTTAACCTCGTCGTCGCGCTCCTTTGATCTTCGAACTAAACAACCTATTTTACAACCCATCAAGTCTATACACGTGTATACGAAGTGATACCCTGTGATACCAACAGTAAGAATTGAAGGTGTGTTTGGTGTTACGCATTACTTAAGATATTGCAAATTGACTGTTCGACTAACTGTCCGACTGACTAGTACACGATATATATTCAGAAGCGCGGCGAGTCTCGATAAGTTTTACGATAGAAGGTCACATGTGGATATTGTACCAGAACCGCCTCATCATTGGGTTCCTGCGAATTTTCTTCAGCGAAGACAAATGCTGCCAGCTCGATAAGAGTATCAATACCGAATATGCAGTATAAACATCTGGACCTAGCCTCGTACGAAATCAGAATGCTAGTCATAAATGACGCCAGAGACGATGAAACATTGCAATGCACTTTGGAATATACCTCTTTGCTTAATCCAGGGCCATATTCTGCACTGTCATATCGCTGGGGCGAGGCGACCAATACAAAGCAGATTATTTTGAATGATTCTCTTGTAGAAGTCACAGCCAATCTTGAGGCAGCCCTGAAGCAGCTTCAATCTCATGGCCATAAGAGAATATGGGCTGATGCATTATGCATCAATCAAACCGATCTGGAAGAACGGGGTCTTCAGGTTCGCAACATGCAACTAATATACTCCAAAGCCCAAACTGTCGTTGCATGGATTGGAAACGATGAGGAAAACATCGCTACGGCCGTGGCATACCTTTTGAAGACGAAAGCTTTCCAATGGCTCCCTGCTAGGAGACGCACTGCATGTTCTCTCCCTTCAAACCGCGAAATTAGACAAACGCAGCTTGTGTTTGGAGTTCATTCGTCGATTGCGGATCAATGGACCCAACAAAGATGGAGGATATTCGGCGACTTTTTCGATCTGGTCTATTGGAAAAGAGTCTGGATCATTCAAGAACTTGCCTCCAGCTCTGAGATTAAGGTGATTTTTGGGAAAACTGAAGTATCATGGAAGTCTATCCTGAGCGCTGTAACCTATCTGGGAGATCATTCGAAAGAAGTTCCTGGGAATTGTCAATCATATGAGATTGCTGCCCAGCTTCATCATTTTCGATGCATCTTCCTCTCGAATAATCAAACGCCGATAACTCTCAACGAAGCTCTTCAGTGGAGCCATTATGCACAAGCAACCGACCCTCGCGATAAGATCTATGCACTTCTGGGTTTGACCTCTGATGGCTTCAAGATTATTCCAATGCCCAATTACAAGCAACCTCTTGAACAGATCCATGAAAATATGACAAAAGCGATGTTTGTTATGGAGAGGTCTTTGGAATCCATCTGTATGAGAGGTCTCGGTTGTCATGAAGACAGCCAGCCATCTTGGGTATCCGATTGGGCTTATTTCTGGTCGAGCCCAAGAACTATTCAGGAAGAACGGATATTCAGACGTAAAATTTCATACCCTTCCATTCCGTTCTTCCAGACCATGGAATCCGGGATCCTAGAGATAGAAGGGAATAACGTGGGCGCTGTGTGTGCACTAAGCTCGTCTTTAAGCCCAATAAAAGAAGCCGGAGCACGATCTTCTCGCAGGATCGAACCTGATGAAATTGATAGACTTCTACCCACTCTTTTACAAAGTCTCCGGAACAACTATCCATCAGGAATTGTAACTGCTCTTTCGGAAACTCTATGCCTGAATCATACAGGATCAGCCGACAACGGTGGAAACGAGGGCCTCAATTTTTGCACTCCTCAAGACTGCTTTTATAACCTGTGGCACCCTGAATGCCGAAAGTCATTGCAAGGTCTCCCACTGCTTCAGTGGCTGGACGAAAATGCATCTTTGAAGATAGGATCGCTCAATCTATTAGAATGGACACAATCTCAATCCAGGACGAGCCGTCTCAAAAGGTCACTCAACGTATGGCATCCGTCGTATCACGATCTGGACCAACAAAGATACATTGCAGCGATGACTGAAGTTTTGCAAGGCTCTATGCGACTCATGGTAACTGAAACAGGCTTTCTTGGCTTAGCTCCCCTAAGAACCCAGATTGGCGACACAGTTCATTATATCAGGGGCTGCAGCGAACCCCTGGTTCTTAGAAAACGAGAAATCTCAGTTACAGAAAAGAGATCTCGGGAATACCAGGTAATAGGCGGCGCTCATGTGCAGGTTGATCATACTTTCCCTGGAGCTTCCAGGTTCGACATATGGGCTGATGACCATTTTGGCACAGGTATTCATAAGATAATTCTCACCTAAAAATGTGCTATTAGTAACGCCTGATAATGCTATCACAATTGATAATCAGAAACTGCCTAATGAGGACCTATTTTCATTTTGCGATAGAGCTAACGTGAGAAAGATAAGAGCTCGATGCTCTGTAGACACGAAGGCAGAGGTAGATGTGCATTGGGGCTCAACTTGAAATTACTCATCATATACAACCATAAAGTGCTGGTAGCCACATTCACTTTTGATAGAAAACGAGCATTTCGCATAGGGATTAAAAGGACGGACTGGGAAGCCTTTGAAGCAACACTCCAGAATTGACCATCGCATCAATAAGATATGCATGCGGGCGAGGAAGCACCGATTATCCCCTGGCTGGCATATCACAACATTAAACCCTATTACCCGGCTCGCAAGAAACTGGGGCCGCAGAGCTATATGAGCACCCGCAACTGCTATCATAGGGGTCTTTTATCCAGCCTTTTGCCTCCATTTGAGTCATTGATCTATCTATTGAACATGTTCTATTGAGCTTTGTCCCCAATCGTTGTGGGAGTGAATTACTTCGTGCACCCATAATACCCTAGTCAAACCAGTCGAAATTTCATCGATCACCAAAGACAATCTACTGACCATATGCTGCATGAATTCACGCAATCAATGCCTTGATAGCATCAAGACTCCACGATAACTTTCCAAAGGACAAACTCCTGTTAGAAAAACAAGATTGATCGAAGTTGCATAATGCAACTTGCATTATATAAATAGTCCTACTAGAATCTTTCAAAAATGGGCTATCTATGGAAACTGCTATGGCCCTATATTTGCTGTTTATAATAAACAAGTGTCTGAAACGTTAAAAATTGCCTGACTCCTTCTAAACAAATCTACAAACCTAATCTGGTTGATCGAAAGCCAGTTTACATATTTCCACTTTGTGAAAAAATCTGATCATGATCTGTTTTTACATATTTTATAACCATCTATCCCGGATTTTCAGCTGATCATGCTCTTTCTAATTCATATCCATACACGTAACCTTTCTCCATTTGAATCCTTGGGTCAGGGCCAACCATGGCATTTGGTCCCCAGACAAAGATAGCATATCCTGAAACATCTATCGAAAGTCAAAGAAACATGTTCCACCATATGTGGGATCCCAACTACTACATATACACAACTACTAGGCTTTTTAGCTACCTACTTTATTCCCCTTCACTGATCCACAATACTGACTGATTGTGCAGCGGTGAGCAGTAAAGTGAAGGGAGATGAGGGAGTTGCTGGCCTGTAGTTTGAGATTGTTCCTCTCGAGACAAGCTTGATTGACGTGAAAGTGATCACGGGAAGAGATAGCTTCTTCTATTAGCGCCATATAATACGCTACGGCCTATATGGTGGTCCGTATTGAATTCGGGATATGATCAATATATATTGTTTGATATTATTCTCTACACTGCAGGCAGCAGATGGGAAACAAACAAGTCCTAACTTCTCAACGTACACCTCATCAACAACTCCATATTTGAAGAGCTTACTAGCCTCAAGCCACCACCGAAATCCGTTTTAGCGGAGGAGTACGCCAAAGCAAAATGGCTGCTCTTGAAATCGGGCGAGAGCCCGAGGGTTGCGAAGGGAGACTTCAAAGGCATGAATAGTGTCGGCCGAGAACAATAAGACGGACTAGAGTTTCGTGTTATAACAGTTCAAACCTTCTTTCATCCTAGTTGGCGATCAGGAGACGAGAGTATTGCGATTTTCTGAATTAGTCAGAGTTCGTGAATTCTAGTCGCTGTAGCATGTTCTCGTCCTCTACGGGCTGTTGATGCTGCAGGGTTGGTGAAAGATGCCGGAGTTGGAATAAAGTCTGAAGTTTTGACTATCATAGATTCATATTCACTTATAGGGCACTTGGCGGGGATAATAGTAATAATAAGACTAATGTATTTATGATTTAATTTAAGGGAATGATAATGCGTTGCCTTTACCCCTAACTATTAATAGTATGAATAACAGAAATGATAGATGTCAGCTAATACGTAAAACCATACCTATACCCCCTTTCTATAATCACTAAACCCATCTAACATACTATCAATAAACAAATCCACTACCAAAAACAAGTTAATAAAGAATGAGGGCTTGGTGTAGTGGTAGCATGTCTGATTCCAGCTCATAGCATACATGGAACTTCCAGATGGTCATCGGTTCAAATCCGATAGTCCTCATCACTTATTGGTTTGCTACTTTTGTTTTAGATTTATGGATGAATGGAAGGCATAATGGGAGGGAGCGAGTAACATTCGGGGTTGGATTTTATTTTTATTTTTGGAAACGGAAAGGAGAGGGGAGGGGATGTAAGCGAGAGACAAATAGGTGCGAGGGATGATTCACTTGGTTTGGGTTGGAAGTGCAACTATGCGAAAGTAGGAAGCGTAGAATCAAGTAGATATTATTTGTGGGGTAAGACACAAAAGCGCAATATTTCGGGGATGAACAGATTCGTTATTCCAGTGTGGGTATTTTTCTAGAGAAATTACAAGCATGCCTGGGAAGCATGCCTGTCGTAAAATGCATTGATATGCCAAGAACTCGAAGCCCGAAGATGTCCACGCAGAATGCCTATAACAAACAAGGTATTCAGCAAAAGAAGCCTCACTTCTTAGCTTTACCCTTGCCCTTTGACGGCCCCATAGCAGCTTCTCTTCTCTTCGCCTCCCGTGCATCAATCTCAGCCTTCTTCCCCTGCTCAGCTTGCTCACGCTCCTCTTTCTCCGCCTGCTTCCTAGCTGCCTCAGCCTCCCTCTTCTCCCGAATCAGCTTCAGCCTTGCAAGATCAGCCTTGGCCTCGTCCGTCTTGCCAGCCTCGTGGAGCTTTTGGTATCGCTCCTTGGCCTGCTGAGCCTGTAATGCCTCGCGTTCTCTACGGCTCAACTCCGCGACTGGCTTCTTGCCCTTTCCGCTGACATTCATATCCTTGACTGCCTCGGTGGCTTCGTCTACGGTGACGGGAGCGGCTTTGGCTTGGTTTCGCGACGCTTTGGAGTGGTTGGGGTTGGCGGGCATGTCGTCGTCTTCCTCGCTCTCTTCCTCGGAGCTGGATGGCATGTCACCTGGCTGGGGCACACCCTTCTTCTTCTTTATGGCGGCCTCCTTCTTAGCCTTTGCGGCAGCGCGACGCTCTTCGCGAGTCATGGCGGGCTTGTCATTTTCTTCTTCAGAGGAGGACTCTTCCTCAGAGCTGTCCTCTTCGGAGGAGGAAGAGGCATTGGGGTCCTTCTCGGCGATTTCGTTTCCGTCGGAGTCGAGGGGTCGGAGATTCTTGGAGAAGTGCTTGCCGCCTGTAAAAAACGCACTGTCAGATGTTGAACCAAAGGTCTCTATGAGACTTGATGAGCCGCGCTTACCTCCACGAGTGAACTTCTTGAATTTGCCGCCTCGGCCACGTCCTGCACCTGGGGGTCCACCTGGCGCCATAATTGAGGGGATGTTGTTGTCTGTGCGGGTGGAAAGTTGTGTGTTGTGAAGATGATGCTGCGTAAGCAGTCGTGATGTTATGGGTGTGTGGTTGGGTAGCAACGAAAAGTGGAAGGGTGCAAACAAGAAAGTTGGAGGACGATGGCGATTCTCAGTCCACTCAGAAGAGTCGTATTTAACATGGAAGGAGGGGCACTGTTTTAACGAGGGGCATTATTTTATTAACCCCACCCCACTGAACAACACAACTAACTGATCTGAGTCAAAATAAATCCCATCCCTCGCGTCTAACCTGTTAGTCTCTAGCGTACTATCACATGACTTTCTTAGCTTAGCCGCGAATTTTTTCTTTATCAATCTCGCGAACCTCGAACTCCTCTTCCCTCCTTACATAAAACAACATCCTTCATATTCACTCTGGCTTACGTCTACTCAATGACAGGTCTTGGAGGGGAAAATGGGGGAAAGAGGAGAATTATAATCGTTGACTTACCCTGCGGCCTGTGGCATGAGAATGCGTTGGGATCTGCAGAAAAATTAAACAACGGGACATCTACGAACTTTTGCTATTCAATATGCGCTGTCTGGAGCCCCCCTACAGGCTTAACAAGCTCTTCATTTGCCCTGTTCCTTGGCCCCAGTAAGCTTCTGGTACGTGTTGTCATAATACTCTTGTCGTCGTAGCGCCGCATTTGGCCTGGAGACAAAGAGTACTGTCAAAGAGCTCACGGTAAGAAAAAACAGCCTGGTTGCTTTCACAATCACACTTCTTTATTCGATCCAAGAACCTGTATTCATGACTTCGAATCCAAATTCCCATTATGTTCCCCCAACTCTCCTTTGTGAATCAGACTCGTTTGCTCAGAACAGTTGTTCTTCGTCACATATTTTACTTTCACCAACTCCACTGAAATGCCATCTTGATCTACCAACATTACGAATATCTCTGAACATACTTACCAACAAATGGCAACATCATCATCATCATCATCATCTTGCATACACTGCAAAGGCGGAGTATCCACGAAGCGCTGCCAGATATCTTCCTGCGGCCATTGCACCGAATCACTCGCCTGTCCTCCACCCGTCAAGTTTCTCTTAGCAAACTTCCCCGACCTAAAGCCCGACTATGGCCTGGACCGTAACCAGCGACGCTGTCAACACTGCGACCTGATCAACACGCACAAGAAAGTCATCGATGCTGAGAACCCTCCCCCCCATTACGTGAACAGTGTCAAGATCATCCGCAGCCATGTGAAGACGGCAAGCCGCACGTTCGACAATGCTCTGGACCGGAAGAGTGATCTGGCTGGGTCGTTGCCGGGCCTGCAAGAGGCGTTGACTACCGCGGTTCGGCTGAGGGACCAGAAAGCCGAGAAGGCGTGGATGGAGTATTGGGGTGTTTGGGGCAGGGGTAAGGTTGAGGAGGAGAGTAGAGAGGCGAGTATGGGAGTGAAGACGTATTATCCTAGGTTTGTGCATTTTTATCCTGATCAGATCCCACCGCCCTAAGTTTCGACATCTTGAGTCCAAGCCTGTTCTGATTTCTGACAACTCATTCACGCAGCGATAAATATCGCTAACCCTTCACGAAACAGTTGATTGAATACTTACTGCTTTTGAGTCTTGCTTGGGGGCGCTTTGGATCTAGGTTATTTGATAATATTATCGGTTTATCGTTCATCTTTCCCTGCGATCTTTGGTGCTGTGAATGTGTAATGGATATATGTATTATCCAAATTGTTGAAGCTAGCGATATATTGGTGACTGTTCTCAGACATTTTTTGAGCCCTGGGGCTGGCCTTGCCTAGGAATTCTTTGTCTTTAAGCTCAACTCCAGCGAACTCCTGTCCACCATACCCCAGCCTCTTCTTACCCTCAGGACCAACAAACATATAGCATACTCCATCCACTTAGCTGCGCTTCTCAAGATAGCTTCAGTCTGGCGGCCAACCTCATCTTCTTCGACTGATGTGCAGCATAGTAAAATAGTACCCCATAGGTGTGAGGAAGCCAATCTAATTACTATGACCGTGAAGGTGGCGAGAATAATATCTGTTGAGTTTGGTAAATAGGCGTTCCTTGATGTACAAGATTTCGGGCCTTTAAATTCTTCATATATGAAGATATGAAGGATTTCACTCTCACCTTGCTAAATCCGGAATGGACGTCTTGAAAAGGCATGGTGATTTGATAATGAGGATTAAAACACGAAAACGAGAACCAAATCAGGGACTAGTGGGGAGGTAAATTAGAATAACGTAACCGTATTGAAGGATACTCAAACACCAGATGAATTTTCATGACCCCAACTGTGAACGATGAGGGGTGTAAGAGTAAGTATCTTGACTTGGAATATTTATAGCTACAGGAATGTGGGGCTGGCGAATGTGGACATGGACATGGACTCCATTCGTTGCTGCCTGAGGCTCGTATGACGGAGGATTCGGCATTTGGTGGTTGTGTTTGTTGTCTTTGTGAGCTCCGCAAGAACTCCAAGACAATCAACTCCTACAATCCACTATACTATGGCTGCTTTTTTGCGAGGCAAGCAAGCTGGAATTCAGAATGACCTGTCTGCTGGCATTCTTCCCGACGCTTTCGCACCAGACGACCAAGCTCGGTTTGGTATTAACTCGCAGATTGGGTAAGTTATAAGCTCTACCTAGGTTGTACCCAGGAACCGTAGGAACTCTCTGCTAACTGCTCTTTCACTTCCAGATCCTTAGCATACGATCCCGTACAATCCCTCCTGGCAATAGGAACAAACGAAACAACCTTTGGCAGCGGTCAGATTTATGTCTTTGGGCAACAGCGCGTCCAAGCCACATTTACCCTACCCCGCCGAGCTTCTGTGAGAACCCTCCAGTTTGTCGCCGACCGCCTTGTTAGTCTGGACACAAAGAATGAGGTTGTTATATGGGATCTTTTGACCCAGAAGAAGATAGCCAGCTATGCTCCACCAGGAGTTGTGGCCGTGTTGGTAACGGATCCTATGCTCGACTGGGCCTTGATCGGATTACAAAGTGGGGATATCATTGCTTATGACCTTGAAGGGGAGAAGTTAGCTCCTTTACGACTACCCAACTTCTGGCGAGAGCGAAATCCTAGATCGCGGCTGCTACCCATAGTATCCATGCAGCTGCATCCGCGCGACATTGGCCAGCTGCTCATTGGATATACCGAGGGAGCCGTCATCTATTCCTTCAAGCTGAATAAGCCGACCAAATACTTCGAATACGAGGTTCCCGTTGGAGCCCCGGGTGGAACCGCAGACCCGACGGCAGTAAATACTGCACGGAAGCCACACCTGACGCAAGTCTTCTGGCACCCAACCGGGACTTTTGTAGGTATAGCTTATGATGATGAGAGTATGGTATTCTGGGATCCTAAGGATGGCCGTATTGTGATGTCAAGGACCTTGACAGATACTCACGTTAATGAGCCTGGAAAGCAGTTAAGTGGTTTTGGCAACACCCCTGGCACTCTTTCCGTGAAGGAGCCATTTACCCGTATTGCTTGGTGTGCAAAAGGAAATCCAGATGATACTGGAATCCTCATTGCAGGTGGTTTTCCAACCACTTTGCCACAGAGAGGCCTAACATTCCTCGAGCTAGGTGCAACTCCCGTTTATGCAACCTCATCATGGCAGGTCCTAAGCGATCATTTCAATGCTAAACGCCAGCATTTACTTCCAACCCCTCCCGGTGCAGAAATCGTTGATTTCTGTCTTATTCCTAGAAGCTCGCCGCATTTCGCTGGAGCACAAGATCCAATTGCTGTTATCGCTCTGCTTACTTCCGGGGAGCTCATTACATTAAGCTTTCCCAGTGGACACCCTATCTCCCCAACAAACCAATTGCATCCTTCTATCTCGTTCCTTCATCCTTTCGTAACATCACTTTCTGTCGCAAATGTTGACCGAACTCGGTGGCTTGGTATGGTAGAAAATAGGCAACAAGGGCCACAACTTCTGAAAGGTGGAGCAGAAGGCATCAGGCCCATGAGAAGACACGAGGCTCGAAATATTGTGCAGATGGCGCATGGAGATGGGACAGTCAGAATTTGGGACGCCGGCCACGGCGATGAAATTGAGAATACCAGGATGCTACAGGTTGACATCGCGAGAGCTTTGGATAGATTTGAAGAGATCTTCATTACGCGCGTGACTATGGCTGGTACTACTGGGGAACTGGGAGTTGGGACAGCAACTGGTGAGGTTGTTATTTATCGGTGGGGTGGAAACAAGCTGTATGGTCGAGAATCACCACAGTCAGTTCAAACCGTGGCTGGTGGTCTCACGGACATCTCCTCCCGAGCAGAACCTACGTTGAAAGAAGGTCTACAGCCATTTGTGCTCTATGACATGGCACGGGGACCTATTAGCACTGTCAAAATGTCAGACGTTGGCTTTGTTGGAATCGGTTCCGAAAATGGAGTCTTTTCCATCATCGATCTCCGAGGGCCAGCAGTCATATTCACCGCCTCTATGAGCGATTTCATCAAACCTGATAAGCGTGCCAGTTTCCTTAAGAAAGGCAGTAATCAAGCTTCCGGAAAGCCAGACTGGCCGGTTGTCATCGAATTTGGTGTCATGACACTCGAAGGAGATAATTACTCGAGTATTGCTTGCTTTGTTGGCACAAACATGGGCAAAGTTGCCACTTTCAAAATCTTGCCACAAGCAGATGGTCGTTACACAGCTCAATATGCCGGTGTGTCGGCCCTTAGTGATACTATTGTATCAATCACACCCATAGTTGCAAACACTGGAAAGTTAGCACCAGCCACGGGAGAAAGTGTTGCCGCCCTTCGCACGGGTGTTCAGACTCATGGTACACTCGTAGTTGGTAAGTGGAAAATTCCTGAACCATGACGACAACTAACGTGAAGCCAGTCTCTCAATCGGAAGCTCGAATTTTCAAGCCAGCTACAGCAAAGGGTGCTCACAAGTCTTTCGACGACTTCTTCTGTGAATCAGCTTCCGTTGCTGAAACAATCGATCGTGGTTGTGCTCTTGTGGGTGTATTTGGCGACGGTACAACGCGTGCCTACTCGATCCCCGCGCTGAAAGAGATCGGTGTGTCCAGACCAGGCATGCTTGATAAGACTAGATTATCAAGTTCACTCGTTACATCTGCAGGCGATATCTTTGGATGGACCGGTCCTTCAGAAGTCGCCATGCTTAGTGTGTGGGGTACAGGTCAACCTTTGGCTCGCTCGCCAAACAAGTTATTTAACCCGGAAGCTGTGATCCCCTCTCGACCTACAATCTCAAACTTGCAGTGGATTTCAGGAACCCAGTATATCAGCCCGACCGACCTCGACTTGCTCATCGGAGGCCCTGACAGACCACCTAGCAAACGTATGCTGGCTGCTGCTGAAGAAGAAGATCGCTTACGACGCTCTGGTGCTCTTTCGCCGACTCACGCTCCTGGCACGCAGTCAAGTGAGGGCTGGGGTGATTATATGACTAGACAGCTAAATGAGAGGACGGAGAAGTTGAACATCATGGGCGATGGTATGGACAGGATGCAAGAAAACAGCTCTGGATGGGCTGAGGATGTAAGTAAATATGTTTCGAAGCAAAAGCGGAATATGGTCTTGGGAGCCATTACTGGTAAATATCTTTAGATGGCTGTTGCAGGCGTTGATCTGGGCTAGGATTGGCGTTGGAGTATAGGGCTTGTGGTGATACTAAAGTTATCATTTGGCTTTAGTTATTGTAAGGCAAAACAAAATTACTTTCACTTCACTTCTTATATGCATGTTCCTCGAACTAATACATCAGCGAATTCCTGCTAAATACGGATTAACCCCACTCTTTCCCCCTGTAACTTGGAGGTTAGCGCCCTTTGCTGAACCCCTTTTGAGAATAGATCACGTGTAACGCTTACAGAAGGCAGTGCACGTGCCTTTACGGTAAGCTGTTCGAACATTATAGCAGTTCGCGAAATCTTTCTCGCGTCAAAATATATCTACGCCTGAAGCAGGAACTCGACAAGCTCTTTATAATTTTCTACACTCGACCTACATAGCAGATCCGAAATCTACGGCTTGAGTCTTCCTGTACAATAGCTTTGGAAGATCCGCAGATATGTCTTTCGGTGGCCAAACACCCACTATCATTGTGCTGAAAGAGGGTCAGTCAATACCCAGCAAGGCTCCCACCTTACAAAGCTAAATTAACATTCATGATACAGGCACGGATTCGTCCCAAGGAAAAGGTCAAATCGTTTCGAATATCAATGCTTGTCTAGCTGTTCAGGCCACGATACGGAGTACGTTGGGTCCATATGGAGGGGATTTGTTGCTGGTAGATGAGAATGGCAGACAAACAATTACAAATGATGGCGCAACTGTTATGAAGGCAAGCAAACAAGACCGCACGCCTCGGAGCTTGATACTAATAGACTGCAGCTTCTCGATATCGTACACCCCGCTGCGCGAATCCTTACAGATATTGCAAGATCACAAGATGCTGAGGTCGGAGATGGAACTACATCCGTTGTTGTGCTAGCCGGTGAGATTTTGAAGGAAATCAAAGAACATGTTGAGCAAGGAGTCAGCTCGCAAACTATTATCAAGGGCCTACGGAGAGCTTCTGGCATGGCTGTGAACAAGGTCAAAGAGATTGCGGTCAATACCAGTGAAGGCAACAAGAGAGAGACCCTGAGCAAATTAGCTGGTACAGCGATGAGCAGCAAGTTGATCAAGAGAAATACTGGCTTTTTCACAAAGAGTGGGTTCCCTACTGTCGAAGAATTTGGATGGCTGCTAATAGTTCACAGTGGTTGTTGACGCAGTTCTCTCACTCGACCAAGAAGACCTCAACGAAAAGCTCATCGGTGTCAAGAAAATCCCCGGTGGCTCCCTCACAGATTCCCTCTTCGTTAACGGGGTAGCATTCAAGAAGACGTTCTCCTACGCCGGATTTGAGCAACAACCCAAGCACTTCACGAACCCCAAGATCGTCTGCTTAAACGTCGAACTCGAGCTCAAGTCTGAGAAAGACAACGCCGAAGTGCGAGTCGAGCAAGTCTCCGAATACCAAGCCATTGTCGATGCAGAATGGCAAATCATTTACAACAAGATGGAAGCCCTCTACAAAACCGGCGCCAAGGTCGTCCTCTCGAAACTCCCCATCGGAGATCTCGCAACCCAATACTTTGCAGACCGCGACATCTTCTGCGCCGGCCGTGTCGCTACAGATGATCTCGAGCGTGTCATCCAAGCAACTGGTGGCTCCATCCAATCTACCTGCTCTGACATCCACCCCGAGCACCTCGGTACATGCGGCTCCTTCGACGAGCGCCAAATCGGCGGAGAGCGCTTCAACTTCTTCGAGGACTGCCCCGCAGCCAAAACCTGCACTCTAATGCTACGTGGAGGAGCAGAGCAATTCATCGCGGAAGTGGAACGCTCTCTTCACGACGCTATCATGATTGTAAAGCGCGCCATCAAGAACAATACCATTGTCGCCGGAGGTGGGGCTTGTGAGATGGAAGTCTCAGCCTACCTACACCGGTACGCCGACAAGAATGTCCCACACAAGCAGCAAGCGATCATCAAGTCGTTCGCCAAAGCGCTCGAAGTCATTCCGCGCCAGCTGTGCGACAACGCCGGGTTTGACGCTACGGACATCCTGAACAAGCTGCGTGTGGAGCATAGAAAGGGAAATGTCTGGGCTGGTGTTGATTTCGATAACGAGGGTGTCAGGGATAACCTTGAGGCGTTTGTGTGGGAGCCGGCGTTGGTGAAGATTAATGCTATCCAGGCGGCGACGGAGGCTAGTTGTTTGATTTTGAGTGTTGATGAGACGATTAAGAATGAGGAGAGTGCGGCGCCACAAGCTCCTCAACGTGGATTACCGCCTGGAGCTGCCCAACGGGCGATTAGGGGTAGAGGAAGAGGTATGCCGAGAAGATAAGAAGGCGTTTTCGTGGGAAAAGAAAAGTTTGGGGGATGGATGGATGTATTGAAGGCATGATGGCATGTATGATATTATACATTGAGATAAGACTAGAGTGCTTGTGATAGACTGCTAGTTGCCCAAGCATAATTCTACTAGGTTCTGTCCGTCCTACATTACTTTGCTATCGAATGATTCCCACCTGTATCGTTTTTGGTTGTACCTAATGAACGCCTTCCAGTACTCGACCCTCGAACCAACAAAATCACCCATCAAGCGGTTCCCACACTCAATCCAACTACCCAGACTCCCCCCCATCACCACCAAGCCTCGCAATACTAGAACCACGTCCATACTCCCTCCCCACCGTCCTCAACGCCTCTTCCGCCTCAGCCTGCAACTGCCCCACAGCCTCCTGCGCCTCGTCATCGCTCTCATCCTCACCCTCCCCATCCACCTCCTGATCAATCAGCATATCCAGATCCCCATCCCCTCGATTCCCCACCCCGCCCCGGCCCAGCATCGCCTGGAAGGAATCCTGATCCTGCCCGTGGAACTCAGGTCCAGCTTGTTCGTACGAGCCCAGGCCGTGCCGTACGTCTTCCATGATCTGCGGGTCCAGGGGCATGTAATCGTTCTCATTGTCGGTTTGCATGCGCGCTATGGGTGCGGATGTGTGTTGGTGCTGGTGCTGGAGCTGGAGGTGTGATTGTAGGTGCGAGTGTGAATGTGATGCAGTTTGGCTTTGTGGACTTTGGTTTTGCGGCAGTGTGCGGTTCAGGACTTGCGGAGAGACGGAGCCCTGCCCGGCTTGTGCGGGGAAGCCTTCTTCGTTCGTAGCTTGCTGGCCATGGTGCGAGAGACTGAGAGCTCGGCCCGCGGCGCTGACGCCGCCTTGGCCGCCGGAAGAGGGGGGGTTGATGCGCGTGATGGTGGTAGGGGGACGGATGACACCGTCTGCGCGGACGATAGGGGATTTGCCGAGTTCTTTGCACTGCGTGCAGTTTCTGATGACGAGGCTTACGGTTTCTTTAATGCGCACCCAGTGGTATTTCTCGGCGATGATGGCTGTCGTTTTGTTGATGCCGCCGTGTTGCTGCACGTGGACGTTGCGGGCGATCTCGTACTGGCGTTGGGGATCTGAGATGACTTCTTTATCCTTTAGCATTAGCTTGTCGGACTCGGCGATGAGCTTGTAGTGTGTTGCTGCACTGCGGAGTCGGCTCTTCTCTGCACGGTCGGCTCCGGCTGGGTATTTGCCCCATTTGAGGTAGAACTTGATCTTGTCGAAACGCTCTTCGTTCACGAAATCTTCGCCCTCCGGTCCGAGATCCCGTCCGTAGATAATAGCGTCTATCAACTGGCCTGGGTAACTCTTCAAGTTTCCAGCTCCCTTGACACGACCGATTCGCTTGAATCCTAGAGCATCCCAGATGCGACAGGATGCTACGTTGGTTTCGTAGACGAGGTTGAAAACACTGTAGTTGTAGCCAAGCCGGGGCGCCCATTCCAGATAGCTTTCGCCCATAAGTCGTCCAACACCCTTGTTTCGCGCAGCATCTGTCACGAGGAAACCGGCATTGCAGACATGGCTACTGCGGCCCGGATAATTGGGCTTGATATAGAAGCTTCCCAAGCACTCTCTGGCCCAGTCTTTGCCCTCAACCACCTCATCCGCACTCTCGATATTTCCCAGCAGCATAATAGCACCGAAGTTCTGGAACCAGTACTTGGAGAACTGCTCGGCCGGCATGTTGTCTACCATGGGGTATGTATCTCCGCCCTCGATTTCCTTGTTCAGTTGGTCGCTCAGATATTCGAGGAGGGTTGCGGGGACTTGATGGCGAGAAGAGAACGGGATTATAGTAGCCACGGTGACTCGGTCACGTAATGTAACTTGTCGAGGGTCCCCAACTGAGAGAGCGGACTGCAAATCGTGAGGATCTGGGAAGGGTGATGGGCCAGAGTTGCGGTAGATGGTGGGAGCCGTGGGATCATCGAGCATTGCCGGCATCTTCACAGCTTCTTTGACTCTTTCGGGGCTAAATTGAGGTAATCAATGCTCTGGTATATCTATGAAAATTAATTCAGTACTGTCTACAACCTAGGTGATGGTAGATCTGTGGTTACCCCGCACAGAGTGAGCTCCCGTTCCCACAGAGGCAAAATCCTCGCAAGGTGTTCTCAACAGCAGTCCCGCAGGTTGACTAGTCCACATATAAATCGTCCTAGACGTTGAGAATTTCCTATTCGAGGATGGGCAAAAGGGGTAGCACGTAGAGATGAGTTGTTCGACTGTTGTTCTGAGAAATACTTTGAATATTCCGGCATCGTCGATCTTTTAAGCGAGAGGCTAGCGTTTTCTTGTGCTCGTGCCGTGCCGTGCTCGTGACTCTCATCAGCTGATCGTCCCCCCTTTCTGATCTCGGAGATAAACCACAACGCTGGAATGTAATTAACTAGGCAGGCACCTCTGACCAACTTAGCACCTAGTGTGAATCCATCCTTCCATGCAGCAGCAAGATGGAGGGATAGGATCGAGGGAGTAGCTTTCAAGTGTGCTTGTTGGGTGCTATTCACAACTGCCTTATCAGGTATCTTTCCATTATATTCCCGCATATCTATACTTTACAGTCCAAGTATTGATACCAGCCTGCATAACTTATTACCTACCTAGGTACCTATAGAGCATTGAAAAGGAGTCTAACATCTCAGGTAGGAGCAAGGTCGCAGATAGAGTGATAGCTTCCTTCAAGTGCGGCCGGGACTGGGAAGTCTTCCAACTCCGATTGAAAAGCGGTTGGATAGCGGTATCTGTGAATTTGAGAGCAATAAAGCTACATGGAGTTGCTATTCAATGTCACCAGCGCACCCAGTGTTGTTTGATTGGCTCAAGGTACAACTCTTCTAGATTTCATGTCCAGTTCACTTCACTCTTACTATTCAATCCTTCCGTATCTTTCTCCTTGGTACTTCGCACTTGGAGGAGCTCTCCTTTAAATATTGCTCTTATCTCCTGCTCTTCTTTATATCTTGCTCTTCTTATCCTCTTGCTCTTCTTGACATCTCGCTCTCCTTCTCATCACACACTCGCCTTTGAAATCTTTAGCATACATACACTTCTCTCGTCTTCCACATCACATCCTGTACAAGAGTTCACATGCACTATCTTGCCGCCATGTCGACACTCAAGCTATCGGTATTTCAAACAGTACTTCTGCTTCTCAGCTTTATCACCCGTGTGCTTTCAGGTTCGCGTGCCACGGCTCCGTATGAGGTCAACGGCCGGGTGTATCAATGTGACAGGGTCATCTCTCAAGATATCAGCATAGTGGGGGGTGGTTCAGCTGGAACATATGCGGCTGTCAGACTGCAAGCTGTGGGGAAGACTGTGACCCTTATTGAGAAAACAGAGCGACTTGGTGGCAATACGCAGACATATGTAAGTTAATCATTCATTTCAGCCGTTGCTTCCCTCTTTCACATAGAACCTCCGGCCTCATCTCCCAACCACTTCAGCAGCCTATCTGAAGACTCAATTTCACCCCCAACGAGTTTTCATCGAGCGATCCTGACCACAAAATCGTAATTTTTAGTATGACCTTGAATCCAAAAAGTATGTCGATTATGGCGTGCGTGTCTGGCATGACATTCCCGAGGTTCGCAACTATGCTGCTCATCTGAACGTTTCACTTGTCCGTACGGACTTTACCGTTCCAGGAGTCTCAACCAGGTAACATTTCCATAAAACCACCCACTGTATATACATTTCTTAATAAAGATTCTTAGCTATTTCCAATTCAACACCGGGGAGCTAAATCGCACCTATGCAACTGCCGACAGAAGGGCTGCCTTCGGAGAATACATTGCCCAGGCGTCTAAGTACCCCTTCTTGGACTATGGCTTTGACCTTCCCTCTCCCATACCCGGTGATTTGCTACTACTCTTTGGTGAATTCGTCAAGAAATGGTCCCTGGAGCTCCTGGTACCCACATTATGGCTCAACACTCAAGGCATCGGCAATTTGCTTCAAACCCCTACAATCTACGTCCTCAAGTATTTCGGCATCTCGGTCATTCAAGGATTTCAGACTGGCTTCTTGGGCACCCCTGATGGCGACAACAGCGCTCTTTATGAATCAGCCACTTCCGTCCTGTACCCCAACGTCCTTTTCGAGAGTACCATACTAGATATGAAGCGCGATTCCGAAGCCGGAGTCCAAATCATTGTCCAAACCCCGAGCGAGACGGTCCTAGTCAAATCCAAGAAGCTCGTCATTGCTGTCCAACCGTTGTTGGCAGACATGGGACCTTTTGATTTAAGTGTTGGCGAGAAGGAACTCTTTGGCGAGTTCAAGGGCAACGAGTACTTTGCTGGTGTCTTGAAGAACTCGGGCATTCCGGACAATACCACACTCATGAACATGGATCCCAGAGACCCCTATGGCATACCACAATCCTCAGCCCTCTATTCGATTGCGCAAACCGGCTTTCCGGGCCTACAGACCGTCACATATCAGGGGGCTACCAACACGGCATTATCGAGCAAACAATCAAGCGACGGCGAGATCCAGCAGCATATTATCGATGGGTTGATGAAATTGGATATTCGGGACAAGAGCTTTACTAAGCCGGAGTTTGTGGCTTCTTCTGTTCATGCACCGTTTGAGTTGGCGGTTTCTGCGCGGGCGATTGAGAATGGGTTCTATGGACAGTTGTATGGGCTTCAGGGGCAGAGGAACACGTGGTATACGAGTGCTACTTTCCATACGCATGATTCGTCGTTGATCTGGCGTTTCACGGAGGGTTTGTTGGCCAATATTACGGCGGGGATATGATGAGATAGAATGAAGAGCCGGGCACTTCAGTCTCAACTGCATAGCGTCCCGGGAGATGGTTCCTTGCGTGATCGATGCGTAGAATGCATACTTTAACCCTAGACATTAAATAAAACATGATCTTCGAGATTCTTCGTTATCTACCGTGAAATTTGAACTTGTGTTTTGTGCAGAGGTGCTGCCATTCTTTTACTATAGTAATGGGGCAATATATCCTGATGTCTGTAAACTTTACGCAACTAACATCTTGTCACTTGTCCTCTTCATTCAATTTCCTTCCGGTCTGTAAATTTCCCCCAGTCTTTCATATTCTCTTTCTATAAGTCCAACGACTGTAGCGTATTCTATGTGGATCACTCAGTAAATAGATTTGTCAAGTTTCATACTAATAATTCACAGCCATGCAGAAACATCGTGGTATTCACATAGTCAAAGTTTTCCCGCACAGTACTCGTACAGGGTTTCAGAAAAGAGCCGCAAGCTTTTAGCGAGGAAATATAGTGGAAACCGACCAGGCTGTCTAAGTAGGAGATGTCACTTGCTCGAGTGGAACCATACACCAGGGAATTGTCCCAGCTATACCTTTACTGGAAGTATGGGTCAAAGCGCTTTAATCGGACATGGCAATATTCAACGTCCAGCTTATGATCGTCACGTCCTGTGTCGCACTTGGCATACCAGTCCCCTCCAACCCCATCACGGACTAAACCTACGCGGACGGTGGAAATTTTTCTTCCAGGTGTACTGAGTACGAAGACCCAAGTAATATTTTCAGTGGTGTTCCGATTTAGACAATCGGGATTACAAGCTGACAATGAATGCTGCGGGAACCAATGCCGTAGTGCGAGGCGGCGAAATATCTTAAGTTCCAAACATGCGTAATCCTCAGCATGATTTGTCTCGCGAGCCCTTCCCTCTGGGGATGCTGGATCGCAGATGAAGGGGAGGAAAAAGCTTGAAGGGGAGTCGAAGGCGTTTAACACAAACAGTAAAGGTTTCCCTAGGAGCCTGCATCGCTGTTCAATACAATATTTCCCTCTTAATTGCACTAGGATAGATTCTGTCTTTTTATATTGGGATTACGGGAGCTGTTCATTCGTTTACGCAGAATATATTAATTGAATCCTTGATACCTCAAAATGGATGACAGTCTTGGGCATAAAAAAGAGTGTTACGCAGACGAGACATTCGGGAAAGTTTTATGCTGAATAAATCCATTAAGTCTAAATAATGCGACCGTCAGACATCGAATGTAATTAAATGCATAAGGTAAAGCAGCTAGATATGGAAGTCTACTTATCCTTCATCCACACATCTACTTACAAGTCCACTCTTTCGCCATATCAGTGTTCTATATATCCTTTCTAATAAAAATGTTCAATGCTCCCCGCGGATGAATAACACCCTCGCTAAACTCCTCATCGACATTGTACTCCGCAAACATCTTGCCTAGAGCCGGGGCGACATACGCCGGTGAGCGTTCGTGCAGCATTTGATGGATATGCTCCCAATCGTATTTCTCAGTGATCATAGCTGCAGGCCAAACACCCTGACTAGCCCACCAATGCCCCATAGTAAAGAGCCGGATATGGAAAACAAGACTGTTGGCATTGATGAGAGAGAATGCGTCGGGGTCATCAACGACTGTGAAATTGAGAGACCGCATGAATTCCTTGTCGAGGGCCGAGTAGTTGGGGTCTTGGATGATGCCGGGAAGGAGGTTGCCGTTTTCTACGGAGAGTGGTTAGCTTTCCGTTGGGGGACAATGGCTTGGATATGGTTCGTTACCTCCAAACACCTCTCTGATCTTCATCACTATCGCAAGTTGGCCGACGGTACTACCTGCCCTCCAGGTAGGAGTTGTGCTCATATGAGCTGGGTGGTGAGCATGAAAGCTACCCAAGCCAAGAACGACAATATTTGTAATGGGGACTTTGGAGTCTTTTAAAGCTTGTATCCGAGAAAGCCACATGTCGTAGTTGCCACTATTGATGTCGCCAAGCTGCCAATCCCTACTGAATAACTGATATTTGTGGCCAAGATTCTCCACGGTATCGTTGTGATATGTCATCCAACGGGAACTCACCATTGTATCTTGGAGTGGACCATGGCTTGGCCTGACATGAAAAATTGTTGTTTCGTCTATAGATGGGCAGACGTTTTCTTCTTCACCATTAGTTGCAGGCTGAATTTCGTTATGTGTTGACGACATCATCAGGCTATCGGGCTGATGGGAGTCATCAGTGTCTTCTTGAAGTGGAGGGTCAACTGTTGACCACCCAGCTAGCCAGCCCGGGGCCATCAACGATCTGCCAACTATAAGCCTTGGGTTTCTGTTAGCTGGCATGTATTGCGATGCGGCAATAGTTTACTTACTCCAGATAATCACCACCACTCCACTTAAGCAGTCTTTGCGAATATTCCTTCGGATTCTTTATCAAGGTGATTGATAAAATTTGGTCATCAAGCATGACGGTGGACCTCTCAATCTTTTCACTCTTTTCGTTGAGGGTTACTGCGAAACCCATCTTTACGGACCTTGAAAGGTTTGTACTTTACTAGCAAAGACGACTGTAATGGTTCAAATAGTTGCTGAATAGGAGTGAATATGGTCCTTGTGATGGGCTTGCTTATTTCAAGGATTCTGACGGCTGTAAGAGAGCACTACGGATACTTTGACCTTGGGCAAAGGTATGAGGATTTGCGATGTTGATGACAAGATACTAGTTTACTTGTTGATATAAGCGTTGTGGCATGTGAATATGAATTCTAAGCTTGACATTCATAAGCTAACGTGTAAACATTCGCTTAAAAGTGGCCATAGCATATAGTATGTCACAAACCTGTCCACATAGGTATAAGTTAAGCTAAAGGATTAGTTAATATAGTTATATGGTTTGGTTACCTGACATGACCCCGCAACCATTTCCTAACCTAGAAATGTATATTTATAACTACTTTGAAAGTAACCATGGATATGATTGGCCGCCCAAGCGACAGACAAGTCTCCTACGTAGGTAGTATCTTTGGCTCTAGCTTAGGCACTATATCTACCTTCGATATAAATGTACACGACCTCCCGCTCTGAACTACCGCACCATTCACATCACTTGCATTCTCAACTACATTACAGGAGCCACGGGGTTCATCGGATTTAAAGTCCTTCTGGATGCACTCGAATCAGGCTACAACGTCCGGGTAGCCGTTCGTTCATCTACAGGATCAGAAGCACTCCTGTCGAACCCGAAGATCAGGTCACTTGTATCGGGAAATAACATATCTTTCGTCGCCGTTCCCGATATTACCCAGGAAGGGGCCTACGATGAAGCCCTCAAGGGCGTTGTTTATGCTATCCATGTTGCATCCCCAGTTCCAAAACCTTTCTTCAAAGATCCACAAGCAGATATTATCCAGCCCACTATCAAAGGCGCAGCCAGCCTCCTCGCGTCAGCACTCAAAGTCCCGTCCCTAAAGCGCATCGTTATTACATCTTCAATCGTAGCCAACATGAATTTCCCCCCAGTTCCAACAGCAGACGAGACTACTGCTGAATCCCGGGTACCCAATTATGAAGGCCCCATAGATGCCGTATTCCCAGCGTATTGTGACTCCAAAATTGCTACTCTCAATGCCACCGACAAGTTTGTCAAGGAACAAAATCCGTCTTTTGATGTCATCAACATCTTCCCAGGATTCGTGCACGGTCGAAATGAATTAGCAACTGATGTTGCAAGACTACGCGCTGGATCAGCTGGGTTACTTCTCGCAATTATTCTTGGGCAGATTTTCGAGGTTCCCCGGATTGCTGTAACAGCCCATGTGGATGATGTTGCAAAGGTTTATTTGCTAGCACTAAGCGAGAGCGTTCAGGGAGGCCAGGGTTTTGGAATCTCAGTACCCGCCGTCTTTGATGATGCCTTCGACTTCGTCAAAAAAGCTTCTCCAAAAGCAGTTGACAACGGTGTTTTCAAAAAGGGCAGTCAACCCGGTGTGGACATTGCTTGGAATGCAAGCAAGACCGAAAGCGCGTTTGGCTTCAAGTTTCAGAGTTACAAAACGCAAGTCTTAGATGTTGCGGGTCAGTATTTGGAGTTTTTGGGCGAGGAAAAAGCGTGATTTTGGAGATTTCCAGGGAATTTAAGGGCTAAGATAAGATTTCAGGTGACTGCTATAGACAGTTTTCCTAACTCAAGAATCGGGACGCCGCTACAAAAGTGACTAGAGCCGACCTCAAAAAGAATAAAAACATGCTGGAATTGTCTGGAGTTTGATGATCATTGCAGCTAAGACAAAAAGGGACAGGTTAAGCATCTAGTTGTTCTTTCCTGTTTCCCACTACATATATCTTCACTTCTACAACCCCTCAAACCATTCCTCATGATAGCTCCTAAGATCAATACTCGCCGGAACCTTCAAATACGACGTCAAGTCCCCCTCCCCACTCTCTTCTTTCGCCGTCCAACCATTCCCGAACCACGCAAACCGATTCCCACTCCTCGCTCTCGTCGTCCACTCCCAATCCTCCCACCTCGGATTCAGCCTTACAATATTCAAATGACTCGCACTCCCAGGCCAATGTCCATGAATCCTCGCACCCGGTATCCCACCATTCGCCCAAGAGCTGCAGTTTCCGCTGAATACAGTCTTCTCAAAGAATCTATCGCTGTAAGCGACGAAATCATCGGTTGCTGCTTGTGATGGCGCGAACGATTTGATACTTTGGGTTGAGACTTTCCGTAGCAGTTTTGCGAGGTACGTGACTTGTGTCTCGACCTGGTTTGGAACTGTACCGCTATGTCCCGCTGCATTTGGGCCTTGGATGAAGAGGAAATTGGGGAAACCAGGAGCAGCGACTCCAAGGTAGGTGATAGGATCTGGCCGCCATGCATCGCGGAGGTCTTTGCCGTTGGCGATGATTGGGAAGGGGGGTATCATGTCAATGTTCGCGCCTGTTGCACAAATCACTGCGTCGACTTTACGTTCTGTTCCGTCGGATGTGACGATGCCCTCGGCTGTAAAGTGGGAGATGGGGTCGCGGATGAAGGATACGTTGTCTTCGGTCAAGGCCTCCAGGTAGCCAGGACCGGGGGTGAGACGGCGACAGTTGGGTGAGAAATCAGGGATAATATGTTCGAGGAGCTCGGGCTTTTTACTTAGACGTTGGGACATTAGTGTGATGAATTCTTCCCTCAGTCCCTTGTTCTCCTTTGAGTCTTTGAAAATTGTGCCGAAACGGCTGTAGAATTTTGACTCTAGCTCTTTTCGAAATTTGCGGTAGACTTCGGGGTCCTCGAAGGTCTTGAGGAGTTCGGCAGCGTAGTAATTTGGCTCCAGTCTTCGGCCAGCTCCTTCTCCTCCAAACGATCCCGCGATCCATGTTTTGCTGCGAGCGTAGTGGTCGAGGTGTTTTACGACTTTTTGGAGATTGGGAACGAGCTGGATCCCAGATGCGCCGTTTCCTATCACTGCTACCGTCTTTCCGGCTGGGTCGAAAGTAGGGTCCCATGCTGATGCATGCCGTAGATGGCCTTTGTAATCTTTGATTCCTGAGTAATCAGGTAATCTCCACGCATTAAAGCGTCCGATGGCCATTATAACTACGTCAAAAATCTCCTTGGACTTGTCACCCGTCTCTAGATTCTCAACCTCCACTGTCCAGTTTCCTTCGGTTTCCGACCATGTAGCACCAATAATCCGGCGCTTTAGCTTGAGATATTGGTAAACATTATACTTCCGAGCAAGACCTTGCCAGTAGTCCCTGATCTCAGCTCCTTGCGCATACTCCTCGGACCACTGTGTATTCGGCGCGAACGTAGATTGGTACACATTGGCGGGAATATCGCATCGTACTCCAGGATAGATATTCTCAAACCATGTTCCGCCCACATCTGCGTTCTTGTCAAAGATGGTCAAGTCGATGCCCGGAACTTTGACAGGGAGAAGAATTCCCGCTGTAATTCCAGCGAGACCCGCCCCGATGACTGCAACCTGCCAAGTTTTAGACGTTTTCACCAACGAAGTTACAAGCTGGATTGATTCATTAGCTAGCTTACTTTGATCTTTGGTGGGATATCAATTGGGTGTTCCTCCAGCTCAAATTCGGATCTTGGCTCCACTAGCTTTGTTGCGGGAGACTGTTCTACATCTACAATTGTTGCTGGTTTTGGAGTAACATCGATAGCCACAGGGGCCTTTCCATTATGTGTGGGCCCTGCGTCAACGGTTGGAACAGTCGAAATAGCTGCTGTAGAAGACATTGTGTGTGGCAGATGACAGCCACGATTCTCTAGCCTTTGAAATAGATAGTCAGGTACTCGAGTACGGGATGCTTTTATTTATTGCGCTTTGTTTGACTCTGCCATGTGAAGTGCGTGTCGAAAAGGTCGGTACGCCTGTCCCACTCTTACTCGTCCTAGCGATTCAAGCGTGTATGGGTATCGCTTTGCAGCTTTCCATAGGATAGAATCATGCGAAAATCGACTAATCAGTGGTTTATTTCAGATTATTATGGCGTGCTCAGCTTTCCACTGTATGTAAAGGGTCCTTTCCATTTTTCCAGCCCTATATTTTGTAGATGCCTAGCCTATTAGAGTACCTATCTTTCGATAGCCTTGCCTTGGAGTCCCGACGGAAAGATCCCAAAGCCGACTCCGGACTCGTGCGGTTACGGATGACCTTATGGCAACATAAGGTAGGTTCTTCCTAAACATACCTACTTATTATGCCGATGGCGTGATAATTACCGATAGAAATGAAAGACGCGTCTGCCTGATAAGCCCAGAACGTGAAGATATATATGACAGGCCGTAAAGCTTTTTAAACTAGACAAATGCCTTGATGCCTATAGGAGAGGATATACGATCAAAAAGGTAATTATATCCCCCATGTTACACATATATACAGGTGAAGTCGAGATAAACTTCCAGAAAAGCGGGGAAACACTGGCGCCGTCTCTTTTGCGAGCGCGACCGGGATAAAAACGCCATCGTCGTCCAATCAACATGGAGAGATGCACGACCACCACCGTGTAATTCACTTGGATAGTATCACGTATCACGCAATACAGTATGCTATCCGGCCGAGGGGAGGGGTAGACAGGCGATAAGGAAAAACTTTATGTTTTGTTTTCTTTTGGCTGCAGCTTACTATACGAGTTTACTATACGAGTAATCCAGAAGACGCGTAAAAAGCTTCACTTCACTTCACTTCACTTCACTTCCTCTTTCCTTTCTTTCAATTACCTGTCCTGTCCTTACTTCATCATGTCTCAACCAAAGAAGCAACTTATCATCAATGCCTTTGCTATGCAAGCGCCAGGTCACCTAAACCCCGGCCTCTTCAAATACCCCGCCGACAAGGGCTCTAAATATAATGATATTAAATATTGGATGGCCCTGGCACAGAAACTCGAAGCTGCGAAATTTCACGCCATCTTTTTCGCCGACGTCCTCGGTGGCTACGATGTATACAAAGGCCCCGCGAACCTGGAGCCTACCATCCCCGGCGCAACGCAATTCCCCATCAATGACCCTCTCTACAGCATTCCTGCCATGGCAGCCGCAACATCGAGCATTGGCTTTGGCGTGACTGCTTCTACAACTTACGAGTCACCCTACATGCTCGCCAGGAAGTTTTCCACCGTCGACCAACTCAGCAATGGACGTGTGGCTTGGAATATCGTCACATCCTACCTCGATTCTGCGGCGCGCAACTTCGGACTCGACACCCAAATTGAGCATGACGAACGATATCGCATCGCACATGAATATTTGGAAGTCACATACAAGCTATGGGAGGGTTCTTGGAGGGATGATGCGGTTACCGCTGCACCCAAGGGGAGCTATGCGGATCCGAAAGGAGTACGGCAGATCAACCACAAAGGAAAACATTTCACTGTTCCTGGGCCTCATATTTGCGAACCAAGTCCTCAGCGAACGCCATTCTTGTTCCAAGCTGGAACGAGCAGCGCCGGCAAGAAATTCGCTGCCACTCATGCAGAAGCTATTTTCCTGAATGGCCATACGGCAGAGCTGGTGAGACCAAGTGTAGACTCCATCCGAGCCCAAGCGAAAGATTTCGGCCGAGATCCACAAAGTATCAAAATTGTGGCAGGTCTACTTGTCATTGTCGCCGAGACTGACGAGAAGGCCGCGGAGAAGTTTGAGCTTTTGGCCAGTTATGGGGATAGAGAGGGTGCATTGGCGCTCTTCGGAGGCTGGAGCGGTTATGATTTGGGCAAGTATGATGATGACCAGGATTTCAGGTTCTTAGATACTGCGCCGCCTGCAGTGAGGAGTATGGTCAATCACTGGGCTTCGAACTCACCGCAGGGTACCAAGTGGAACAAGAAGACCATTGCAGAGCATTTAATCCTTGGAGGCAACGGTGCCAAATTGATTGGGAGTCCCAAGACGGTCGCAGATGAGCTAGAGAGATGGGTTGAGGTTGCTGATGTCGACGGTTTCAATTTCAGCTATGCAAGTGTGCCGGAGACTTTTGAGGATATCATTGAACATCTCCTTCCTGAGTTGAGAAGAAGAGGACTATTCTGGGATGATTATGCTGTTCCTGGCGGAACGCTCAGGGAAAATTATTTGGGTGTCAAGGGAAACACAAGGCTGTCAGATACGCATCCTGGAGCTAAGTACTTCTGGAAAGCTGGAGAAGAAATACCGGCATATGCCAAGGAATCTGTCAACGGTACCTTGCAGTAGAGACTACCCATTAATAAATGGAACATCTGCATGTCAAGAAAATCTTAACACGTGCAATGATATAATTGTAAAGACACTCGTCTAGACCACGCAATCGGGGCCATCCGAAAGCATCCCCCATGATAGAGCCATTGTTGTTTCAGGTTCCAGGTTCCTGAGAGCAGTTTTCGTTACCTGATGAAATGTAATTTGTGAGAGATAAGATAGCTATGAAACTTTAGTGATATTAGATTGTGGGTCCGTATACTACGTGATTACAGGGCTGGGATTTCGTGCTACAAGCACCTCGCACGCAATAAGATCTTAGTTTGCACTTTAGAGTTTGACAAGGGTACACCAAGAGAATACATTCATATTTGCCGATATGATTTCTTTATGATAAGTAGCTTGAGATACCCTGATAGATTAATTCCGACAAAGTCAACAAGATTTAGATCTAGTCGCGTGCTTTTGATACACCCCTTTTGGGTTCTTGACACCATCAAAAGAAACTCAAGTCGGCCATGGCAGATATCAAGCCCGGGTCTGTTGACCCCGAATCTACCTCAGACAATGAAGCTCAGCCCGTAACTAGCGAGTACATCAAACGTTCGTTTTCATCTCCAGCCATCTAACCACTACTAACACATCCTCAGCAAAATGGTACCGCTCAACCTTCTACAACGCCCTCATCCTCGGAATCTGCAACTTCCTCGCCCCCGGCATCTGGGGCGCAATGAACTCCCTCGGTGCAGGCGGTGAAGAAAAGCCCTACCTCGTAAACGGCGCCAACGCTTTAACCTTTGGCCTAATGGTCGTCTCGTGTTTCCTATCCCCCATCCTCGTACGTCGAGTCGGCATAAAATACGCCTTGGTTTTCGGGACCATGGGCTATGCTCCCTACGCTGCCGGTTTGTATACCAATAACCGCTTTGGCACGGAATGGTTTGTGCTGTTCGGGGCTGCGCTTTGTGGGATTAGTGCCGGGGTGTTCTGGATGGCCGAGGCGGCTATAGCGTTGAGTTATCCAGAGCCGTACAACCAGGGGAAATTCCTTGGTTTCTGGTTGAGCTTTCGAGTCGGGGGGCAGATCTTGGGGGGAGCCATCAACCTAGGGATGAACGCCGATAATAACCACGCCGGGAAAGTTTCGTATAACGTATACCTAGCGTTTATTGCTCTCCAAGCGCTAGGTCCGTTCGCGGGATTGCTGCTCAACAAGCCGGAAAAGGTCCAAAGAAGTGATGGGGTTCCCGTCAAGCTGGCAATCACGGGAGGCTCGAAAGCTGAGCTAACAGCCTTGATCAAATTATTCTTCTCCCGAAACTTCCTTCTCATCATTCCGCTCATTGCGCAGGGCGTGTACACTGAAGCCGTGATGTTCACATTCGAAGCGCTCTGGATGACAGTCCGCGCCCGTGCCCTCGGCTCCTTCCTTTCGGGAATCGTTGCCTTGATTGCCGGCAATATTCTTGGGTCTTTCCTCGATTGGACGAGATTGAGATTGAAGGTTAGAGCGAGGGTTGCGTTTTTCGTCATCTTGGGACTTCAGGGCGGGTGGTGGATTTGGGCAACGATACTGGTTACTGATTATAACAAGACAAAGCCGACGTATGACTGGGTGGATCCGGGATTTGGCAAGACGTTTGCGTTGTTTATTTTCTGGGTCACAGGGTTTCAGTTGAATTATATGTTCCTGTAAGGATTCCCCATTTGGCCTCTTTGGGCATTCAGCTAATTCCAGGGGCGCAGATATTTCGTTGTTGGTGAGCTTGCTGGCTCAGACGCCGAAGTGATTCGGATTGCAGGCTTGCTCAGAGCAACGGAATCCGCAGTACAAGCTGTTAGTGTAAGTAACAGATGCATTCCTTCCTAATTACATTGACAAGCACTAACTGTCCTTAGTACGGACTAAACAGCATAAACAGCTTTGCGGGTACTGGTGGCGTGTATCTGAACTTCGGTCTCTGGGGCTTGGCACTTCTTCCTGGTTGGTTAATAGTCAAGGAAATAGGAGTCACATTAGGAGACAAGAAGGTGGAACGAGAAAAGGCACAGGTTCAGGCTCAGGTTATACCTATTGATGAAAAGAACTGAAACATCTCCTACCGGTTTTCACCTATCAACTAAGGTAGTTAAAAAGAACGAAAATGTCAGTATAGAAACTTGATGAGCAGAACTGGAACCCTACATCCTGCTTTCAAAAATTCACCTTGTGAGAAAATCTTTGAAAATCCCGGCAAGGAACAAATGTTTGAAACATTAATCGTACTGAAGCAATTATGCAACGGGAAAAATAGAATTAAGTACCTCATAGGATTCATTCATGTTATCCTATGCTGCTTCAGCAGCGGCCATGTCTATGTCTAAGTTGGTAGTTGGTTTCTGGGACGGTGCGACTGAAGTTAACAGTACGCTAGTAAAATACTAGTCACATATCCAAACCTCTTCATTATCATACCCTCAATCCAAGCCAAGTTCCTCCAAGCATAGAAGAGTTTGAGCCTACACTACAGTGGCAGTACCATCTCCTTAGGAACAGCCAGCCACTCAGCCCACCTCTCACCAAGATACTCATCAACCGCGGCCAACAAATATCTACCCGCATCCCCCACGGCCCAAAACGACCTCCTCCCATGCAAGAGAATGGAAAAATATGCCATAACAACCAAGGCCTCGGGCCTCCTCTCATCAAGCAGCTCCGTATACTGAGCACTTATAGTAATCGGCCACGTCGTCACAATTCTCGAACTCGGCGGCCCGTCCAGCGCTAAAGCACTGTCTGGAGGCGCCGAATTATAGGTCCACAGCAGACCTTCGATGGCTTCGCTGTAGACTTTTGATTCGAAGGCCGAGAGGCTTGGCGATTGCGAGTGGGAGATTTTTGAGAGGAGGGTTGAAAAGGCGTGAGTTACGGCGTCGTTGCGGTTTGGGACTGGGCCTTCGTGGGCTTGGAGTAAGACACTAATGTCTGATTTTTTGATGGTTTCCCAGGAATCTCCCATCATGACACGGACGCCCCGAAGGAGCCGGATTGACTGGACTAGGCGGTCGAGGAAGGTGTCGAGGTCTGGGCTGGGGGCTGTGAAGATTTCGCAGAAGAAATGGAGGCCAAGGATGGCGGAGAAGAGGAAGGCGGGAATGAGGTTTTCTTGAGTAATGGTGGCAGTTGAGGATTTAAAAAGTGATAGGGCTTGGCTTTGTAGCGTTGTTGATTCGGTGAGGTAGAGGGTGGATTTTGAGGGGTGCTTGAGGCTGAGGCGCAAAGCGGCGACGGCGAGGCTTTCGTACATTAAGTAAGAATACGAGAAGATATACTTTAAAGATGTTAGTATGGTAGATTTGACGTTTAGGAAAGATAGACACAATATATTAAACATAGGAGAAAAGCAAGTGGCAATTTCAGTGACCATAGTGAGAAGATAACGTTCTCTAGACCAACTAGAATGGAGAAAATGAATATTAGAGCAAACTCACCCGAAACATCGTTTCGATTGCAGCCTGCCTAGCATCGGGTGACTCATTTATGAAAAATTCAGCTACATTAGAATGTAAGTTGTGAAACAGCTCCAAATGGAGAAGATTGACATAAGGTTCGGCACAAGGTTGCGGACTCGAATTGCTATCACGAGATGTGATATTAAGACTAGTATCTTGATATCTACTTAACCCTTCATCGGATCCAGTATATGAAATAAATTCCGTATCGGTAGGACTTTGACTACTTGTCTTGCGTGTATATGAACATTGCTTTTTAGCAGTTCTGCAGTTAACACAGGCTGGACGAGATTCATCGCACTATCAAAGTTAAGGTAAGAATTAGTATCTCCATCTCGCGACCAACTGAGTATGAACATCATATCCCACCTTTTTACGACTCAGCTTGCACTCTACACAACCTTGTCTAGACTTCTTGTGGCTTCTGCGGAGCATGGAGTGGGGTTGTCTTGGGGGTACTCAATGAACGTAGATTGAAACGCGAGCTGGTACACTAACAAATACAGGACTCTTTTATATCTGTTGCTGCCTCTATTTTGATATTGGCGGATATTATTCTTCGATAATCGAGAAATGGTGAGTTTATGTGAAAGAAGGCCTTGCAGTGGAAATAAGGACGACGTGCGCCATTGCCGAGCCGTCTTGGTGGCGCAGCGCGGACACAGCCACACGTAATAGAGGCTCTGCCTAAAGTCTGAGTGGGGTTATATCAGGCTTATTGGATAGTAAAAAGTTTATTATTTATGTTGATTTTGAACGAAGTCAAGAACCTATTTTCGTCTATCAGCAATATGTATTTGTCCATGATTTAGGCGCTGGAGGATACTTGTGTGCCTAAGTCATGTTTACCAAGATTTAAGAGTTAAGATCACTCTTCGTTCTGTTTTCTATAATGCTGCTGAATTGTTTTTGAAATACAAATTATTTCTAGAAGCGCTTTTATATCTTTCTTATCATAAAAAACTATTATATAAACTGAAACATTTCCTAGCAAACCCTAAGCATCTTCCCAGCTAAATATGTAAGAGTCTAAGACTGACACATTACAAAAGTACACTTATCTAGATTCCCCCATCCTTATCCCTCCCATTCAACTCAACTCCCTCCCCATCCCTCTCAACAGCCCCCGTAACAAATCCCGGCCACCAAACCCAAAACAGCGCTGCGACAACCAGCATAGGTACCGCATCAAACACATAAAGCGTCCACTCATGTCGCAAACAAAACCCATCCGCCCCCTGCACATATTCCACAACCCTAAACACCGACCTCGCAAAGATCAACCCACAAACGCCATAAACCATACCCAACGTCTTCTTCCACGGAACCGGCGATACCCCTCTTGATTCTCTCCCAAACCGCATCTGAAACACTGTCGTGGTAACGAAAAACACAAATAGCAATAACAGCTGAATGATTAATCCCACAACCACGAGATCAGAACCCACTTGCGCAGTCTTGGGATGTGATGCTAAGCTCGAGGCACCGCATTGTATATTAAGCGACATCATATCGCCAACCACAAAGATTTTCGTAAGCCGCGAGACGCGGATTGGTGATAGATGTGTAGCGTTCAAGGCGCGCATGGTACGCGAGAGCGTCATGTAGAGGGATGCTGCGTAGAAGGCTGGAGCGGTCACGAGGAAGGCTGCTTGCAGGATGTAGAAGGGGATACTGGCTGTGTTGTTGTATGCAGCTGCGCGGGATGCGTAGCCTATTACTTCGCCTGTGGGAAAAGAAGTCAGTCCAAGTTAATTTCGGAACTAGGAAAGGGAAAAATGCAGAGTTTGATGTGCTGGGGATAGATGAGAGGGAATTGTTACAAATGCAGCCCAGGGCGAAATATACACAAAACCAGGTGCGGTATTTGAAGATTCGCCAGATGAGTAGACAGGCAATGATTAGGAAGAGTATCATGAAGGTAATGGAGGCGGCGATAGAAGGGAGATACTTCCAAAGATAATAGACACCTTTATAGGCTTCAAGGACCGCCATTTTGTCGGTCGAGGGGGTACTAACTGCCTCGAAGCTAAAGGGTTGACTGAAGATTCGAACGAGCTTTGATACTCTAAACCATATATCGAAAGAATGTCAAATTTGATAGAGGAAAGGAACACAGTTAAAAACTGACAAGAGAAGTAGATCGAGAAGAAAGGCAAGATATAAACAGTCGGACGGTAGAAGAATCAGTGTCCACCAGGTCTGAACCTCAGCCCCGTACATTCAACTGATGCCATGGCCTTCAACCTCTACTAAAGGAATGCGGCACGCCGCACGCGTAATACAGTGCTACGGAAGACCTAAATGGGCTAAAGCGCATTATAGATGCTGATTACCACCCAACGAAAAGCTTTTGTGAATGCTATGACCAGGAGATCAGAGCCGTTGTAAGAACGGGCGGATATGGGCGCTAGTCCCAAAACAGGCCATACGCGTATTTACATATATAGGCCGTGCTTTCGCCCACACACGTGAGTGAGTCAACGACTTAACATATCATGCCTTGTTGGAATATGTAGGCAACGAAGTTGATCGAGTTAAGGCTTGATGCTGCATAACACCATAACTACATATATATTCAAGTGGCTGAAATGGGTCGCATCTGAACATCTCATTAGCCAGACTCATGAACTGCCAACTGAGCAGGAGTAACACCAGGGAAACAGGGTCTGAAATGAAAAAAAAAAAAAAAAAAACAACCCCATAGCTGGCAACCGCCCCACCCACCTCTCACGAACATGGTCTTCGGTCACAGTTGTCATTTTTCGGCTCTTAGCCTTGACCCCTCCCAGCGCCGTGAAATACTAGTCAAGTATCATCAATAACCCATTTTCCTTTCTCATCCTCTTTGACAAAGGGCCGCAGCATGGTGCATGCTGTGGCTCCAACTAAACCGTGGAAGAACTATAATAGGGATGGATATAGAGTTAGTATTATTTTGATAATAGCTAACCTGTTCCATCTAGATTCCGCCTAGCATTGCAGAACCTGCGAACGGAGCAGCATTGAGCCAAACCATTGCTAACCCTTGTAATCGAACCTTCGGCGGGTTGACATTCACTTCAGCGATACCTTAATTTAGCAGCTCATGCTCTATTATATAAGTGCGACTAGTCATTCGGTAGCAAGCCATCGAGCAGCATCTCAACTTACCAGCTTACATTTTCGAGTCTCCCGGTCGAGCTGTTCCCAAAGCTTATCGGCCGCAAGTCTCCATATCCTCTCGAGAGCGCCGCGCAATTATCATGGAGGGATTTGAGGAGTCCAAAGACGCAACTTGAGATTGAAGAAGCATGTACTATTTACAAAGGCAAGATATAAGAATCAACGACAAGCTCCAAGGAAGAAGAGATAGCGGCCGCTTTAGTTAAGCTAGGTGCATGCTTGTTCATAACCCTAGTAGCGGCCCGTTCTTCCTGCTGGCGGTTGAGGATTATAGCAAGTTGGGCATAAAGGGGGGATTATGAGTGGCTAGAGCAATGCGGAAAACAAGTAACCTGGGGAGTGAATCCTTGATGCTGCCTCTTTACAGGATCACTCAATAACTTACAATGCTTGTTATCGTAGTTCTCTACTTCGAAGTGGATCTTTTTGAGAATCTCTCGTTAATTATTACGGTCAACTTTAATCCTTTTTTCTATCTCTATACTACACGCTGGAAGAACGTTGCTGCATCCTTACTTGTTGCATCAGGTCCCCACTTCCAGAATCGAGAGCCATTGGTACAGCTATAGTTTCCATTTGCTCTATTTTCCTTTTTCTGCAGTTATGTATATGCTGTTTTCTAGGCCGCCATACGCTCAACACGAAGCTGCAGCTCCTTGACCAAATCTATCCCAACCTTGGTAGACTCATCCAGGCTCTCATCCGGCAATTCAAGCAGCTCATTCTGCGCCTTGGCCGAGAGATCATTGGAAACATCTGGGTAAAACGTCCTTGCGTACAGCATCTTGCTAAAACCAGCCATGTTACCCACTTTCACTTGCGCCAGGCCATCCTCGTATCGCTTCTTGGAATCCTCGTGGGTAATCGTCCATTCTGTGTCGGTGGTGCCGGTGACACGCTTGACGCTATCAAACATGTCGTTTTGGCTGACCACAAAGCTCTTAATGTACACGCCCTTATTGAGGAACGCAGACAGAGTAAGGCTATTATCGTTTTCGTCCTCGGGAAGCTCATTGAGGCTCAGGACCTTGGCTACGGCGCGCCCAATCTGCGATAACGTCGACGTCGAGGTCTTGGTGTTGCCACCGTCATAGATTGTCAGGGAACGCTTGTCAAAGTCGAACCCAAAGCGCGCATCCCCGCCGGCCAAGCTGTAATCGTACCAGAACCCACAGCACACTGTGATCCACTGCATGCCGAGCCTCTCAATCTCGTCCCTGTTGGCTTTGGCTACGGGCCCCAGCATTGTGTCTTCGCCGAGTTTAATATTGTCAATATCGCCGCCATACCCGTTAGGCATGACGTAGGGAATACCAGCCTTGGCGGCCGCCTGGACAAGCTTGCTGTGGGTGTCCCGGGGCGCGGTAGGAGCCATGGTTATGATCAAAAGTTGCTGGCCCTTGAGGGCGGCAACAATGGTGGCCTCATCATCGTAGTCGACTGAGGCGACTAGGACGCCCTCGGGGAATCTGTTACCGCTGTCTTTGCGGGACAGGGTCGTGACTGTGTGTCTTCCGGTCTTTAGAAGGGCGTTGGCAATATGCGATCCAATGGTACCTCCAGCCTAAGTGGGTTTGTTAGTTTTGTTGTATACGCGGTGTTGTTGAGGGGTTTACTTACGCCGACAATGGCGACTCTTTCGATGGCGTTTTTGAAGTCGACGGACTGATTTTTGGCGTACTTGGGCATTATGGTTGGGTTGATTGTTGGGAAGGTATTAATCGCTGCTATTATGGTCGAACGAGGCGTGCGAGGTGTTTAAGCTTGTGACAGAGTGGTAAGTGTCTGGCTATCCCTCCCTGGAGCAGGGAATGCCCGTCTATTTATACAATTCAGACCCAGTCTCGAGTGCTGTAGTTCTCTGAGGCTCTCTCCATCTCAGCCTTTTCATATCTGATCATACTCGAAAATCCCGGACAAAAGATCTCCACATTCTACAGTATATCCGACTTAATTAGGTCAGAACTTCAAACTTGATTCGCCCGGAGATAATAGCACCAGGAGCGAAGGAGCTACAGCGGTCGAAGCCAGCCAAATTAAAGACGGCGATGGTGAGACGCTGATAAACCCGCGCTTCTCCGCCGCACCAGCCGCACGCAGGGGTCCGCTAACACTGCCTGATAGGCTGGTGCGGCGGTAGGGGATTAAGTCCGCAATAGCCGCATAAGGCGCATGGCATTGACCGACGGGCTGATGGAGCTCCAGCATGTCTTCAACCTCCAGAATGATAAGGATAGAAAAGTCCGGTCTACACGCGCTCTATTCAAGTCTCTCGTTAAATACTTTCGGGGGCGTCCAAGAACATAGCACAGGAAATAAGTCAATTGCAGTTGCTTTCAGGCTGAGCTTGTCGGTGTATTGCACCTCGGGATATTGCGTGAGCCTGTCTCTTTGTCTGGGGTAATGTCTTGATTTCAAAATGCTGCCCGCTAGCTGAAGAATTGCTTATTCGTGACCTTGTGCTAGTTCCTGCTTGAGATTTGTGTTTTAAGGGTTGTGGCTCGTGGTAGAAAAGCAGGCCGAGAAAAAAGCATAGCGTATAGGTAAGGTTTCTGCTCGTTGACGGGTTAAATTCGGACGTGTGAATCTTGTGTCTCCGGGTTTTCGACTTTCCGGCTACAGTCTTGCAGATGGAAGATATATTGAAAGCGAAGACTTCTCTCATGCTAGGTCTCACGTTATAGTAATCCTATGGGCTATTCGTGCTTGGTATTAATCTAACGGGTGATGTGTTCGCATCGTTGTAAGAAATGAAAGAAGCGCACAACTATCTCGTATCGGACGCACTTGTATTATTGCAAATACTAGACTGCTCCTTGAGTTAACAAATTAGGGAGTAGTAGGTTTACATAAAAGGGGGATCGATTTGCTCATATTCTTTATACTCTCATTTTCAAGACGTTGCAGCTATAGGAGGAAAGCCACCTAGAGGCCGTGGCAAGAAAGCTGGTATCAACTCATAATGATTGAAATCATCGATATTAGACATTTAAATGTGATACGACTTCGGTGTTACTATATCGCTGCCATACTGCGGGGAAGGCATCCACTAAAGACTCCATCTGATTACTGCAGGTCATGAATCTCAGTCTATTCTTAATACCATATTACCAATCTTTACCAGATTCCATCAAAGATGAAATCATGTTGTGGCAATTCTATCATCCCAATGCTGAAGTTTCCCACCGTGAAACTGGTCCCAGTGTGCATTAGAAGATACTTCGGAGCTGTGTACTAATACAAGTATTCTATTGCGAAATAGAATTCAAAGGTGGCATAGATAGCAGATAGTAAGTGTTTAGAAAGTCGGAAGGATGAACTAAATATACATTATTCCAAACCAAATACCCGTCTATGTGTTTTAGATTTCGGGTATGTATACTAAAAAAGAATATTTAGAGCGAGGGCGAGCAACTATCACTAGTGCTCCCTTGCAGCTTAACCCCTTACGTACCTTAGCGAAGGCACAGCTACCCCCTAGCAGTCCACTTGTTGGGTACGTCCAATGATATTACGCCGGTCGCGATGAAGAAGATGGGCTATCCCTGCATTATTTAATTAGTGCTGAGCTTACTTTGCGGGATGAATATAGAAATAAAAGGAGATTAAATATTATGCAGAAGTCTTCGCAAGACTCAGGTACGGTAAGTGATGAGATACATGTCCCTTATACGTTTATACCTTAATGATATATGAAATGAATTTAGTACGCACTACCTACCTTCATACCTACAGTACCTACGAGTCCAATTTTCAACGTGGGTCTCGGTGTTCCTAACCTTAACAAGCAGTGCAGCCGCATTCCTTCGCCTTACGCAGGTCCCCACTATACTAACTTTATTTCTATTTGGGTCCCTTTGCTCCGTAATAATACAATCTCCAGTCTAGGCTTCCTTCTGATCCTCAGAAAAGAATGACCATGTAAAACCGGTTGTTGCGGAATTCGTGATGGATTGAATACTTTTAGGTACAGTATTGCCAAGCAAGCTTAGTCGCCGCAGGGATTTATATACAGGTGCGAAGGAGCTTACCTCACTCCACATTCCCCGCGTGGTCCAATTGTAAGGCTTGCTTTCTTTTGCTCTTTGGGATTGGTGAGGCGCATGCATGTTCCTGCTCTATCGTGAATGGCGTATAATATAAGTCTGACATGCCCTTTTTTGGTTCTTTCGGTTCTGTTCTGGTATGTCTTTCACATAATCCAACTTCTAACACCCCTTCGATCCCACGGGACAGATAATCTATTAATCTTCTCTTTCCTTCTACATCCCACCCCCACTCAGTCTTTTCCCCCTTGACTACTTAGCAAGCTAAAGATGGGTATCAAACTCGACCTCGAAACCACCATGCCTCCAACCCCAGCGCCAGCATCCCGCTACTACAAAGCCACGCGCCTCACTCTCTCATTCCTCAGCACCACCGCCTTACTCCTCGTCCTGCTACACCATACGACCACGATTCTAACCCCGTCGCCGACCCCGCACCAGGCGCCAACATGCCACCCGTCACCTATCACGGCGTCCATGCCGCCCAGCCTCGCAAAGCAGCTGGCGCACGGTTTCTGCGCGGATGTGAAGGCTGGGAGGGATGCGTATAAGAAGGTGTATATCAATGAGCGGCAGAGCGTGCATTTCTTGTACGAGGCAGGGGAGGCGAAGGAGGGGGGTCGGTGTAGTGTGGGGTGTTTGGAGGCGTTTGGGGCGATGGTTGAGACTTGTGAGTTTATTTTCTTGTTTGCTTGTTATAATCCCTACCTTGCTTCGACTTATGAGTTGGGTTTTGGTTGAATTCGGTTGGATTGGAATTGAAATGGATGAAGAAGAAAGATGCTAATGAGAGGATTTGATAATAGGTGCAGCGGATGCGGATAATCTTAATGGTGAGAGTAATTTTGTGGATGGGTGTGGGGAGTATACATTAAGGGTTCGTGGGTTGAAGGACGCGACGCAGAATGCGATATTGGAGGTTGATAAGGTAGATGATTTACCGACTAGGCATGTGGAGCAACGGGGGGAGAATGCTGAGAGGCTTTCGTTTCCGGGGAGGCAGAGAGCGGCGGCTAGGGTGAGGATGGAATAGGATGGATGGATGGGTTTGGCGTATGGGTTAGATGATTTCTGGAGTTTGGAATACCCGTCGATGGTTTGGAGTTATGGACTTTGTATTTCACTAGAAAGAGGGTCGAAGCATTGATATGAATAGGAAGGGAGGGTGTCTAAAGTTATAGGAAGGAAATGGTGCCATCTTTGAGCGCTCGAAAACATATGTATTTACAGTCGAAAGACAAATTACACCAATAAAGTCCGTCACAATTCCTTATGTCAAACCTTACTCCAAGTTTTAGAACAGGAAGCAACTGTGTGATGTCTTTTACGTTTGTATACATAGCCAATGTGCATGCACTACTTATTCAGCATTTGGTGGAGAAGCAGGAAAGTTCAGCTTTAGGAAAGACCTAAGAACACGCGCAAGTTAAGCAAAGAAGCGCACCTATAAGTGTTTGACTCGCATAGCTCAATAGAAGAGTTTATATACTCGAATAGAAGCGCACCTATGAAAGGCGAGCTGTTTGTTACAGTACCAGGTGATACCGCTAGTCTCACGCGGCCGTACCCCGCGGCGTGAATTCAACCGACGCAGTACAACCCCGCCACGCCACTTAACAGCAGGCTGAATCCTCCTCTTACCAGCCTCTGCGTCCTTTCAACTTATTGCATTTACATTGCACATACATATAGTTCTCTCTCACAACTTTTAACCTCAAATACGAATCTCACGAAATCGCATCCAACATCCATCCCACAATGGCCCCACCACCAGCACCATTCCAATTCCTCCCCCTCGGCGCCATAATCCAAGCCTTCACCATAAAATCCCAAAACATCGTCCAATCCTTCCCTTCCCAATCCGACTACCCCACACACAACACGCCGTTTTTCGGGGAGACGATTGGGCGAGTAGCGAACCGAGTGCGGGATGGCAAGATCGAGAGTTTGAACGGGCAGAGCTATAGCTTGGCGCAGAATAATGGGGTGAATGCGCTGCATGGGGGCGTGTTGGGATGGGGGAAGAGGATTTGGGAGGGGCCGCGGGCGGTAGGGGTCAGGGAGGTGGAGGTGGAAGGGAAGGCGTATGAGGGGGAGAGTGTGGAGTTTAGATTGCGGAGTGAGGATGGGGATGAGGGGTATCCGGGGACGGTGGAGGTAAGCGTTGTGTATACGGCTGCGGAGACTGGGGGAGGGGGTGAGGCTGTTGGGGATTGAGTATCAGGTTGACTTGGTGGGGGGATGAGGTTGAGGAGACGGTTGTTAATGTTACGAATCACTCGTACGTGCCGGCACTCCGGAGTAAAAGGAAGGCATCTGCTAATCGTGTACGTTCCTGGGAAACAGGTATTTCAACCTCACCGGTAATCCTACGATTGAAGGCACGGAAGTCTCGCTGTGTACGAACAGTTACCTACCTGTTGACGACGGCGGTATCCCGACTGGGAACCCAACGGCATACAAGGGAGTAGAGGCGAGCAAGACCTTCACGCTCGGTGCAGAAGAACCGGATATCGACGATTGCTTCATCGTAGATCCCTCAGCCGCCTCTTCGATTCCCCTCGATACACGCAAGTCCCCCTTGACGAAACTGGTCACTGCTTACCATCCGCAAACGAAGATCCATCTCGAGGTCTGGAGCACAGAGCCGGCGTTCCAGTTCTATACGGGCAAGTATATCGATGTACCTGCTGTTGAGGGGCAAGCGGCGAGGGGGAAGAGGTCGGGGTTCTGCGTGGAGCCTAGTCGGTATGTTAATGCGGTCAATGTCCCGGAGTGGAAGGCACAGGTTGTGCTGAAGAAGGGAGAGGTGTATGGGAGTCGGGTTGTGTATAAGGGATGGAGTGATGAGTAGATTTTGGGTACACGCATGTGATGTAGATATCAGATGATTTGGAAAGCCGAGGAGATGTTCTACTTTTAGTTCTTGTTCTGGTTCTAGCTCCAGCCGATCTACAGATGCCCGAATTGGATATGAATTAGAGGGACCCAATCACCTGACCTTACTTGAATAGCCTCGGTATCTTTTTCGAGTGCCAAACCATCCATCATCATCATGCTGACACACCCGGACCCCGGCAGACATCTTCACATGTCAAATGCAGATTTGGCCAATAGGACACCACGGAATAGTAACAAAAGATAGCACATGACAAAAGATGGAGAAACCGAGTTCCTTTGTATGTTCCTGACGGCAGCTGATGGTTCCAATTACAGTACAGAGTGGAGTCCGGGGATGGCAGATTCGTGGGGCTGGGCGGTAGGAAAGGGAAAAGTAACTGTTTGCGGGGCAAAGACTGAGAGACATGTGAAAGCGAAAGCGCCGAATCACTAGTTATACGACTTGACCCTCCGTATATTGTACATTCATTGCTTCCTCATTGCTTCCTCTTCTATCCTTCTTCTTCTATTTCCTCTTTTTCTGTACAGTAAACCAATAGAACAGACAGATCACCCGCAAACATGTCGAAAACCTTCACCCAAGCAGACGTAGCGTCGCATAATAAGCCAGATAATCTCTACATCGTTGTTGATGAAGATGTCTACGACCTCACCACATTCCAAGATGAGCACCCAGGTACGCAGATTTCCCTTGAAACCCCATTCACGTCTACATGCACTCCACAACTACAACCACAACCCATTCCCAGCAAAGCTAATCAATCCCAACCACAGGCGGAAAGAAGATCCTCACCCGCGTAGCCGGCAAAGACGCCAGCAAGCAATTCTGGAAATACCACAACGAGAGCATCCTCAAGAAATACAAGCCCAAACTCCAAGTCGGCTCTCTCGACACAAAGAAGAACGCCGCGCCTCCTACACCGCCAGCTTCTCCTCCGCCGACTAAGGAGATTGTCAAGCCTCAGGCTGAGAGCGGGACTGTAAGTGCGGCGCCTGTTGGTGATGTGCAGGAGAAGGTGCCCGAGGAGACATTGGATGCGTTTGGAGATCTGATCCCGTTTGCGGATCCGGCTTGGTATCAGGGTGTATGTCCCTCTTTCCTATACCCTTCCACGATCCTCCACCAGTACTCATCTAACCCGATGCCCATATAGTTCCACTCACCCTACCACAACGAAACGCACGTCGCGCTCCGCGATGAAGTCCGCGCCTGGGTATCCTCCGAAATCGAACCTTACGTCAGCGAATGGGACGAAGCGAAGAAAGTTCCCGACGCGATATACAAAGCCATGGGCACACGCGGATACCTAGCCGGACTAATGGGCGTGAGCCACTGGCCCAGCGAGTACACCGGTGCGAAGATCGCAAGCGTGGCACCAGAGAAGTGGGATCTGTTCCACGAGCTGCTGATCACGGACGAGCTATCGCGGGCAGCGTCTGGCGGGTTTGTATGGAATGTGATTGGGGGCTTCGGGATTGGCTGTCCCCCACTCCTGAAGTTTGGGAAGCCGGAACTGGTGAAGCGGATCTTGCCTGGTATATTGTCTGGAGATAAACGCATCTGTCTGGCGATTACGGAGCCGGATGCTGGGAGCGATGTGGCCAATCTGGGGTGTGAGGCGAAGCTGAGTGAGGATGGGAAGCATTATATTGTTAATGGGGAGAAGAAGTGGATTACGAATGGTGTGTGGTCTGATTACTTCACTACGGCTGTAAGGACGGGCACGCCTGAGAGCGGGATGAATGGGATTAGTGTTCTGCTTATTGAACGCAGTGCTGGGGGTGTGAGTACGAGGAAGATGGATTGTCAGGGGGTGTGGTCGAGTGGTACTACATATATCACGTTTGAGGATGTGAAAGTGCCAGTGGAGAATGTTATTGGCAAAGTAAACGGGGGTTTTAAAGGTATTTATTTGTCCCCCCAATTTCCTTTCCCCCTCCCCTCCTTTCTCATCTTCCAAACACATACTAATATAAGCAACATAGTCATCATGACAAACTTCAACCATGAACGCATCGGCATCATAATCCAATGCATCCGCTTCTCACGCGTCTGCTACGAAGAATCCGTAAAATACGCCAACAAGCGCCGCACCTTCGGGCAGAAACTAATCCAGCACCCCGTCATCCGACTTAAGCTCGCGCACATGGCGCGGCAGATTGAAGCGTCGTACTGCTGGCTAGAATCCATCATGCACCAGATTTCGCACATGCCGGAAGAGCTAGCCATGCTGCGGCTGGGTGGGCCGATTGCCAGTCTCAAGGCGCAAAGCACGGTGACGTTTGAGTTTTGCGCGAGGGAGGCGAGTCAGATTTTTGGGGGTCTGAGTTATAGTCGCGGGGGACAGGGAGGGAAGATCGAGAGGTTGTATAGGGATGTGAGGGCGTATGCTATTCCGGGGGGGAGCGAGGAGATTATGTTGGATTTGAGTATTAGACAGAGTTTGAAGGTTGGAGAGATAATGGGGATGAAGTTGTAGATGAGGTAGTACGAGCCAGTACCACATGCTTAGATGGTGGAAAACTGGACGCAGGCGTTTGCGAGATGGCGGGGCGTTGTAGTTGGGTACATAGCAGTAAATGGAGTTTGTTATCAACTCATGGACTTTTGACTGACCAGAGACTTGAAATACAAATGAGTAGGTTCTCGGATAACTTGAAAAAGTGTATACTTCATTCAACCCCATACCAACACTCAACCTACGTAAAGCCACTTTCTTTCCCGAGTAAAACCCTCCATCCACACCATTATCTTACCACCTCTTCTCCCTCTCCCTCTCCTTCCTCCCCAAACTTAACCACTTCTCACCTCTCCGGCCTAAAAGCCCCACCATCATCTCAGATCAAGAAATATACCTTACAACGCATATGGACTACCGGTACAAATAATTGGTACAAAGTCTGATGGCCATTTTTTCTGGACAACAGTACAGTACAGCTGACTAATCTACAGTGCGTGGTCCACCAGCCCACCAGTCTATCTACAGACCGCAATTGGTCTAGTGTAACGTACCAAGGACACGACAACCTCCTACCGACGACCATCTGGAGATTATATCCTCCCCGCGGCTATGAAGTCTAGTATGGACTCCAAACATAGGAGTTCCAGTTTCTCGTCCGTGTTGAGCATTGAGTCTATCCAAGCCAACGCAACCGCGCTGATCAAGACCAATTTGAGGAATCATGATTGAAGCAGTGCTTAGAAAGGGGACAACGGGCTGCGGGCTGAAGCACAAGAGCTGGTGACCTTGGCCGGGAGTATTCCGAGGGGATTGCGACGTTGGAGGGTACGCTTATATTTCGGACTTAAGTCCTTTGTGTTTGAGATTGATATACTCTCTTTACCACTTCATATCGCCTCTTAATACAATGATTGTAGATAACTATAACTATAAAGGAAGACCTTCAGGGCTCCTAAAATGGCATATCAGTATCACGTGCTTACTTATTAAGGATGAGCCTCGGCATCCGTGAATCCTGTCTTTCCATCATCACTTATGTCTACCAAGCTATTGTCACGACTGCCAAAACCATTATTGACTAATCATACCCCTCTCCTATATATGAGTAGTGATCTAGGTTTTCTTATTCATAGAAAGCCATCGTAAGATATTTGACACTCTTCGACTAAGAGGATCTTCGTCAAAAATGATCACCCCCAAGGTCTTGATACCAATGTCTGACTATGGTCACGACCCAACAGGTGCGGATCAATTAAGTCTATATTAACCCATCATTGACATACACTGACGCGAATCTCTTGCGCAGAGACTGCAGTGCCATATGCAGCCTTCAAGAAAGCTGGATTCAAGGTTGAATTCGCGACAGAAAATGGCAAAGCGCCAGAATGCGATAAGAAAATGCTCCAGGGCATCACTCAAAAATTAATTGTAGGCATTATATTATATCCTCAACATAGATTCAATTATATAGTGCATAGTTGATAGATAGATATGCTAACCGTACTAGGGCGCCACAAAAGACGCTGTCAATGCCTATAAGGAGATGTCTATCACCCCCGAGTTCCAACGTCCGGTCTCATGGACATCGGCGGATTTCAGTCTAGAAAGCTACAATCTGGTCTTCCTTCCTGGAGGACACGAAAAGGGCGTCCGGCAACTTATCGATTCCCCTATTATCCACAAGCATCTAGCCTCATATTTCCCAGCTACTAAAAAGCCAAGTTCGAAGTCGGTGGCAGCTGTGTGTCACGGCGTGATGGTGCTTTCTGAAACAGAGGGCGCGGATAGGAAGTGTGTTATTCACGAGTGTGTCACCACTGCGCTGCCAACACGGTTTGAGCAAGTTGCGTTCTGGGGAACCAGAGCTTTCCTCGGCGACTATTACAAGACATATGGAGCCGGGAGTGACAATGTCGAGGAATCGGTCAGTCATAGGAGTTTATATCATGATTAAGAAATTAATTCCTTAACAGGTCCGGAAACGCCTAGACAACCCAAATAAGCAATATAAGAATAGCTTAGGCATGAGTCCGTAAGTCTCTTCTTCTGGTCGACCCAAATTTCAAGGTTTAGATGCTCACGTGGCACTAGGTTTGTGGTGCAAGATGAGAAGTACAATTATATTAGTGGTCGGTTTCCGGCGGACGCTCAAATGCTTGCAAGGAAGACAATTGCTTTAGTTCAAGGTTCAGTGGCGTAAAGAGCTATTTTTGGCGAAGCTAATATTACATTGGTAACCTAGCAAATGGGCAATCCTTGGTGTTGAAAATGAGATTGCAAATAGCAGAACTTTATTCTTAATCATTCTGGTCCTCACCCGAGAGAAATTTTAGTTGTGGTTCAAGAATTAAAGAATAATGAGATTACGTTCATACACATTTCAAATTGAACAAAGGAAGAATTATTATCAGATGGAGCTAGTACCGATAAGTCCATACGTAATATAAGATCTTACAATCTTGAGAGCAGATGTGCACGCGCCTGTAGCTACACGAAGAACAATAGCATGGTTCTCAAAGCTGATAATGACTGGAAAAGTGATGTCTGATTCGGCAAACTCGAAATCGAGAAGTTGAGGTAGATGAGAAAGTAACGGGCTACTTGTAGAGGCAGTCCGTGAAAGAAGTCGGTATAGTAGGCTCGATTGTGATTGTGACTGCCGCTGTGCAGGCTTTTCTGCTGAGGTTGAGGGCTAGTATTATTATACAGCCGAAACCCTAAGTCTTCTAAGTGACTTAAGTGTGCTGGGTCTGGGTCTGAGTCTGCGAAATCTGCGGAGTTTATAATATAGAGGTATGCCGGTATGCTATAAGCCAAGATTATTTCCGTCTTCTTGAAGGAGGGGAAGAGAGTCGTGAGACCGAGGTAACAGGTTTGCTATCGGTCGGTCACTGAGGGTTTCCCCCTTCCCTTCCTCATCTCCTAGAGATCTGCTCGGTTTCAATCGTCTTGATGGAACTTCTGTATTAACCGTGGCCTTAAGGTTTCCCGAATTATTTGATGCGCCGTTGTGCTGAACACCGGTATGACCGGAAAATGGATATTGCATAGCATGCTTGGTAGATAGGCCAGAGATTTCGGCCATCTCTTACTAAGATGGACATTGGGAATAGCTGCAGGTCAAGCGTTGTGTGGAAGAGGCAGTAAAGAGGAAGTGCCAGAGATTTAGTGCGAAAGAAGGCGTCAGAAAAGCGGCGATGGCCTAAGACAAGCCGCGGAGTGATGCGAGGCGGGCAATATGTGCCATGATCATAACGGTGTGACCTCTGATCTTGCTTTGTTTGCTCTTATTAGTCCCTCGATTAATCGAATTTGCTAATATATTTTGATTTTAATAAAACGCACATATCATCCTTTAAAGGACAGCTGTGAACTATTGAAATAAAATCAATGCCGAAAAGATTCCCTTTATTAGATAATACTAGTTATAAAAAAGATAATAATTAAAGTTATAGCTAATATAAATATAATAGATATATAATTATATATATTTAAAGAAGAATAGTATTACAAGTGAGTCACATATATATAGAGGCTTAATATAGTATTTAATAAATTTAATAAAAGAGAAAGAAGAATCTTTATCTGAATCTGAAGAAAAGTAAGCGCCCTCTGATTAAGACTACTAAGAGTATATACTATATCGCAGTTCCGCCGGAGCTGCGAAATAGGGATCTTCTATCTAACTGCTTACTATTTATAGCAGGCGGTTATATATTCTACCGGCTAAACTAATCTTAATAGAGAGATTAGATTAGATAATTTAAAATTATTTAATGCGTCCTAGCTAGATATATAGTAATACGTCTTCTATTTTTGCAATTACTCTTTTAAATGTAAATCTAATTAAATTACTTACATTTTAGTTATTAACCTTACTCTTACTATATGTAACCTAGCTAATAGATCTTCTCTACTTTAACTAGTGTCACAATCACGAATCCTCGAAGGCATAGCTTAGTATAAGATCGAATTAAATGTAATTCTAAGCTAAAGAGAAAAGAAAGAAAGTCTAGAATATAGATTATAGGTGCAAATATATATACACTCGGCTAATTAGCCCGTGGCTAGGAAAGGTGACTAGTAGTTAAGTGGCTAGTTAAGCAAAAGGCTAGTGCTACGCTAAAGTGCTAATGTATTAATATCATATGCTGTATTATATAGCTAGATTTATAATACTACTTCCCTCTCTTATAAGACCTATTTTTAAGTCTATTATTATTATCTCTCTCTTTTAGAAATTTGTTCTTCTAAGCTATCTTAGTCTAATATCTTAAGTTTTTTAATAGTCCGAGCTTATAAGAGTATGTTACAGATGAGTCACATATATACAGAGGCTCAATGTGGTATTTAACAAGTTCGATAAAGGAGAGAGAAGAATCTTCATCTGGATCTAAAGAAAAGTAAGCGCTCCCTAGTTAAGGCTTAATAAGCTAAGTATAGGTATAGCCTATGCTTTACCTCTAGGGCTTGCCTCTTATATTACCCCCCTCCCTCTACCTATTTGCAGGCAGTAAATAATCTATTAGAAACTATATAATATAGTAGAGACTATAGTAGCAAATAATTCTAATCTATAGATGCTATACTACTATTCCCCTTATAAACTGCCTAGGCTCTACTAGATTTTAGATATAGTCTATTTACTTAGTAAAGCTCTTCTACTTCTTACTTTTACTATTATCTTTATTTAGTTATACTATTTACTCTATAGTATTATAAATCTATATAGTATTATAAATCTGCAAATAATAGAGTAAATAGCTATTTACTTTATAGTATTATAAATCTGCAAATAATAGAGTAAATAGTTAATAATAAGCAACTATAAGATCTCTCCTTTTACTTGTTTTTAGACTCTCCTTTTATATTGCTAATACTACTACTATTACTAAAGTAAGTATAATATATTATATAGAGCGCTTAAGTGCTTAAGATCCTCTCTACCCTTTTCCTATAGACTCCGCGTAATACTAATTAGAGTTAGATATCTAATATTATCCACTATATTAGCTACACTCTTTTAGGGGTTAACTGCATTAACTAAAATATAAGTCAGATTCTAATTAGTTTCCCTTAGGTTCTACTAATTCTCTATAGTTAAACCAGTTCTATTTCTATGCTAAGTGCGCCTATAAGCGTAAAAACTATAAGAACCTATATATATTTATTAGATTCTAATTAAAAAACATTACTAACTAATTAGTCCTTAAATAGCCTATATTACCTATGCTATCTAGTCCTACTCCTCTAATGCTTTAGTATAAGTTTTAGTTAGTTTCCGCCTCTTTTTAGTTAGCTAATACTTAATATAGTATAAACGCCTTTACTAATCTAGGCAAGGTACTTAAGGCCTAGAAGGCTTTAAAGCTGTTACAGGCAGCTAGTCTTCTCTCTATATATTTTTGCTGGACTCCACTTATTTTATATTACTAACTGCTAGTTTCTAGTCTTATTACTCTTAAGGTTACTAGCATGGTAACTAATATAGTTGCCTAATAGGGTTAAATATAAGTTATACTCTACTCTCTAATTATTTTCTATTAGTAACTATTTATTAGTACTAGTAGTATTTCTATAGCAGTGGTTCTTAGGCTATATTATGCTAATTCTTAATTCCAGGGTTTTATATGCAGTCTTCTAGTATTTTGCAGCAGTCTATAGGTCTATTCCTATTTCTCTTTTCTTTTTTTTTTTTTTTTTTTTCTTTTTCTTTAAATAGTAAATAAAATTTATTACGCTTCTAATTATCCTAATTCCGCTTCTTAATGCCTATG